TGGTCAACAAAAGAGGTTTAAAGACTGTCTCAAGACAAATCTTAAAAAATGTAGTATAAACACCAACAATTAGGAAACACTGGCCTGCGAGCGCTCGAATTGGAGAACAGCCTTTACCAAAGGTGTCATGGGCTTTGAAGACACTCAAACTCAAGAAGAAAGGGAGAAACATGCTAAGAGGAAGGCACGCTTGGCAAATCCACACCGTGATCAACTCCCGCCCGGAAACCAATGTACCCCATTGTGGAAGGATGTGTGGATCCAGAATTGGCCTCCACAGACACTTACGGATTCAACTGCAGTGTGTGGGTTGTTGGTTAAAATTGGAACTACATTGTAGCTTAATCTTCTTCTTTGGTGATCACTCGTAGCTGAGTAAGACTGTCTTCCATAAACACGGTTTTGTTTATGGAAGACAATCTTACTTGGCTATGAGTGATCGCCAAAGAAGAAGATCAAGCTACAATGTAGTTCCAATTCTAACCAACAACCCACACACCACAGCTGACTTAGCAAACTGTACCTGATAGGAATCAGAAGTTTAGTCAGCCTAATCAGGTTAGTTCATTTTCATATCTTCCATATTTGCATATTACAAAGCTGCAATGATTCAAATTTGTTATCTGCAAGGCTGATCAGTTTCCGTCTGGAAGCTCTGAAACTAAAAGTGGGGAAAACTGCCTGTAGGCAGGGGAAAAAGGAGGGAGATGTATCCATTGTACGTGATAGACATAGTTTTAGCAATTCAAGAGTCTCTCATTCTTTTGCTAGACACTCTAATTTTTATCTCTTCCATTTTATTTGCTATGTAAAGAAATACTCTGTAAGGAAAAACCACTCAAGACAGCTCTTGTGGGGTAGAAAGAGGAGCTAAAGAAGAGTGCAAAAAGGCTTATCAGCTTGAAAATCTTAATCAATGAAGCATTAAGGCATTTAAACTTCATGTTGAGGCTGTCATTACAAATTGCTGTGTGCCTTGAGCCTTCTGTTCAGTTGCTCCTTTATCTTTCCTCTTGTTGAGGATGTGTTCGATGTCACTGTTGTTGCCATGCATGCTCAGGACACGTGTCTCTAAACACACCTTCATGGTACTTCTCAGGGTTGAGGGGGCGTGCCCTTCCAGAACACAGATGACTGGAGAATTTCGCTCCAGTTGTGTGCTCAGGGGAAACTCTTCCTAAAAGTGACCTTGGCTCTGTTTCACCAGAGAACAGTCAGGTGGAGCCTAGTCCTAGAGTCATGGTAAACCAAATACAATGAAGAATCATTAGGGTTTTATAGGTGAGAACCAGCAATTTGAATTGAGGTTAGAAACAGAACAGCAGCCAGTGAAGTTGTTCTAGCAAGGGAGTCAACAGTAGAGCATCAGACTCTTAAATCTCAGGGTTGTGGGTTTGAGCTCCACGTTGGGCCAAAGATTTGTGCATTGCAGGGAGTTGAATGAGATGATCCTTGCGGTCCCTTCCAACTCTACAATTCCATGATTCCAAGCCCTCTGGATGCTACTAGACGTACATGATGTTTCTAATGTTTCATCTGTTCCAGATAGCAGATGTTAACTCTGATGGTGTTGTTCCCAGTCAGGCTTAAATCTCACAGCCTAACAGTAAGCAGATATTTGCCAGGAAATAAGTCCTAATTTTGAAGGTCATGCTTAAACTGAACCACTTACAACTCTCCTTATGTTTAGGATGTGCATTCAACTGAGCATTTTTTAAATTCCTCTTCCTTCCTGATCAACTGGTGCAGGTTATGGGTGGAGAAGGCTTGGCCAGTTCATGTGGTCCCACGCCCACCCACGCACCCATGGTTACAAATTTATACAGCTGTCTGAAGTAGGTCTTCCAGGGCCATCTGTGTGGATTCTTGTCCTTTCTGCTTTTCCTCTTTTGTCACTGCCATGATTGTTGCCGTCCTGGCATGCTTGTCCTCTTCATGTGTGCAACGTGTGAAGCGGGCAAATGTGGCAAAAGGGATGAGGGGTCATGTGGCCTCCCACTGTCTTTGGCACAATATCTGCAGCCAAGATCTTATTCCTCATGCCACAAAGGTAAAGGGACCCCTGACCATTAGGTCCAGTTGTGACCGACTCTGGGGTTGCAGCGCTCATCTCGCTTTTTTGGCCGAGGGAGCATGGCCAGCATGACTAAGCCGCTTCTGGCGAACCAGAGCAGCGCACGGAAACGCCGTTTACCTTCCCGCCGGAGCGGTACCTATTTATCTACTTGCACTTTGACGTGCTTTCGAACTGCTAGGTTGGCAGGAGTCCTCATGCCATACGGGGCTCTAAATCAGGGGGGGCAGCCATGCACAGAGGAGGCCCCCCACTTGTGGCAAGTGCAACCAAGGCAGGAGAAGCTGCATGACTCTGGGGTTGAACATGTTACCTGCAGCCCCTGCCATCATGCCTGCCCCCTCCTCATGAGTAACAAATGAAAAGGGCTCTTTCTCCATGGGGAGGTTCAAGTTAGGTTCAGCTGTTTCCTTTCCCCACTTACTACATCTGGGTGGCTTCTGTAAGAATGCAGGTGTTCCTTCTTTTGCTGCTTGCCCCCAGAAAAGGATCCTTTGCCTGTGATAGGGTATTGCTCTGGGGGGCTTCTGTGTTTGTTATATAGGTGCCCCCCTCTGCCGATCTATTGGCTTTTTCTTTGCATAGGACACTCAGAAAGTGGTCACTGGAATAACTTCCTCTGTGCTTTTATGCCAGGAGAGGAACGTTCTCCCCATTGCTGTAACTGGTTTGACATTGCCTATGGCTGTCATGGAGCACTGCCTTGCCATGGCGAAGGGGCTTGAATAACTCAGAGAAGATATGAGCTATGCTGTGCGGGGCCACCCAAGACGGACAGGTCATAGTGGAGAATTTTGACCAAACGTGATCCACCTGGAGTAGGAACCAGCAAGCCACTCCAGTATCCCTGCCAAGAAATCTCCATGGACAAAGACAAAAACAGAGACATCACCTTGCCGACAAAGGTCCATATAGTTAAAGCTATGGTTTTCCCAGTACTGATATATGGAAGTGAGAGCTGGACCATAAAGAAGGCTGATCGCCGAAGAATTGATACTTTTGAATTATTGTGCTGGAGGAGACTCTTGAGACTCCCATGGACTGCAAGAAGATCAAACCTATCCATTCTTAAGGAAATCAGCCCTGAGTGCTCCAGCCCTGAGTGCTCACTGGAAGGGCAGATCCTGAAGCTGAGGCTCCAATACTTTGGCCACCTCATGAGAAGAGAAGACTCTCTGGAAAAGACCCTGATGTTGGGAAAGATGGAGGGCACAAGGAGTAGGGGACGACAGAGGATGAGATGGTTGGACAGTGTTCTCAAAGCTACAAACATGAGTTTGACCAAGCTACGCAAGGCAGTGGATGACAGGAGTGCCTGGCGTGCTCTGGTCCACGGGGTCATGAAGAGTCGGACACGACTAAATGACTGAACAGTGGCTGTCATGAGATTACTGCAACACATTATACATGGCACTGCCTCTGAAGATGGTTCAAAAGCTTCAACTGGTGCAGAATTCGGCAGCCAGATTGCTCACTGGGACAAGATGGTTGGAGCATATTACACCAATCCTGGCCCAACTGAACTGGCTCTAATTTTCTGGGCCAAATTCAAAGTGCTGGTTTGGACCTATAAAGCCTTTAACAGCTCAGGACCGCCTCACCCCATATGAACCTTTCTGGGCTGAGATAATCATCTGAAGCCCTTCTTTGTGTGCCTTCTCCATGCAAGGTCCATAGGGCGGCAAAACGAGAATGAGCCTTTTCTGTGGTGGTGGTTCTCCATTTGTGGAATGCTCTTCCCAGGGGGTTATTGGTTGTGGTGGTGGTATGTATTTTGTGGTTTTGTTTTGTATTTTTATGCTGTAAACTGCCCCGTGATCTTCAGCTGCAAGGGCAATATATAAATTTTAAAATAATAGAAAGTAACCATCATTTGCATGCCACCCAGTGTTTGGGCATTGGGGCTGGTGTTTGTGATGGCTCTCCATTCTTTGCTTTGGGGAGTGGAGTCTCTTTCTCTCCTCAGTTTCTATGCTGGGTTTTACTGCTGAAATTATGGCAGCATAAATAGCCCACCAGCAAAGGAAGCTTCCCTTAATAAAAACTTAGTTTTTAATTAAGCCACTCAGTTCTAGGGCACTTTACTTTCATTAAATGAAGGTAATCATTCTAATAATGTGTTGATTTCTAAGGCCACATATTTGCTTTTTGATGAAGCTGCTAGTTCCTTAATTTGTTCATGTTAAGAGACTCTATCACCCTCTAATGGACAGTATGATGGATTTATTATTAAAGCACTTTATCTCTGTCTAATGGAATTGTTCATTTCTAATTTACCCAAGTCCTTTTCAAGTCCTTCAGCTAAATTTATGGTGAAAGTATTTGTAATGCATGGTTTAAATGGTTTAATTTGTATTATATATCATTACTTGTTTCAACTCATGTTTCCAGTTGAAGACTTAATGGCATTATAAGGTTGAATCATTTGTTTAAAGAAAATATAGACAATAGGTGGGAATTGGAAAGACCATACAAAATGATTAGAATAAAAGTTTTGAATAAGTTACAACCGTATTTAGATGCAAGCAGCCTTTGGGGTATATGGAAAAATAAGGCAAACAGTTAAAATTAGCCAATATCCTCCCAACATAGATAGGGAAAAAATAATTGCATCGTTTTCTGCAAAAACGAAAACCACCTTTGATGCACTCCTAAAATCCTTTGAAAGTGGGGGGGGGAGAGAGAGCTAAAAGCAATGGGGGAAATGGAAGATTTAAAGAAGGAAATGTAAGACTAGATATGCAGATTCAACAGGAAAAACCTCCAGCTAATCACTGGGGGGGAAATGGGTTAACTAGCAAAAGAGAAGGTTGAGCAGTTCTTATTGGGAAGATATATGAAGGTCCAGAGCAAGAAAGGAACAGGATAGAAATGAAAGTAAGTTTATTAACATATAGAATAAGAGAACAAGAAGAACATACATTTAAAGAAGATTGGAAAACGTTTATTGAATATATGGGAAATAATTGTGTACAGCTTAAAACGCTGGCAGCATTAAGATAAATTCAACAGTGTAAATAGGTTTTGATGGATGCAATAATGGAATACTGAATGGTATAGTTTTTGTAAAATATGCAGCGATTTATGATAATTAAATGAACCATGGGAAGAGAAGAAGGGAAGTTATTGCTATCTTAAGGATGTAAAATGAGTATTTTAACTTGTAAAACAGAAAATTTAATAAAAATTATATACAAAAAGAGAAATAAATGAAAGTTTATTTTAAGAGAGACAAGGAAAATGAAGAAGAGATTAAAAATTCAGGGGGAGGCACTGCACTTGTAGAAAACACAATTCTGCACAAATGTTTTGTAGCGGCAGATGCTATGCACCTTGGAACCAGCCCTGGAGCAGGGCCACCTCAGGAACCAAGCTTCACCCAAAGCAGACAGCACCCAACCTGCTCATCACCCTCCTAGATACTAGCAGATATCTCAGGTTAAGGAAGTTCTGCTTACAAATAAATGCAAGCAAATATCCCAAATGTTCTATTGCAATCTTTAAAAATATACATTTTCCTTGCAATCTTAAAAAATATATATTTTTTAGAATGGCTTTTACTATTTCTATACATTTTCCATTTTAATTCTAGCTGCAAAACTCCCGCGGTATCAAAAAGGACAAGATAAAGACCAAAGGCAGAATACAAAAAGAAGTTTTTAGCCTTCCTAGCTCAATTCCCATATCACTTTGCAATGTTAAGACACATGGCTGTCTTATGAGGGAGACATGTAGATGCCTGTAGAAGTAATTTTCTCTAGCTGTATGCAAGATGAGGCTTCCAGGATCATCTTGATGCATGCTATACTCCAGTAACCAAAATAACTTCAGAAAAAAGCAATTGCTTTCAACATTATGTAACAGAAACATGACTCAGCCATGATTTAATTTTGGAATCTTTGTTCCCAGAGGCAAAGCTGACAGTGTATATAATGGGGAAGAGGAGCTACGCATGAGTACAGATAAACAGTGAGAGAAATTTAATATTTGTCTTTGGTTGCAAATATACTTTAATAGCTTCATTCACTACAACCACATTTGGGTTATTTATTAAAAGTCCGTGTCAAGTAATTACATTCGTGAAGAAAATTTGAGCTGCTAAATAACAACAAATTGCAGGCATGATAGGCTGTGATGGTTGAGGGGACAAAGGTGAAAAGCTTATAATTGCACCACTGTGCTATGTCAGCCTCTATACGTTTAACAACAGGAGATTTGCACAGATGTTTCTTTCCACCACTGGTTTCTTTAGGACATACCAGTGATTTTTAACTAAAAATTGCAATTAAGTACTTTTGAATGTAAATGTGTTCTCCCTTGCAAGAAGAAAAAACCCAAGGCAAATAAACCCACATAAATGTTTTATAACATGGGCATCCCAAGTTGCAGTCAGTTCTCCTAATCTAGATGGCTCAGGTGAGGCAAGCCAAACTTTTTAGATGGTCCCTATAGGAAGGTGCTGAAAAGGGGATTCTCCACACCATGGAGCTGTTCATCAGATCAGGAAAATTATGTCATCTGACATCATGATCTGGTTGTCATCTTGCATCTGTTCCAAGGCCACCTTGACTTCCGCAGATGAAAAAGGGTTTGGGTTGTCTCGATTGATGGACTCCATTAGGCTCTTCAACCCCACAGACTGCGCATGAGCAGCTTTGAATACCTCCAGAAGGGCAGCCTTGAATGCTTTCAGTCTGTGCAGGTAGAAGAAAACAAACAAGGAGTCAAACAGTATGGTTTGGCTACACAGAACTCGGCTAGGCTCTCAAGCCATGAAGCAGCTAAGATGCTTTTAAAGAACAGTGTTTGAGCTCTGAGTCTCCCACCGCTGTTTGCATATTATTCTCTGCCTCTGCCACAAGATGCCACTGTGTTTCTGCTGCAGGAAGCGACAGCAGTCTGCAGTCTCTATCCATCTTTAATAGAAAGAATACAGAACTGGGTGAAAGAGGGTGAACTGAATGATCCCTCAAGTGGGGCACTTTGGATCTTAAAAAGGCCAGCCATGAAGCCACTGAAGGAAATCCTTATGTTTATGCCTTATGAGGCTCGGGGTGGTGGGGGGGGAAAGATGGGAAAATCCCTCACTGGATCAACATGAAACTTCACAATGAACCAAAAGAGATGCAGCTAATTTGCATACCTTAGTCATAAATAACTAGCATCATTTGACAATCTTTCAGACATGACAATCTTGGGTCTTATTATAAAATTACTTTGAACTACAAAAAAATAAAATAAGACTGAAATCCCAACTGCCCTTATCTGGGAGTAAGTCTCATTCAATAGGACTTATTTCTGAGTAGACACAGTTGAGATTGCACTGTTAGCCTCTGAAAATAATACTGACAAATGAGTTTTCACATCAAGGGTCAGAATAAGCATGGCCTTCTTTGTTTTATTTATTTAAACTACCACATTTTCAAAATGACCAGCCACAAGACTACTTGTAATTCTGCAAAGTCTCAAGGATCACACTAGTGCTTGAGCCTGAATCCCATTAAACTCTGACCTGTAATATTTATTTGCATACTACCCACCTGGATTCAGCCAACTTTGACTTCGTCTCACCAGTGCCCACGGGTTCAGTAGTCTTGGGAGTGTGTGCCTCAACTAAATAATATCAAGGAGAGATGAGTTAGTCTTGAAGGTGTCAGAAAATAGGGGAATGCAATGTCAAGTATTTACCAACAAACTTTAATGGATTCATCCTCTTTATCAGATGTGTCTAACGGGTAATTAATGAATAACAGATTTGTTGCTCTAATAGACTTGTTCAGTCTTTAAGCTATAAGACTTTGTTGTTTTTGCTGCAACAAACCAACACACTGGAAATTATCCTATTTATATAGCAAATATTTAACAGGCAACCCGTGTGGTCTAGTGCAAAGGCATCAAACCAAGACCTATGACTGATGCTATAATCCTACATCCACAAACCTAGTAACAAGTCTCACTGAACTCAGTGCGATTTATTCCTCAGCCATCTTCTGTAGGGTTGCCCTGTTACATACCTTTTTATTTCTTGAGTACTGTTACCACAGAAAAATAAAACACTTTTTTGGGTTGAAGAGCAGTGGATTTTAAGAGACCCAAGAGCAAAGTTAACTCAAAAGGTTTGCAAGTACTGGAGAAACAAATACAGTGGTACCTCGGGTTAAGAACTTAATTCGTTCTGGAGGTCTGTTCTTAACCTGAAACTGTTCTTAACCTGAAGCACCACTTTAGCTAATGGGGCCTCCTGCTGCCCCTGCGCTGCCGCCGCACGATTTCTGTTCTCATCTTGAAGCAAAGTTCTTAACCCGAGGTAATATTTCTGGGTTAGCGGAGTCTGTAACCTGAAGCGTATGTAACCCGAGGTACCACTGCACTGTGTATATGAACACTGTGCAAGTGGTAAATTCTGGAATGGCGAAAACAGAAAAGCAACAGTTTTTCATAGTCTGGGGAGTTCTCCAGCGAAGTCTGCGAGTTGACACTAAGCAGCTCCAAAGCTATCACACTTTCAGCAAGCTTGCCAGAGGTGAAGTGACTTTTGCAGCCAACTGCATGCTGAAATCCCTTGTGGGCAGATTCTACTGTGCAAATGAATCAAAAATATAGCGCAGGAATGCTTTTTTTGATCTGAATCCATTCATCAACTAGCCTGAGGAAGACCGGAGGGAAACTGCTCACCTTCTGGCATTTCCTCTTCAGTGTCGCTGAAGGAATAGGGATCATGAGTCTCCCCTTCCACTGGCTCATGACCACTAGAACGCGTCTTCCTCCTACAGAAGGACAAAAAGTTTATAGCAATATTCTCACCACCCACAAATGGATAGAAATACCTGGAGTGTGTAGATTTGTGGAGAAAGGGAGGGAGAGGAGATATTGAGCTAGAAACCTCATTTTATTTTTTTAAAACTATAAAAACTTATTCTGTGAAACTCTCCCTCCCTCCTATCTTCTACCTGGGTAGGGGACTGAAAAGGAGGGTAAGACTGGAAGCCAGTGACAATGGGAGGCAGAAAGCTACGGACTGAATAAAGTACCTTCCAGACCCTTCTAGTTTTAGTACCTACTTCGGGTTTGTCCTTCAGATGGGTTTGAAACTTGCAGCCCTTCAGATATTGCTCAATTACAACTCCCATCAGCTCTAGACAGCATGGTCAATGGTCAAGGCTGAGGGAAGCGGTAACTCAACTACGTCTGGAAGCCCAAAGGTCCCCACATCCCTGCTTTAGAAGAAAGCAGTCCAAATTATTCTAGATTTTACATTAAAAGCCATATTCTATGCAGTAACCTAATTGTAGCCATTCAGGTGGATGTATTGGGGGGGGGACACAATAATATTGCTTTTTGTTTTAGATGTCATTATTTTGGGTTGGAGAAGGAATGTGCAACCCATTTGCTGTGCGTAGACTGCACTGGTTACCTATTGAAACAAGTTGTTTTGGACTATAAAATCTTTGCAAGTATCTTAGCAAAGAGGTTGAAAAAGGTGTTACAAGAAGTTATACATAAAGATCAAGCGGGTTTCCTTCCTGGCAGACAGATGAAGGATAATATAAGGAATATAGTCAATCTGTCAGAATCTCTGACAGCCAGGAATGAGAAACAAGCAGTGTTAATATTTGTGGATGCAGAAAAGGCCTTTGATAATATATATTGGGACTTTATGTTAAAAAATTTAGAACACATGGAGGTGGGGAATGAATTTTTTAATGGAATAAAAGTGATATACACTGAACAAAGAGCTAAGCTGATTGTAAACAATATGACTACGGAAGAATTAAAAATATCAAAAGGTACGAGACAAGGATGTCCTCTTTCACCATTGTTATTCATAATGGTTCTGGAGATTTTCCTAAATTCAATAAGGAGAAATGAAGCAGTAAAAGGTGTGTCAGTAGGCCGTAATGAATATAAAGTAAAAGCCTTTGCTGATGATCTGGTAATAACAGTGGAAGAACCGCCGGAAAGTTCAAAAGTTGTTTTGGAGGAAGTTGAACAATTTGGTCAAGTGGCAGGGTTTATATTGAATAAGAAAAAAACTAAAATGTTAGCAAAAAATATGGATCAAGGTATGATAGAAACAATGCAACAACAAACAGGGATAGAAGTGGTGAAAAAAGTTAAATACCTGGGAATCTGGTTAACCCCCAAGAGTATTGATTTGTTTCAGAATAATTATGTGCCAGTGTGGAAGGGAATAAAGAAAGATCTAGAGGTGTGGGGCCGAATGAAGTTATCCTTCTGGGGGAGAATTTCAACGATTAAGATGAGTGTGCCGCCAAAGATGTTATTCTTATTTCAGACAATTCCAATAATTAAGGGGACAGCGATATTTAAAGAGTGGCAAAGAGCAATTTCAAGATATATCTGGCAGGGTAAGAAGCCAAGAATTATGTATAAGTTATTAACGGATGCGAAAGAAAGAGGCGGCTTCGCCCTGCCAGACTTGAAATTATATTATGAAGCTTCATGTCTCTGCTGGTTGAAAGAATGGATAAAGTTAAAAAATACTGAGTTATTGGACTTAGAAGGTTTTGATAACAGATTTGGCTGGCACGCATATCTATGGTGTGAGAAAAGAAAGATTCATAAAGGTTTTGAAAACCACATCTTTAGAAGATCTCTCATAGAAATATGGGAGAGATATAGAAGTTTATTAGAATCAAGAACTCCCCACTGGCTATCTCCGTTAGAAGTTATGAGTCTTAAGAAAGTCAATATGAGAGGGAACTGGATTACATATAAATAATTGATTATAAAGGAAGGAGGAAAATGGAAAATGAAATCCTATGAAGAAATGAAAGAGTATGTGTATGATTGGTTGCATTATTATCAGGTTAACGAAATGTTTAAAAAGGACTTAAAAGAAAGAGGTTATGAGGTAAAAGAATCGAAATTTCAAATAGAAATAATAAACAATGAAAATAAAATTTTGTCCAAGATGTATAAAATCTTGCTAGAATGGTATACAAAAGATGAGGAAGTTAAATCGGTTATGATACACTGGGCCAGAGATTTGGGTTATAATATACAGTTTAATGATTGGATAAAACTGTGGAATGAAAATATAAAATTTACGGCATGTACTGCGTTAAAGGAAAATGTTATGAAAATGATTTATAGATGGTACATCACACCTGTGAAACTGGCAAAAATGTATAAAACATGTAATAAGTGTTGGAAATGTAAAGAAAAAGAAGGAACATTTTATCATATGTGGTGGGATTGTAAGAAGGTGAAGGGCTTCTGGGAAATGATATATAATGAGATGAAAAAGATGTTGAAATATACGTTTGTTAAGAAACCAGAGGCTTTTCTTCTAGGAATAGTAGGAAATGAAATAAATAGAATGGACTGTAAACTTTTCCAATATGCAGTAACAGCAGCGAGAATATTATTGGCCCAAAAATGGAAACAGGAACAACTGCCGACGCTCGAAGAATGGAGAATGAAACTGATGGAGTATGCTGAACTAGACAAACTAACAGGAAAGATCAGATATATACGAGATCAAAAATTCATTGAAGACTGGGGAAAATTTTCAGACTATCTGAAATGTGTATGTGATGAGCAAATAACACTAGTGGGATTTCAAGAAGTTCTGTAAATGATAGAGGACTATTGTATTGATGAAAACTAAGTGTGTGAAGGTTTATAAAATGCAATATAAAATTAGGAAATGCGTATTTAAAAATTTGAATAATGGATGATTGTCAGAGAGGTTGAAGGAAGTCTAAAAGAGAAAATATGTGATAAATTTAGATTGGATACTATAAATGTATGTTGGAAAATTTAATAAAAAATTAAAAAAAAAAATAGAAACGAGTTGTTTCAAAGCTGCCCACCTGCCCATCACCTGACGTCATGTGATGCTTCCCTTTGAAGCCCCATCTTTCAGAACTTCCAAGCAAGCATCCTGGCAAGGGCTTTCCATAGGACCGGAAGTGCATCTTGCTTGCTTTAAGCTCCCAATTGTTGCTTTGAAGTGCCTCCCTCCCTTCCCCGCACCTGTCATCATGTATGATGTCTGGTGGGGTTCCTGAAAATGGCCTCACGCTTGCTCTGTGAGCCAGAGGTTCCCCACCCTGTACATTATTCTGTGCAGCCACACAGCTTGTGCATTATGCAAAACACACACAATGTGACCCAAATTATCTGGGCCAGTGAGTTGCATGTAACTGTCTGAAAGCAACCCACCAAGTGAGCCACCGGCTGAACAGATAGTTGCAATGAGATGGAAATGCAAGATGATCCATTAAATATGACAATTTTGTGGTTTTGCTATCTGTTGCCCAATGAAGACTTTTTCTTGAAGAACAAAAAAGCACATGTGGGTTCTCCTTACACCGCTTTTCTTTACTTACCTCTTTTTCTCTCTCGTTTCACTTTCTTGTGCAGCTTCATTCTCCGTGTCTGGGTCTGAACCATCTTCAGTCTGCTTCTTTCGCTTCTTTTCTTTTTCCAAAACCTTTGAAATGAGAGAAGCCCAAAGAATCTATAAGTAGGTCAGCTAATCAGCCATTTGCTCAGGAGCCGAGAAGTCTTAAAGGCAGAAGCCATATACACAGCCCAACAAGACAATGACAAAAATCCACCAACAACATACAAATCAATATGGCTAACCTGATCCAAAACACCCACCTACCCCACTCACACATGAAAACAAAGATCACCACAGCCAATCACAAACAAACAACCACACCCTAGGCTAACCCCAACCTCTCTCACCACCAAAGGAACACAAGTGAATAGCAGAGAACCTGCACAAGCGATGCTGACACAAAACCCCACATATATTAAGTAAAATAGAAACATCGCCACCCGACCCCACCCCCCCACCTCTTTTCCCCTTTTCTTCCTAATGTCTCAACAAATGAAACTGATCTGTAAAAAATGTTACTTGGAGAAAAAAAGAGAGATTGCACATACTTTTGTAAACCAAGAAAATCTTTAATAAAAAAATAATAATCAGAAGGTGCAAAAAAAAAGGGGGGGCAGAAGCCATCAGCAATGTGGCTCCTTAGAACAGGAGGGTGAATCTTAGGTGGTTTTAAGCCTTAATTAAGGTTCAGTCTCCAAATAAATGAGATACCCAACACTGTAGCTTGAGGAGACATATAACCTGCACAGAAGCATGTTGACTTCTGTGTTATGATTAATACTGCAAGGATTTAGAGACAATGTGTAGAAGAATGCAACCATTCGTTTCACAACACACCTGATAAAAACTGACTCTGATTTTCCTGCTCGCTGGACCAAAATTATGTGGCGACTAGCTAAGACACCTTTTTATTCCATCAGGCTTATGCAGGCAATTAAGAATACCTATTTCCACAATAGTTATTTGATTTAAATTTGTTTTATATTATTTTTATTGTATGGTTTTATGCACAGCTGTTGTGAACTACTTAATTAAAAAAATGAAATGGCAGTAAATAAATATTCTTATATAAATAAATGGTGGCTGTATGGACAAAGAGATTGATTTACTCAGTATAACTACAGTCAATAAGCTGACCACCTGCATCTGTGAAATGCTTTGTAATTCAGGAGACTGTAAATTCTCCTACATGTCTCAAGAAGGCACAACCCACCCACAATCTCACTCGAAAGCCCCCAGGAACACTACTAGAGAAGTAAGCATTCATTACTTAGTATAGCCACTGCAGCTTCTGTTGGCTCCAGCTTGCCGTCAATGACATGGAGCTGAGATCAGGATCAACCAGCTAATGTCCAAGTAACGAGGGGCAGATTCATATACCGTATTTTTCGCTCTATAAGAGGCACACGACCATAAGACGCACCTAGTTTTTAGAGGAGGAAAACAAGAAAAGCCAGCAAGAGCCGCAGACACGCTCGCTCAGCAAGCCTCTTTAAAGATAGAGCGGCTCTTGCTGGCTTTTCCGGGAGGCGGCAGAAGGGACTGACGGGCTGCCCTCCGTCCCTTCTCCCACCTCCCTGAAAAGCCAGAGCAAGCTGCGCAGCTATTGCTAAAGCCAGCAGAGCAAGAGCGATAGCTGCGCAGCATCTCTTGCTCTGCTGGCTTCCCAGCGAAGCAGGATGAGGGACAGAAGGGGCTCCATAAGGGCTCCCTTCCGTTCCTCCTCCCGCTTCGCTGGGAAGCCAGCAGAACAAGAGGCGTTGCGCAGCTCTCGCTCTTGCTCTGCTGGCTTCAGCGATAGCTGCGCAGCCTGCATTTGCTCCATAAGACGCACACACATTTTCCCTTTTTGGAGGGAAAAAGGTGCGTCTTATGGAACGAAAAATACGGTACATTAGTTACTAATAAAGGAAGGTGTATTTTACTGCATCACACTGTTGGTCCATCTAACTGAGTACCACTTCCATTCTCCAGTGTTTCCAACAGGAGCCTCTCTCGGCCCTACCTGGAGACAGCTGATCTTTTGAACATAAAAGCATGTGTTCTACCACCAAGCTACGCCCCTTCCTCATGAGTTCAGGGTGTCTGGGCAGCAGAGGAGGCAGCGTGCTCCATTTCTTCTGCTCATCCAACCTGCAGCATTCCTCCTTTCATTTCCCAATCTCACCCTTTGTATGAAAGGATTGCCGATGTGTGTCAAGATACCAAACACAAGCCAAGTGAAGAGAATTTTATCACCTATGCACAACTGCTCAGAAATCTGCAAGATGGGGGGGGGGGGAATGACAAGATTTTTGTCTCTTGGAAGGATACTACTACAACAACTGACTTATCAAGTGGTCCTAACAGTGCTGCAAGTCACCACATGGTAAATAGTTACCTGCACTCTCTCATTCTGCCCTTGGCTAAGTGGGGCAGCACCATGGTGCACTTACTTTTTGCTACTGAAAACCCTTTACCCTTCAGGAACAAGGATGCATGTGTTGCTTCAGCACAAGCAAACGGCCCTTTGATCCCCTCCTGAAGGACTAGTAATTGGTCCTGCCTCAACCCTGGCCAGAAGTCAAGTGCAATAGAGCTCTACTTTGTGCAGTAGAGCTGTGCACAGCAATGACCATTGTCAGGGAAAAGCTTCAGCACAGCAGCAATAATTCTGGTTCCTGGACTCAGCAGAGTGATGGAGTTCTCCTGTCCAATCCAGCAACATCTGTGTAGCAATTCACACAAGTGCTGAGCCATTACAAAACTCTGCACAGCAGATAACACTATAGGTTTTTGGAGCAGCAATACAATTACCGTATTTTTCGCTCTATAGGACACACTTTTTCCCTTCTAAAAAGTAAGGGAAAATATGTGTGCGTCTTATGGAGCGAATGCAGGCTGCGCGGCTAAGCCCAAAGCCAGAACAGGGAGACGGAGCACTGCGCAGCGCTCCGTCTCGCTGTTCTAGCTTGGGGTTAGCTGCACAAAGCTTCCGCAGGGCAGCAGGGTGAGGGCTGTCCCCGAAGCCAGAACAGCAAGAGGCTATCCCAGAAGCCAGATCCCTCTTGCTGTTCTGGCTTCTGGGGTTCAGAATTTTTTTCTTCTTGTTTCCTCCCCCCCCAAACTAGGTGCGTTTTATCATCCGTTGCGTCCTATAGAGCGAAAAATATGGTAAGCAAACCTCTGCCACTCGATGAGAAAAGACCAGCATCCTCTTCTGCCATTTGTGAATATGAAGGTAAAGTCCATCTAATTACTGATCACTATAAGCCACCTTGGGAACATTTACAGGGAAGAACACTTGAAATAATGGATGACATTAGTACCATTAAAAGATACAAGCCAAGCGCTACCAAATACCTGTCCCCAGGTTAGATGCATTTTTTTTTTTTTTTGCCTGTTATGATAACAGGCAATCCAACAATAGTTTGCACACCTTTTTGAAGTAGGCAAATTGCACCAGCTCTAAAGCAGCTTTGGCATCCTGGTTGTCCACTGTTTTGCTCATCCTGGCTTTAGCATGTGCAGTTGAGAGTCTGATCAGAGTTTCCAGCGTACGGGCCGTTATAGGGGAAGTCTGGAAAGTAAGATAGAACCATTGAGCTGCTGAATGATAAAAAGAATGAGACTCCCATTTCTGGCAATCACTTGTAGAACAAATACATAGCAGCACATAAAGGGGAGAAGCCACAGGGCTCTTTTGCTATAGCCAAGCAAGGAGACTACCAAGGTTATGCAGCTGACAATTCAAGCTGCAGGACAAGCCTCTGATAAGCACTACATGCTCCTGTAATCTTCCACAATGTGAACTGCAAATGTCTCTCTCTCTCTCTCTCTGTCTCTCCTAGGAGACAACTACATGCAGCCTTTGAAAAAGGAAAAAAATATGAAAACCAAATACAGTCATACCTCGGGTTACAGACGCTTCAGGTTGCATTTTTTCAGGTTACAGAACCGCCGAAACCCGGAAGTACCGGACTGGGTTACTTCTGGGTTTCGGCGGTCGCCTATGCACAGAAGCGCTAAATCGCGCTTCGCACATGTGCAGAAGCGCCAAATTGCAACCCGTGCGTGTGCAGACACACCGCTGCGGGTTGTGAACATGCATCCCGAACGGATCACATTTGCAACCTGAGCGTCCACTGTACATGTAATTTCTCAGATCCATAAAAAGAATCTGCCCACCCATCTGCCAATACTAGTGTGTTACATGCAGTTGCATTTTTTTTTAAAAGCGTGCTTTAAATTCAATGGGATTTTAATCTGAGGCTACAGGCTCCACTCCTAGATTTTGTATGTTATGGATGGGGGCCAGGGAACGTTATGGTGCTCAGGTGACTTCTATCTGCACAAAATCCTCTTATTAAGCAGCGCTGCAGCCCTATAGCATTGTTCCCCTGCTGCTGTTATTCAGAGAGGAAAGTGAGGATTTCCAGGCCGAGTTCGGCTGACTGAAAAGCAGCTAAGCTGCACATCGGAAAGCAAAACAGCTGCATAGTCAAGGCTACTTTGATTCAAATATAAAGTACAATTATTTGTTCCTCCTCCTAAGAGTTCAAAAGAAACATTGCTTTTACCTCAGAGGTCCAGTGGTGTAAAGTAAGCTGAGGAACAACCACATGCCCATTGCCATCCAGAAACCTCTGCAGTTCAGCAGGTGTCTGAACTCGGGTTTCTTTGTGTCTTAACACAATGTTCTTGTGCTACTACATCACATGTAATATGTAATTTTCTCAATTTCAGCTTTGCTCTCCTCCCCCACCTTTTTCCCAGTAAAAAGGACCCAGCCCCCTACTCACTCTAGCCACATCAGAGCTGATCTGGTCCTGACTGCGAAGAGAAGAATATTCCTGAGCGATGAAGGCTGCTGCTTCCTCGGTCAAGACTGGCTTGATCATCTTGGCGAAATGAATGTATTTCCTCATGAACTCCACACTAACGATCTTCTCTCTGTTTGGCAAACGCAAAGTGATCAAGTTCTGTAAGCAATTCAAAGTAGGTTCCTCCCTTCAATGGGTCGAATACACAGCCCTAACTGTAAAAAGATGAGAATTAAAGCCAGTGAACCCATTTGCCATTTCCCTTTTATGAACCCTGCAGCCTCACATCCCTAAACTAATGTTTGTATTAAGAACTGTAGTGGAAGCACCTTGCAGGAGGGAAGTCTCAGAAAAATGCGGGGGGGGGTGCCTCTCTGGAGGACTCTCCTTACCTCCAACTCCCAGAACTGCCCTGCGCAGAGAAGGAAAGTAGTAGGGGGGTCCCCAACACACAAAAAGATGGAGGGGCGGAATCTTCTCTATGAGGAAGAGTAACAGTGCTTAAAGGCTTTCAAGTTTAGTGGGGCGGAACTACTAAGGAGGATAATATGAACAAAAGCTTATAAACTCATAAATGCTGGAGCCAAAAGTTCTCCTCTCTTGCCACAATACCTGTCACCCAATGACTTTGGATTGGCAATAGATCCACCACAGACAGAAGTACAATAAAGCGTAAGGAAGTCAATGAATTCATTGCCACAAGGTGCAGGGCTAGTTGGGGGTTGGATAGCTTTAAAAGGGGGGAGTCATGGAAGATGCAGCCTATCTATAGCTCATCCCTGCAATGAGAGGCTGGCGAACAACAAGAGTAGGGCAGTTCCCTCCATCTCCTGCCTGTGAACTTTCAGACACACAGCTCACCACTGGAAAATAAAAGCCGGACCTTTGGTTTGATCCAGCTGGGCTGCTCTTATACTATCTAACCAAAACTTCCTGTCAGTTCCCGAGAAAGCAAAAATATTGGGTGTGTGTATGTGATATAGGGCCCCTGAATATAGGCTACTGATTTGCATTTCTATAAGGTTTGGAGGCTGCGCTTTAAGCCACCTGTGTTTTAAGCTACAGTAAGTGTGGCAGGAGAAGAGATTACAGCAATCTATCTGCAAGGAGGAAGACTGTGGGAGGCACTCACTTCCTCCTCTTAGGCCCATGCAGTAGATCGTCGTGTTTTTCATACACCTGCAGCTCATGGTCCTCCTCCTCAGCAAAGGCAGGATCATCGGTGGCCAACAGCTCAACGGTGCTGCCCAAAGGCATGGCTGGAAATAGAAGGGAAGGGTTGCCTGGAGACATATCTAGGTCACATTCAATTACTATAGCAACAGACGTGAAAACCAGCACCTTCTCACTGTACTGTTTCCTGAAAAGCTCCATTTAAAAGAGAAAAAAAATCTGGGCAGCAGAGCAAGTTTTAAGTCACTACCGATGAGAAAATATTATAGCGATTGGGCAGTGCCTTTGCTGACATGTGCAAGGGCCTCTCTAGGCATGCACTGTGCGCTCAGTGGCACCATTCCTGTACACAGCCATGTAGAAGTGGAAATTCTGGCTGGTACAGCTTCCCTGCAGGGATGAGAAGAGCCAAGTTGCCAAAGCTCCCTCTAACAATGAAAGCAGGCGTGGTGAAATAAACTTGCATTATCGGTCCATTTTTTACTCTGACCCTACCCACAAGGGGCATGTTGCCCAGGAGGAAATGTGGCCCTTGGGCTGAAATGGTTCCCTGATCCCCGTGATAGGAGAAAAGTCTTCTGCTTTTTCTCCCCTACACATCTGCATGCTAAAGTTCTATTTTCTCCTCGACTTCCAACCTGGATTCCTATTAGTTGCAGTGGAATTCCTTATCTAATGTTAGGAGCATCCCTGCGTTCCACAGGTAACTTATCATGATCGTTGCACCTCCCACAACAGCTAGTGAAGACCTGAAAATATGCCATGGCACAACAGGAGTGTTGCTTACAAAAGAAAGAAGCCTTGGGTAATTCTCATGTCACACAGGATTTCCCATAAAGCTTTTCGGGAAGGGAGACTCACCATCTCCATCCTGTTCACCAGCTGCTCTGTAACGATGCATCCGCAAAACATGGTCCGAAATCTCCCGATCTAGCTCTGGATCCATTTGATCCAAGACAATGAAGAGCAAATCAAATCGAGACAGTAGAGAGTCCTGCAAGCCAATGTTCTCCATGGGGGTTTTGTATTGGTCATACTGTAAAAAGTTATATGAAAAAACAGCACGTTCAGCCTGCAACTGTTAAGGGTATCTTATTCCTAAAGAGGGAAATAAGGCCCACTGGATGGGGAGCGCGATAAAGAGAAACCCAGCATTTTCTGAAATAAAAAAAATAAGAAGCACAAATATTGCTACTTATGCATACCATGGTACTGTTTTTAAGTACAGAAAATGCAGGTGAATGACAGCCAAAGCTTGCCATTCACATTCCCCTCATTCTCTATTACATAAAAGAACTCCATTTTCAAATAAAGACAAACAAACACAAACCACTGTGGTGACTCTGGCCTGCTTGACAAGGCTATTGCCATTTTTAAAGCCACTTTTAGGAGCAACAACAATCACATGTCTATTCATATGCATATATACCTTGTTCCCTTTGCCTACGTATTACAGCACTTTGTTTTAATTGTTTAATATTAAATTATCCACCCTGAAATCTTATATAAGGCAGGCTATAAATGGATTAAGTAAAATGTGTTTAGTACAATTCACAGCATGTACCTGGGTCATTGCATCGTGAATCTCCTGTTTCTGTCAGCAAACCTCACTCATTGCATGAAAGACCACAATATCAACTCACGTGGTAAGTTCATCTGGATCACATGTTTCAGAGAACTCTTTCTCTATCAACTTGGGGGAAAGAGGGCAGGAAGCACCCTACCTGCTTGCCAGTCACTGAACAAAGTGCAAAATGCAGATTGATGCCAACTGAAGAATTTCACCTGAAACTATGCCAGGGGTTCACCATCAGCAGTGTGTGAGAATGTATATGACCATCTGAAGAAGGCTATCCCCATATTTAAGATGGCACAACCTCTTTAGCTGCAGCCCCACAAAGTGACTAACAAAACCAGTATCAAAATTTAAAGCAATAAAAAGAAAACCAGAATGGTCTGCAAAGTCAACAACTTTGCCATTAGGTGTGCCTGAAGAAGCATTCGTAAGTACTCACCTTTCCATACACTGGGTTGGCAGCTGCTAGGACGCTGCAGCGAGCATTGAGCTGGGCCTGAATACCTGCCTTGGCAATGGTAACGCGACCTTGCTCCATCACCTCATGGATAGCTGTGCGGTCAATGTCAGACATCTTATCAAATTCATCAATGCATACCACACCCCGGTCAGCCAAGACCATGGCACCTGCTTCCAGACAACGCTCTCCTGAAGACAGTAAATTGAGAGTACACATGAGTTTGGACACAGCTCCCTTCACACCTTTCCAACTAGGTGAACTGGAATACTGATATCCAAGCACTCAAGTGTTATACTACTTCCCCATCTCCATGAACACAGTAAGCTGTCCCAGCACTGTCCCTTAACATTCAGTAAGTCCTACAGAAGATCAAAGACAGTCTAGCCCATTGCTATGGGCCTCCAGTTGCCCTGGATCAGAAAATCGAAGCACACATGTTGATTACACCCATCCACTGACCACAACTTCTTGAGCATTCATCTCCAAGTTAGCAAAAGCAATATGCTAAGCAGTTCATATTAGCCAAAGGTTGCTATTCCACCTGAAAAACAGGCTATTTAGCAGAATTAGCTCCCAGAGTACTGTTTCCATCTATGAAGCTGCCAATAATCTGTGCAGCTTCTGCACATAAATGCTTACTTACCAGTTTCCGGGTCTGTAGTGACGGCAGCAGTCAGACCAACTCCAGAGGAACCCCTGCCTGTGGTGGGGATGGCCCGTGGAGCTGTGCACAGTACATAACGCAGCAACTGAGACTTTGCAACAGAAGGGTCACCTGAAAGAGAAGAGAGAGTGGACTCGTTATGATGTTAACACCGCCTCAGTACAGAACCGCTAGCCTTCCATTTTGGCCCATGAGACTATCATGGCCAAACCATGCTCACTTGATGTCGTCTATGGCATCAGGTATGGGGCAGACAAAGCTGAAGTTGGGCCAAAAAGGGTTTTGCAGGCATTGCTGATTGGCTGATGATCAGCACCCAAAAAGCCCTACGCAAAGTGCTGTGCTCGGGACTTCACAACTGCTGGCTATCAGCTGACCAGCGCCACCTGGACAGGGCTGTGCCTTTGCCCATGGGGTTTGATTTCAAATTGCAGAAGCCCAGACAGGTCACACAAGGTCACAGAGGCATTAGGTGATTGACAGATGGGTGGCCCTGGCCCCAACTACTACAGGACAACTAAGTGGCAAAGCAATACAACAAAACAGAATTTAAACATCTTCAAAACAACTAAAAACATCTAAACTATGGCTAGCAAGATATGAACATTTCCATGATATATATTTTTTAAAAGAAAAGTGCCCACAGTCATACCAATTAGCAGGATGTTAATATCCCCTCGGAGGCGACTTTTGTTGTCCAGCACCTTCTCCACTCCCCCTAGCAGCATACAGAGAATTGCCTTCTTGATGTACTCATGGCCATGGATACTGGGAGCCAGAGACCTTGAAAGCTGATCAAACACATCCTAGTTTCAGGAAACAAGTAGCAGAAAAATGTATTAGGAGGTGCCCGTAGACAATCAACCACGGTTTCAAATGGCAACAGAAATCAAAATTACTTTCAAAGCACATCAGGAAAAGGAGGGTTCCACCACAATTGTATGGAGGGTCAGAACTGGTTTAAGGTAACACCCATACTGGAACTAATATTTTTCAGTATCAGTTGAAAAAATGTAATACAGTACAGTGATCATGATATATTATGGAACACGTCAGTGCAAGATGACGCTATAGAAACACACTAAGATGTATTTGCTTATTAGCGGTATTTGAAGGCCAGTATATGCCGAAGTTTCTTAATGTCTCACAACAACAAAACCCCACAATTTAAAACTGAATAAACCATAAAATAAGCAGAGTAAAAATAGCTTTAAACATAATAGATTTTTAAAAATTCAATGCAGACATTCCTAATCTTACTTTTAGTTTTGATTTTACCATAAACAGGCTCCTTGTAATTAAGCTCTAAAGCCCTTCACACCTCTCTGCAACCACAGTTTTTAGCACAAAGTTTACAAGGTCCACTTAACACATTCCATTTTTAGGCACATGGTTAAAACATTGTACGCCTCAGAACTGACTACAAGAAACACATGGATTGGTTGCAACTCTGCTGAGTCAACATTAAAGCAAACCTGAATCTTCCCAAGCAAAATATGTGAAATTGCCCTAACATCATAGCCCAATTTACCTTTGAGTGGCTTTTGCTGAATTTTTTTATCTTGGAAATATCAGCTGATGAATATTCAGGCCGAACCTCCTTATTCATTTGCTTCACTTGGCAAGCAATCAGAATAGTCCTAGAGAAGGTGAGAAAACACAGACCCTTTGTTACAGGTCTAGACTGACCAGCTGCAGATTAGCGGAAGATTGGTCAAAAATTTTTTTGACAAATCTTAGTCAATAAGTGTTTGGTCCATTTCCAATGAGACTTTAGAGAAGGTACAATGCTCAGGGAACCCTTTTTAAAGCCATACTCCACTTCACTACATTAATATCTGCAGAGCTATAATGTTTTAAATTTTCAAAAGACTTATATTCACTAAAATGTATCTCCAGGTTTTTTTTAAAACACACACAGAGATAAAACACCATCTGAAGAGTCTTTGTCTGCTTTCTTCTTATACTACATGAAAGGTCTCCAAGATGATGGGCTGGTTCACATGCAGCTAGAAGCCATGGTTTAGCACTATGTACACAAGCCACGATGAACCTGAACTAATTACACACTACCTCCCTGCCACGGCTGCTTCCCAATACTGGCCTCATATTGAAGGCAAGTCTGAAGTGGGGGAAGCCTGTGCACACAGATGGGGAACAATGTCATCTGTCCTACAGCCCCTTCTCCTTAATTTAGTGTGAGGACAGGCAGGTTGCACTTGATCAGCAGAAAGGGAAAACCCTTCAGAAGCACTTCTAGTAAACCCAAATTACCTAGGAAAAGTATTAATTGGCTACTAAGCCAAAGAACAATTTGTGGACCTCTGAATATGATACTAAGTCTTCTGGGTGCTGCTACTCTCCTGCATTTAAGAATGGCATGTTCAATGGGAGGATAGAGGGATTATCAGATTTTGCATTCACAATTTACATATTGGCATGTGTAAATTCTTATGTATGCACCACCTGCAATTTTAGGAGAAATGTGTGATGGAGGAGAAACAAAGGCAACCATTTTGTGAGGGGCTTCAGGCAAATTCTTATGATGGGAGAGAGACAGAGAAACACACACACAAAAAAAACCACCTCATACTGAGAGAGGCCAACAGAGATCACACAGACCAGAAACAGCAAGTCAATGCTTAAAAGGATCATAATAACATGTGTGAAGGGCAGAATCACACAATTTATCAAGAGAACTAAGATCTACATGATGCACTTTAGAAGTCAGGCTATCTGGAATTTTTTCAGCACATATATTTGGCAATGTCCTTTGTGAAATAAACTGACATTAATCCTCTTATAGAATTGGGGGGGGGCAGGTCTTGGCATAGCAGTACCTTCCCTAGAACAAGGCAGAATCTTTGTAAACTGCCAGAAGATTTAACAGACAAGAGGAATGAAGTTTAAAATGTTGTAATATCATTACCATAACTAGGCAGATAATGTTTGCAGATTCTGTGACAAGTAGGCAGTAGTAAGGGCAAGAATCCATTGCAAGAAGCCTTGCTGAGTAGTTTGATTTTATGACAGCACGCCAACAAATAAGCTTGCCTGCTGAGCGTTTTACCTAAATGTCCCTGAAGTGTAGCCACCTTTCTTTCCTGGCAGACAACGGAACGTCCCAATGACCTGCACTCTGTCCCCTGGTTTCACCTTGTCTACCAAGTCATCGTCTAAAATGATGTCCACAGAGCGAGGGAGCTGCCCAGCTGGTGCTTTCTCTGGCATCTCTTGGATTGTGATTGTCTGGTGGTCCTTGTAGGTAGACAGGCCAAACTCTGTCTCAAGCGGGTTGTTCTCTTCATCCTAGATAACCAGTGTAAGATAAAAATATAACTTGCTTTTTAGTGTAGCCTGTTATGTCCACACTGGGTAGTGCCCAGGCATGGTCCAAGTGCCACTTAGGGAAATGCTGTCGTTAAGTAATTTAGCAAGGTACGTCATGAGAGATTATTTTAACTGTAAGCTTGGAGGATCATAAAATAATTGGTTTTTTTATGGGCAAATAAATTGAAGAGATTCTGGTAGACTCACTACTTCAACACATCAACACTTTCTGCTATTATTATTTGTTAAATTTGTATACTGCCCTATACCTGCAGGTCTCAGGGCAGTTCACAATGTATCACGACACAGCTGGTTTTTCAGCCAAAACAAAATCGTCACAGTTAAGGAAGGTTACAAGCTGACCAGTATATCCTGTAGATCACTATGCAGAACCAGTTGCAGAAGCATGTGTTGCTGCAGCAGCTGTTTTGGAGGAGGGGTTACACATAGAGATATTGAACAGCACAAACCCTTTCAGACAACAATTTTCTTTGGGTGGTGCATCATTTAGAACCAATTTTCAGGGAGCACAAAGGGCAGCAGGACAAATAGCCTCCCTCAATTCTCTCTCCTTTTAGCAGAAAAAGAATACATGAAAGAAGTGCTCTTAAAGAGGTAGGAAACTGAGGAGAAAATAGAATTGAGATAATTTGGATAAAAGATCCACTGAGGAATGCCCATCCTGTTGATGGGAACACCCTCGAGGACACGAAACCCACTTGGCTCACCTTGGTAGGGTAAACAGCAGCTGATGGAAAAGGTTCCAGGGATGTCATATCTGTGTACCGGCGCTCAATTGTCTTTTTGGTAGCAGGGCAATAGTGTACACTGCGCACAATCTTTGGGCGGACCAAAGAACCTGTGTTGGAGTGGGAACAGCCTTTAATTTTGTTTTAGGTCACAATACTCTGCAAAAAGAGATGTTGCATTAACAGCATTCACCCCAGACATTCGCAAGTGAAATTCCAAATTTCCATTTCAGAGCCTAACATTAAAAGCCTGATTCTGTCCAGGGCTACAGCCTAAATACCTGTTTAAATATGCTGTAACTGACCCCAAAGGAAATCTATTTCCCACAGGTGCTTCCTTACTCCCCAGCAATAGCCATGACCAACATCAGAGCTCATGAATGTTCTTTTTCAGAACGTGCTTCAACATTCCCAATTCCTTGTCAGATTCCTACACTCTCTCTCTTCCAGCTAATGCAAAGACAGGAAGAAATCCCAAAGCTAGATTGACAGTCTCCAAGCTGGCTGGGGGAAGATTCTGCTGCTCCTGGCCCACTCCCCGTACCACTGTTTCCACACAAATGTCCTCAGCCACCCATCTTCCTTTGTGAGCGGCCCCACCCCAGTCAAAAAGGCATTTGCCAAGGTAACATTTACTTCCACCCAAATACATAAGACCTATACAGGTATTACAAGGCACATAAAAACACACAGGAGAAAACAAGGGGTTGTGTGATCGCTGCGCCCCTGCCCTCTTCAGTCTGGCACTATCAGCCTTGATTTGCAGACTTGCAGAGAGCAACTGTGTGAAACAGGCACCCTCCGGAGTCCTGCATGCAAGGAGGCACCTTGTGCATTGTGGAACCCATTGAACTCATGGAAACAAGAAGCTCCCTGCTTCACACAGTTGTCCTCTGCAAGTTGAGGCCTGTGGGCAGCATACTCATTGCCACTGCCCCCCCCCATGTTTTCTCTATACTTCAAGGCAACACCAAATAGGGTCACTATATCCATTATGCCACACTTAGCTTTGCCCTGCAGTCATTTATTTAGACCACTGATGGTACATGTTTTCGCAGAGAAATCAAGTGCTTGAGAAGACTACCATTGGTCCCATTACATTCCCATCCATGCAGTATTAAAAGCTGTCCTCACTTTGTTTTTTAACTCACATTTCGTTACAATACCCTCCACACAGACAATGCAGCTGAGAAAGTGGGATGTCAACGTCCGTGGTGTCACATGTTTAGATCCAAAGCTTCCCTCAAGCCCAATGTAAAAATCTTCATATTGCTTGGAATAGGTGGCATCAACAGAAGCAACAAAGTCCTTCAGGGCACGCTGGAAAGCCACCATCTCCTCAAAGGCACTGTTCAGCAAACTGGAGCAAAGATGAACAAGACTCTGGTGTCAGAATCCCTAATGCCATGTCAGCCCCTACCAATATGTCAGTTGCTGGCAGTTTTTTCCAGGGGAAGGGAGACAGAAGATCCCTGGTCTTCTAAGGGATGCTTATTGGCCTTCCTCCCCTTTCCCATCTCTGTGGCCAAACAGTTCTTTCTTCCTAAATGGAAACTACATCAACTTCTGCCATTTTACTCTACGTATGCTAGATCTTCATAACATTTAGGCAGGAAGAATCCGCTGCATAAATATAAGATGGGAGAAACCTGGATTTCATGCATGATCTAGTTGAGATTCCTGCACTGCAAGGGGTTGGGCATTGCAGGGCGAGAATCCTCAGGGGTCCTTCCAACTCCACAATTTCTAGCTAAGAAATGCAACACCTGGAAGCTTTCCAATGACAAGAGCCAGAGAAATCAGCCACCATGGCTCCTGAAAAGCGCTTAAGACAGCCTTCTCTTCCTTTTTCAACTCTTTTGAGGTTGTTGTTTAAATTGTGTTACCACTCAATGGGCTGTTTTATATTTTCAAACCCTGCTCCAGATTTAATTCCACATATACAAGTTTCTTACTGTGGCAATTTTAAACCATTGTTTATCAATCACATTGACAGTAGCATCTTATTCTTTAAAAAGTAGCTGTCATATGCAGTTCTTTGATTCCATTCCAGTGTGATGCATATTAAGGCTTTTGTGTCTTAAACGTTGCATTATATACAGCAGATCTATTTGTATTCATTTATTAAAAAAACAGTTGTACAGGAGGCAGTGAGATGTTCCTGAGCTTACAAGTACTGTAGCTAACCAAAAGAAAAGGGAGGGGGAAGGGTAAGAGTTGGAAGGGACCCCTAGAGTCATCTAGTCCAACCCCTCTGCAATACAGGAATCTCAACATACACACACTATATCTATCTATCTATCCGCGGTGACCCAGCGCAAGTTTAACTTACCGACTGGCTCTTTTCTCATTTTTTCTTCGGAGGTCATTGATGTTCACAATCAGGCGGTACTGGTTGTCGCTAATCATGTCCCGGACTTTACTCTGGTAAATCCCCTGGTCCTCCTGCAACAAATATCAGATCACAACCTTTGCTAGAGCCCAAGACCCAAAGCATTGTAAGGGACTCCGGCACCACGCAGGGTGACACGCCCCCCGCCAAATAGAAACAATCGCAACTATACACCTGTACATATATATATATATATATATATATATGTATACACACACACACAAACACAAACACACACACACACACACACACAGAGTCATACCTCGGGTTGAAGTTGCTTCAGGTTGAGCACTTTCGGGTTGCGCTCCGCAGTGACCCGGAAGTAACGGAAGGCTCACCCATGCGCAGACGGTCAAAATGATGTCATGCGCATGTGCGGAAGCGGCAAATCGCAATGCGCAGACGTGGGCTGCGTTCGCTTCAAGATGCGAACAGGGCTCCAGAACGGATCCCGTTCGTATCCAGATGTACCGCTGTGTGTGTGTGTGTGTGTGTATATGTACAGTGGTACCTCAGTTTAAGTACTTAATTCATTCCGGAGATCCGTACTTAACCTAAAACTGTTCTTAACCTGAAGCACCACTTTAGCTAATGGAGCCTCCTGCTGCTGCCACGCAGCCAGAGCACGATTTCTGTTCTCATCCTGAAGCAAAGTTCTTAACCTGAAGCACTATTTCTGGGTTAGTGGAGTCTGTAACCTGAAGCGTATGTAACCTGAAGCGTATGTAACCTGAGGTACCACTGTATACACACATATACGCGCATATATATATGTATATCCACGCAGCATAACCATCAGGATGGGCGTGAGCTCTATCCCCTGGGGGCTTAAGCCCTCCTTCCCCCAGGGGACCCCCACCCACCTAGGCCTGCCTCACCCCTATGACCCCCCCCCCCGGCCTTTCGCCAAAGCCCCTTCGCAGCCCCGCTCGGCCCGAGGAGGACGCAAGAGGTTTCCACAGGCACCGAGGCGCGTCGCCCACAAAATCGGGATTCCAATGAATTCAATTTTACGAAGCGAGGCGCGCCGAGGCCCGAGTCCTAACGAGTCACGAAGTTGCACTCTGCACATGCTCGGCCGCCGCCCGGCCCACCTCGTCGTCCAGGAAGTCCAGGTAGTCCCTCTGGGCCTCCCTCAGCTCCGCGTCGTCCAGCACCGCCGCCGCCGCCATCCTTCCTCCCGGCTCCGTCCTCTTCCCTCTCCGGCTCCCTCACGGTTTTGGCGCCAAAAGCGCGCCGCCTTTTCCCGCCAAACCGAGCGGAGGGCGATGGGCGGGGCTCTCGAACACGCCGCCCAATGGAACGTCACGCACGGCGCGGAACTCCGCGCACGTCCGGAAACTGCCGGCCAATCCGGCGGTAGGCGCGGGAGGGAGGAGGCGGGCCCTCGCGCCCCCGGTGCATTGTGGGGCTTGTAGTTCGCGGCCGTGAGTTCCTGGTTTCTCTCGGTTTCCCGCGCGAAATGAGCCTGCCTGTATAACGCTGCAGCCAGGAGGGGGCGCTAATAGGCCTTTCCCCCACCAAATAAGGGTCAGCGAACTTTTTCAGCCGGGGGCCGGTCCCCTGTCCCGCAGACCTTGTGGGGGGCCGGACTATATTTTTTTTTTGGGGGGGGGAGAACAAATTCCTATGCCCCACAAATAACCCAGAGGTGCATTTTAAATAAAAGCACACTTTTTACTCATGTTAAAACACGCTGATTCCTGGAACCATCCGGGGGCCAGATTGGGAAGGCGATTGAGCAGGATCCGGCCCCCGGGCCTTAGTTTGCCCACCCATGCTCCAGTGCAAGAGTTTGGTTCCTTTGCTCTCCGCTGCTACAATCGGGAGCCTGTTATCCCTGGGATTCTCCAGGAAAGAAACGCCTAAGAAGAGCCTTGCAGGATCAGGCCCATGAATAGCCCACCACGTCCAGGATCCTGTTCTTGCAACGACCAACGTGGGGGGGGGAAGGGTTAACAGCACCCCCATCCCCAGACGCCACTCCCCATCCTGCTCAAATCCCCTGCAACATATAAACACACAGCTATTCAACGTGTAAAAACTTTTTTTTAAAAAATCAATGGAGCCACACGACTGTCACGTCCCGCTTGGCCCAAGAGCGCTATGCAAAGGAGCCTCTCCAGCAGCAGAACTTTCTGTGATGTGTGACGCAAAATGGGGAATAAGAATCACTTATCCTAAAATACATCTTTCAACCTGATCTCTCTGTATTTCTTAAATAACTGGTGATCTTTAGCACATGATTTTGACTGATGCCAGTGGTCCTCCCTCTGTCGGCAAAGGAGCACTTACTTAACACCTGCGGGGGCAGGATTGCTCCCTTAACCTTTCCTCCTTTTTTTACGCCACGGAAGTTGTGTTCTTTCTTCTTCTCCTTTCACACATGATCATGTGTAGTGAATTTGAGGTGTTTAATAACAAATAGCCTACCCCATCATTTTCCTTGTGATTGGTCATATCAGCAGAATCAAGTGCCACAGAATATCTGTTCCGCATTTGTAAGACCTCAACCGTTTACTTTGGAACTCCCTGCCCATTGAGACCAAGCAGACGCCTTCCTTGTACTCTTTTCAGTACAGTTCCTGCTAAAAAACATTCTTGCTTAGACAAGCCTGCCTAGATGCTTAGAAAGTTGCGGTAGTTTTAATCTGTTTCAGTATTTTAACATTTTTATGTTTTAAAGTAGTGTTGTGTTTTTTTCTTGATTTTCTTGGTTTATCTTTTCGTAAACCACTTTGAAGGCTTTTTTAATGAAGAAGAGGTATATACATTTTATTAAATAAACAAATGACAGCTGACACTGAGCATATAAAGTCTTGTGTTCTTTATATACTACTAATGATGAAATGGCTCACTAAGACTCTCAAGCATTTCAATTTTCTTTCTGTTGAGTGTGTGTGTTTCTTTTTTTTAACAAGAATAAAAATATATTATCCATTACTTCTTATATTGTTTGTATTTTTGGGTGAGGTGTACATGTGTATATTTAGTAGGGCTTCTAACATTTTTTATATCATGTGTTAGTGAACATATGTGTACTACTAATACATTAAACTAAACAGACAAAAAAATCAAGGTAAAATTCAGCTCCAACTTTCCCTCAAAAGACAGGCGTTCTATTGAAAACATCTATATTTGGAAGCCCATTAAAATGACTGTGTTAATTTTCAACATAAAATAATAAACCATCCAGTCTTGTAAACAAAGAACAAGGAAACTGCAGCCAAATCTCCCAGTATTGAATGGAGGGATAGGTAGAACCAACATCTTCGACACGACATACCCACTCTGGGCGGCTTCCAGCGTATATAAAAACATAATAAAACATTAGACGTTAAAAAATGTCCCTATACAGAGGTGCCTTCAGAGGTCTTCTAAAGGTTGTTTAGTTACTTAGCTCAGGGGTCGCATAACTCCACACCCTCCTACATTTCTCCAATGAAAATAGGGACGTCCTAAGGAAAAGTGGGACATTCTAGGATCAAATCAGATTCTGTAAATCCAGGGCTGTCCCTGGAAAATAAGGACACTTGGAAGGTCTGGCATGAATGAATGAAGTGGAGCAACAACAGCCACATAATAGTGCTTCATGCCACCCCAATCTCTGAGTGGCGTGAAATTCCAGGGGTCCCAGGCACTTCTCCAGGGTCTGTGTTTCCTTTTGGAAATGACACACAGTGGAGACTGTGGTGTCTTTATGATATATGGTTTAATTCCACATATATACAACCTAAGCCTAGATGGAGAGTGCAGAGCAGTCACATACTAAGAGGGTCTTCTTGCCTTCTCTCTAAGCGCAGCGTTGGATTCAAACAGACACTGGCCATTTCTCTGCCTCCTGCTCTCTCTCTGTGTCACATAATTTCTTCCTCCTGGCTTCTAACCCACCTGGTGTGAGGTGGATCTGAGCTGTCTATTGGATGCTTCTAAACCCACAGGACATCACTTTACACACTTGACGAAGCTGATAGCAATCCTTGAAAGAAAGAAAAAAAGACTTTAAAGTGATAAAATTCTAGATGATAAATGTTTAGAATTTAAAATGTCACAAGACTGTTGTTTTTGCTGCAAGAGACTCACAAGACTACCCCTATGAAAATTAGTTTAATGGGCTAGATTGTGAAAGAAACTACCCTTAAGGCTTGTAAATACCCACTTAACTGGATACCAGTAGCAAGTTAAGGCGCTATGAAGCAAGTGGGTATGTTTGTGACAAGCACACAGAATCAAAACATGTGTATCTCACAAGCAGCACCTTTTAGGGGGACGCGGGTGGTGCTGTGGGTTAAACCACAGAGCCTAGGACTTGCCGATCAGAAGGTCAGCGGTTTGAATCCCCTCGACGGAGTGAGCTCCCGTTGCTCGGTTCCTGCTCCTGCCAACCTAGCAGTTGAAAAGCACGTCAAAATGCAAGTAGATAAATAGGTACCGCTTTGGCAGGAAGGTAAACAGCGTTTCCGTGCGCTGCTCTGGTTCGCCAGAAGCGGCTTAGTCATGCTGGCCACATGACCCGGAAGCTGTAATAAAGCGAGATGAGCGCCGCAACCCCAGAGTCGGTCACGACTGGACCTAATGGTCAGGGGTCCCTTTACCTTTACCATGCTAAATCATTGTTGGCTGCAGCCCTGCTCCCTTCCACCGAAAAAGTAAAACAGAAAACGGGATATCAGTGGAGATAGATAATTCTTACTCTTTCAGCCCTTTTAGGAGGTGAAATGGGCCTTCAATTGTACTTTGCAAAAAGGGTTGCTTGTCTCCCCATCCCAATAAGCTGCTGTTAGAGATTTTGGGGGGAAACAATGTCATGGGGCCATATTCTTAAAGTGATTGTTAGCTACTTTGGTTTTCATTATTCAAAGATTTTTTCCATGAAGAACAGCTTGTGCCCAAAATGTATCGGGAAATACAGTGGACGCTCGGGTTGCGAACGTGATCTGTGTGGGATGCACGTTTGCAACCCGCAGTGGCGCGTCTGCGCATGCGTGGGTTGCAATTCAGCGCTTCTGCACATTCACAAAGTGCGATTTAGTGCTTCTGCGCATGTGCAACCGCCGAAACCCGGAAGTAACCCATTCCGGTACTTCCGGGTTTTGGCGCGTCCGTAACCTGAAAAAATGCAACCTGAAGCGTCTGTAACCCGAGGTATGACTGTACTATTGTTGTGGTGGTTTTTAAAGCACCATCCTGGAACCCATTGGAATGTTTTTAGAGACTTAATATTTGAAGGATGGGTCAGGAGCAGGCAGCCTACGATTTCCTGATTCTGTTTTGTACCTTTTCTTGCTCCTGAACGGAATAGAGTATAGATAACAAGGAGTCTTCTTTTGCTGGCGGCAACAAAGGCCGCCAGTGTGACCTTGAGCCGAACACCTGTAAGGACCAAGAATGAAAAATGCATTATCTCAGGCTCAGTAATAGCCTTGTATGGTAATTGGCATTAGAACCAATGGCCCGTGTCAAGGTAACGAGAATTGGAACTAAAAATAGTGGCTGGCTGCTCTCCGTGTGAGAATGCCCGTTTGAGCAATGCTAAAGCCATGTTCTATTGGAACAGTACAGCTTTAAAGAAAATAGAGAAATGAAATGAGAAGGCACGAGCCTTGGCTGGATTGACTTCTTTCTTTAACCCCCCCCCATGCCACCCCTACCTAGGGTTGTCACCTGTCCTGTATAATACAGGATTGTCCCGTATTTTGTCCCGCATTGATACAGTTTGTCCTGTATTTCAGGTCTTTTCTGTCTATGCCAAGTTAGGGATCCTCTCCAAATGTATGTGTTCGAAAAGGTCATGTATTTAAGCTCTGGGTAGCCAAACTCGGACCAGTCCCAGAAGGCCACCCTGTTAGGCTGCAATAGATTGTAATGGATTGCTTTGAAGTCACGTCAGCAACAGATGAAAAAATAAATCGCCCCCAATTGCCCTGCCCTGTCTTGTATTTTAACAGAACAAAGGTGGCAAGCCCCCCACAAGTTCTAAGAGAGGGACCACTGTAGCGCTATCTCCGCAAGGTTAATTGTTTTTATTTTGTAGCTATCAGTAGCCATTGTTTACTGGGCGACTATCAGTAGCAATACGCATTCTCGGTATTACCTGGTGCCACATTTCTGAAAGCTATCTCTCTTAATGGTGGTCATATATCGGCAGGTGGAACCAACCTTTGGCTCCCCAGATGCTGCTGGTCTAGAACTCTTGTCCTGCCTGATTATGAGCTGGTCTGCTTGCTGGGTCTGCCAGGAACTGGGAAGCCAGCAATACCTGGAAGGCTGCAGGTCCCGTCCCCCATATCAAATCTGATTCTGATGGGAAGATCCAGGCTATGGCATTTCTGTTCTCAATTAGCAGCTCAAGCACAAGGGTGGGGAGCCCTTCTGTGGCCCGAGGGGCACATTTCCTCATGGGCCCCTGACCCTTCCTGGGGTTGCATGGCAGTGGTGGGAGAAGGCAAAGACAAAAGCGGGTGAACTGACAGAGACGGTTCTCACCTTTGCACAGTAACCTGCCTTCCAGCTCCACAGGCGCCAGAGGTTTCTGCAGGCAAACGCAGCCCTCTCTCCCCACAGTTCAAGGGCACTTTCTGGCCATGTGAAAGCACTCAAGGAGGGTGTGGAGCAGAGTCGGTGGCCTGGGCAGAGTTTTGAGGGCCAACCAGAGACTCGGACAAGATGCCCTGCCTTTGCGACAACAACTTGGTAGTTTTTTGACCAGTCAGTCTGGACTGTGGTTTGTATGACGGACAATTGGCTTTTTTTATCAGTGCTGGTCCAGGGACAATTTATGATGTTTATTTAAACACCTTACAGCCAAATTCTATGCACGGAAAAGTATGGGCAATGTCTTTCATATCGGCAACAACAGGGAGGTGTTGGGTGTTTTTTCCTCCTCCTCCTCCTCCTCCTCCTCCTTCTTCTTCTCTTCAGTTTTTTCCCCCTAACATATACTGTGAGTAATATGTCCATGTTCCCTTCCACCTCCTGCCTTTGCTCCCCTTGGCCCTGGCCCAAGAGGCGTTATGGCTTGCAAACAGCTGAGCTGCATTTTTATTTTCCTGAGGAAAATAAAATATTATCCTTCCTTGACTAAGGATAATCAGAAACTTGGGAAGTCCTGCTCCTCCCTGACCTTTAGCTGCACACTGATATTGCTGGCAAATTCAGATGACGGGACTTGCTGCCTTTTGTTTGTCTACATGAGTCAACGAATTCTTTCTTTAAATTATCCTCACTGTTAATAGTAACCAAGGAACAATAAAGCCAACATAACTTCTGGCTGAAAGATAGCATGGTCCCTAAGAAGGCAAAGAAGAAACCGCCTCTCACTCAGAACAACACCCTCTGTGAGTCAGTCCTGCAAAGTAAAGACAGGGAGAAGTTAGTTTTTTAAGGCCCAGCGTAAAAGCCAAATACGATCAAAACCCACAGGGCTGCTGTTAAGTTGTGGGTGAACATATCAGACGACGCAGCGATTTCTCCAAAGCAGCTCTTTATTGGTAAGCTGGAACAGAACTGAACAGCAGTGGCGTAGCGTGGGTTGTCAGCACCCGGGGCAAGGCAAGTAATTTGCGCCCCCTGACCCGTGGATTTTAGTAGGGGCAGAGAGCTGCGAGTGCGAGCGCGCGCCCCCGATGTTGCGCCCGGTGTGGCCGGCCCCCCCTGCACCCCCCACGCTACGCCACTGCTGAACAGCAAACAGCTCAGCTGGCCTGCTTTTATAGGCAGCCAGCTGTCAACATTGTAACAACCACCACCATCACCCAGGGTTTCCAGCCTAAATTACCGTATTTTTCGCTCTATAAGACGCACCAGACCACAAGACGCACCTAGTTTTTGGAGGAGGAAAATAAGAAAAAAATATTCTGAATCCCAGAAGCCAGAACAGCAATCCCTCTTGCTGTTCTGGCTTCTGGGATAGCTGCGCAGCTTGCATTCGCTCCATAAGACGCACACACATTTCCCCTTACTTTTAAGGAGGGAAAAAAGTGAGTCTTATAGAGCAAAAAATACGGTAACTTACGAAGACCTGAGTGAAAACTATATACACGATACTCCTGGTGGCCAGGGTGAGAACTTCAATACATAACAGTTGCAACTGCCATTATTTTCAGCACCTCTCTCTTTTCTCTCTCTTTTCTCTTTTTTGTAAATCGACAATGTTAAAAACATAATTATGACCGTCTGTAATGTATGTTTTATTTCCTTCGTACCTCACACTTTACAATTCTTTCTTCCGCCAACCCTGCTTGTATTTCTTAGGGTTTTGCTGGCCTTTGGTCACAGTTGATTGTATTCGCTACTTTGCCCTGGCTTGTTGGCTGATATTTTATTGTGTATTTTTACTGTCATTTGTTTTGTGACCAAAGCCTTCTAAAATTTAAAAGAAAGGCAGTGTATAAATATTTTAGATAAAGAAATAAATGTGCCTGTAGAAGAGAGGAGAGCATTTTATGCATCTGATATTGTCCACAAAATCTTACACCACAATAAATTTGATAGTCTGTAAGGTGCCACAAAACTCTCTTTTCCTTCTGCCAACAGAACTACTAATTATCATGATGAATTCTGCCATGGATTGTTGCCTGCTTAAAAAGTATCACGACCTTCCACTGTCAGACAGAAGGAATATGATTTTTCTGTCTGGTCTCATGGGAGCATCAGCTAGATTCTAGTATATGATTCTAGTATATGATTCTAGTATATGATTCTAGATTCTATTGATTCTATGATAGCCATGTGATTCTATGATAGCCATGTTCAAATATATAAAAGGATGTCACATAGAGGAGGGAGAAAGGTTGTTTTCTGCTGCTCCAGAGAAGCGGACACGGAGCAATGGATCTAAACTACAAGAAAGAAGATTCCACCTAAACATTAGGAAGAACTTCCTGACAGTCAGAGCTGTTCGACAGTGGAATTTGCTGCCAAGGAGTGTGGTGGAGTCTCCTTCTTTGGAGGTCTTTAAGCAGAGGCTTGACAACCATATGTCAGGAGTGCTCTGATGGTGTTTCCTGCTTGGCAGGGGGTTGGACTCGATGGCCCTTGTGGTCTCTTCCAACTCTATGATTCTATGATTCTATTCTATGTCACTTCATTTCACATTAGATTATCTATCGTGAAGATAGGGACAGTTTGTGCATGCTTTATTTGCAAAAAAACCCCTATACCATTGGCAATATAAAATACAATGAATACATACATATATATATATAACAAATGCACACAAACACATTCTGGTCTGCTTTGCATGTCATGCTGGCATTGCTTTCAAAATAGATATGCTGTTAAGCACTGGATTGCTGCAGGATAAATTTGATTTAATTACAGTGATCTACTGAATAATTGCTTCTAATACGGATCCTCAAATATGATATCCATGTCTTAGGTTTGCTGAGCAAGAGAAAAAGATTTTGGGGTTAGCAAGTCAGTAAAACATTTTAAGTTCACATTATCTAGTACTGTACACTTCCAGAACAACTAATCAATATTTTTTCCTGTTAATGTTCCTTCTGCCCAAATTGAAAACAAAAACAAAAACTTTCAATTGAAGCTGATTTTTCAGTGATAAGTAAAACCAAATTGATTCTACAAAAGATGTAAAAATAACGCTCCACAGAAGGTTGTTTTATAATTTAAAGAATATATTTCTTTTATTTCTTTGGTTGATGGGGGTAAACTGGACAATGAGATCCAGAGGTGACAAATCATTAGAATATCAAATGTATGTGCATACTTTCTAAAATGTTTTTGTATTTTCAAACACTTTTCAAGGTCAGTGGGGGGGGAGGGGAACTTAACGACCATGTTTTTCTGCAAGAGCAGTTTGTAGCAAAACAAGTCTGTTATCCACTGGTTCAAACTGGGTCTGATATTTGACAACCTCTGTTCTGACTTAAATAAAAACCTCTTGACCAGTTCATCATAAATACTCAAGTATAGCCACATGAATGTACAGGGGTTTTTTTAAAAGGTCGTTTTGCTTATGGTTTATATAGTGCTGCTATCCTTTCAGAAGTCAGGATATTTTGAAATGCAAAGAACCCCTTTTTTCATAGCAGAAGATCAAATAATGCTAAGCAGGCAATGCAATAATCCATCTACAGTGGTACCTCGTTCCGGAGTCCCGTTCGCATCCCGAAAGGAATGCAAGACGCGATGGCGCATCTGCGCATGCATGAGTCACGTTTCGCCGCTTCCGCGCATGCGCGTGATGTCATTTTTAGTGTCTGCGCATTTACGAGCTCCGTTACTTCTGGGTTGCCGCGGAGCGCAACTCAAACGTGCTCAACCCGAAGCACATTCAACTTGAGGTATGACTATATTCAACTGCTCATGTGGCAGATAGGCTCTGGTTCAGGTGATAGGGATGGGAGAACGCTCTCGCCATCCCTATGTGAAGGGTATTAATAATAGTTGGTTGATATTGGGCATAGTCATCATCACTATGATGTTTGTGTTTTCCTACCCAAAATGCCTTTCACCACCTCCTTTCAACATGCACTTTTGTTCTTTGACTTTCCTCTCTCCTTCCACCTCCTTTCAACCCTGCCATTCTTTTTAAAAAGGCAAATCAGCACTGAAATATTCAAGTTACAGTCCTGTACATACTTGACTTCTGACTGACATAGTATCTGCTTGTTACTTTAATTAATGTTAACTAAGGTTTTCTCTCCCTCTGGGGACCTGAGCCTCTTCCCTCTTTCTTGCAGGTTTCAAGGTTTTGTTTTGCTTTTTCTATGGGGGCCTTTCTTTTCCTCTGTCGCAACCACTGCTTATCTGCCCTCTCCTTGTGTCCACTTGCCTGCCCAACCTTCCTACTCTTAGAGTGTGCACTGAACACCACTCCTTACTATTGAGTGGACTCTCACACTGTTGGGCTTGCCCTCCAGAACGGGAGGTGTCTGGACATACCCCTTCCAGAGTGAGTGCCCCACTGCTGCCACCAGTCTGAGCCCCTCTTTTCTACAGAGAGCAGAGGTGCCCTATGGCTTCTAGGCCTCCCGTCACAACTCTCTGGCTTTTGTGGCATGTCATCCACTAAAACTGGGTGCACAGCCAGGGAGCATATGCCCAACCGGGATGGGACTGATGCATCAAGGCTGGGTCGGGTCAGGCCAAAGTGGGGAGGTGGGAAGAAAAGTGAAGAAAAGGCAGCAGCGCCCAGACTCAGCTGAAGGGTTTGCATGCAGTGACAGATTTTCTGGAACCCACTGAAGACCTAGGGAGATGTTTCAGAAGGAAAAAGAGAAAGTTTACTGCTTAATGGAGTTTGCTGGGTAAGTCCACTAAAGTCTACCACCTCTAATCTGAGTGTATTCAGTGATGTCCTGCAGAAAAGATCATGGCAGCTTCCAGCAAAACTGCATGATTTTGTAGCCTGAGAATGAGTCAAGCATGTGTTCAAGTTCTGGCCTTTTTTAAGGTGCACACTTTCAAATTGCACACTTAACACTGCAATGTAGTGTTTGAAAGTATGTGTATCATACTCAACAGAGAGTTAGGATTGTTTGAGTCTCTCTGTTGCCTATACATTGTGAGACAAACTTGGGTATAATGCTGTGTAATGAGCGATAGCACTATTTGGACTTGTGTTTGTGGAGTCATACACTTGAAAATCATGCATTTGTGGCCAGTTTATAGTTGCTTCTCTATTTGAATTTTCAGAATACACAGAGTGGGGGAACTACCATTGTTCTCCTACCCCTTCAGAGCTTCAAAGGATTTCAGAGACACAGCTGTTTTTCACAGCTGCTGTGCTACTGAAAAACAAATTGACCTAAAGGACATGAAGATCTGGTAATATAAAAGAAACTATCTTTGAAAAGATCAAGGGTTTGGAGAGAGATGTTGTTTCTTCCATTGCTGTTAGTCTTTAAAGCTGATGATTGCTGATCATTGTCAGTAAATATTATAAATTAGACCTGCAGAGGTAAGATAGGGGCTGTTTAAGCTGACTGTGGAAAAAAACAAGTGCAGCACGTTGTATAGCATGTGTCAGGAAAGATGAGTGTGCATAAGTCCAAGTGACTCTCATGCATGTGATCGTTTGAGTGATCCTATTGTATCAGGGTGAACATTTTGCAGAATGCAAGTTTGCGACTACACCAAAAACTGGGATTCAGTTTGTAGCTGTCAGTTTCTGTGCAAATCTTGTGGGCACACACATATCTTGTGATTGTCTAGGATGCTGACACTGTCCCCATAGTGGCCCCGATTCTGATCTGGAAAACAGAGCAGGTTCTCTTCCAACCATCCTTACGACCAGTGAGAGTTTCACCATAGCTTTATTTTGATAAGTGGGAGGGTGTGTGTGGTTTTTTTTTAAAAAAATATTTCTCTGTGCTCTGGTTTTAATTTGGGGCGGGGGTTGTTTGTTTTATTGTAAGTTGCTTTGAGTTGCCCTGGGCAAGATAACATTCAGCTTGGCAGAAAAATTATGAAAAAATAAAAAGGAGGTGGACATCCAGGGAAAAGAAGACCCTGGCAACCCCATGTGCCATTGCACCCGATATGTTTTGACTATGCGTGATTTGGGCTTCAGGTGGGATTCTGGGAACTCACCTCTTTGAGGTCTGTGCCCTGGTCGGCTGCCTAGTGGCCCTACTGATAGCACTGGCCCTGCAAACCCTATAATAAAAAAATGCTACAATGGAGGCTGCATTTGCAGGGTGATGAAGGGGGCAGGTGAAGAGGAAATGCAGGAAGAGGAAGACGAGGAGGGCGGTGAAGAGAGGAGGCAGTTCCCACGTGTGTGCAGGGCGTCTCAGATGCAGACCTCACAGGAGTTGACCTTGGAGGAGCTCAGCTTTATACAGTTCAGTTTTTGTTATACAGCATCTTACAGATTTCTGGTGATATTTTAGGCCTTTGGCTAATTAAGCCGTCTATGGCAGGGGTTCTCAAAGGGCGTGGCAGGAGAGGATGACAAGATTCATGAGCAATCATAACTAAACATTCAGTGTAAGATCAAAATGAGAGCAAGAGCATCAAGTGTGTGTGTGTGCAGGGAAGGTTCATGTTCTTATGTGGTTGCATTGTTTTATATTTTCTGGATGACCCATGATCGTATTCTAATGTAGTTGTGTTCTATGTTACAAATCAAGCACTGCTGGGAGTTGTTCGTTTGTTTTCCAATCATACTGCACAAATTCCGAGTGTGGCCCAAATAAAAATGTTTGGGAACCACTGATCCTTTTAAACTGGGTGGGTGGGTGGGTTTGATGAATAGTTTTTTGGCTGTTGTTCCTTACTATGTTATTTTTGTGTTTTTATATTGAAAGCTGCCTCAGACGGCCGATATAGAAATGTAATATATAATAATAATAACAATAACCAGGAAGGCCAACTTGAATACAGTGGTACCTCGGGTTACATACGCTTCAGGTTACAGACTCTGCTAACCCAGAAATAGTGCTTCAGGTTAAGAACTTTGCTTCAGGATAGGAACAGAAATCGTGCTCCGGCAGCGCGGCAGCAGCAGGAGGCCCCCTTAGCTAAAGTGGTGCTTCAGGTTAAGAACAGTTTCAGTTTAAGTATGGACCTCCGGAACAAATTAAGTACTTAACCCGAGGTACCACTGTAAAATATTCGGGTGGGTGGGAGGTAAGCCCCGCCCACTTAACCGATCACATGATGCGGTGCACACACATCTTTTGAATGGCAATGCCCATCAACTTTGGAGAGTCCGGCCCCCTGAAATATTTTATTGGGGGGGCGGGCTGAAGGGATCTCGGCTCCTATGATAACAAAAACAACTTTACTTTCACAGCCTGAAGAATTTCATCATTCCCACAAGACATCTGTTTCTGAGCATTGAAGTCAGCCAAAAAACAACACCCCCACCCCGCCCCCGCTTGTGGTTGTGCGCCTGGCGCGCAAGACAGGTTTCCCCCGGCGCCCGCCCGGGCGCGCAGCTTCGTCGGCCTCGGCGGGGCGAGAAGCCCCTTTCCGGAGGAGGAGCCCCGCCGCTCGAGTCCGCCCGGGGAGGAGGAGGAGGAGGAAGGGGCGCGGCGGCCGAGAGGGAGGCGCCGGCAGCTCGCCGGGCAGCTTCTGGGCACGGCGGGCGCCCCGAGATGCCCTTCTCCGGGGCCGGGATGGAGGCTCCGCCGCGCACCCCCAGCAGCTGAGCGGGCGCCGCGCATCGCCCACCTACCTGCTGCTCCAGGTGAGCAGGCAGCGGGAGTGGGGGGGGGGCTGTCCAGAATGCTCTCCAAGCATGTGCAGAGTGCCGTTTGTCCTCCCGCAGTCAAGCGCAGCGCAACGCTCGGGCGCAGTCGAGGGCTCCCCCACCCACCTTTTTAAAAAGCCCCCCAGGTCCGTTTGCATCCCGGCCCGAGGCCAAGTGAGGAGAGGGCTCCGGCGGCAGGATCCCACCCCCGCCGCATGATGCCCGTCTCTCTTGCCTGGCAGCCCCTTGGCGCTCCGCCGCAGGTGCCCAGATGCCCGGAGAAGAGCGGCTGAAGGGCGCGGAGGACTTTGCGCAGAGCCCCGCCAGGGCGCCTGGCTAGGTCTGCAACGCCGCTGCGAGGAATCCTCAGCGAAGGGCGCTTGCTGCGTTTTCTTCGGTCCTCTCTGCGCGCGTCCGGGTTTGTCTTTGCGCACCCGCGTGTCCTGTTTGCGTTGCCTCTCTCTTTCAGCTGCGTTGCGCGGTGCCTGAAGGTGGGCTTTTGCCTCGGTTTTTCCTTAGCGGCGAATCTGGCGCTCATCCTCCTCCACAGTCTAGGAGGAAGGCGAGATGGGCTGCCCTTCATTGCTCAGAGAGTTGGTCCTTGGGGGGACGATGCAAGCCCTTTCCTACCCAGCTGGCCCGGCCTCATCTACCCCCTGCAATTAATTGCAGGAGATCCCACTCGAGATTACTTAAATTGGATCACATTAACTTGTTGACCGGTCTGTTGGTGCTCACACGGGGAGTGGGTGGGTTAAGAGAATAGACTCTCCATAATCTTTCAACACAGCCCCATTGAATTGTAACCTGCTCCGTTTATTTTGAATGCGGAATATTGTTGTTTCTTTAATAATTGCCAAGAGTGCAATTTTGTGTGTGTGTGTGCTTTGATGAGGGAGATGAAGGGAGGTTCCCTTGCAGTTTTCTTCCTGGATTATCTAATTGCCCATCAAATGCTACACACACAAGACCCAGGGATCTTGAGGAGGCCTAGATTCTTGCTTGTATGCAAGAATCAAGCACTGGTTGGAAAAGGAACAGGTCAGTTTCCCGCTTCAAAACTCCCAGCGAAAGCCTAACTTGTCTCTGGGCGCAGATTTTCAAACCCCTGGATGGCTTGGGCCTGTTGCCCTGTTATTGCTTGCACAGAGGAAGTCCAGGCTCCAACCTTCAAAGGTTTATAATGTCATTGGTTAGGTGTGGCAAGTCTTCAAAAGGAGCGCTTTGGAGGGAACTGGAGAAAAGGAAAGCAGTGTGGTTATAAAAGCATCTCATGTGTACAAGTTGCTGAATCAACAGTGGTAGAATTTACACAAAAGCTCTTACGGTTTATTAAGTTAATTAGGATTAGTGTGTCCCTCCTAGTAAGGGTAAAAGGAAGGAATGTTAACTTCTTCACTTCTCCATAAACAGTATAAGAAGCCACATATTTGGCTGAAAAACTATGCAGAGAAATCTCCTCCTCGTGCACTTTTGTTTTTAAGTTATTTTGGTACTTAGATTAGTAGTTTTGTTTTTCTTGAGTCAATTTTGCAAGTGGGTAAGGAATGTATTATAATGGATTTTGTTGATAGACTTTTTTTACGCTGTTACAGCCTTTCAGCAAAGATTTCCTCTGTTTATTTGTGGATTTAAAGTTTTTTTCCAGCTTTTGTGTAAATATAAATACACTAGATAACTTATCTTTTTACTGTTGTTGTTTTCTGAACGCATAATGCTTTTATATATTCTTTGTTGTGGATCAATCATCTTATGGAGCTCCTTTTTCTTACACACTTTCCAACTCAGTCTCCTGCTAAGCCCTTACCACAATTTCAGGCATAGTGCAAAAATTAGGAATGAACTAACTAATCAATTATTTCTCCAGCTACAGTCACTGACAAGTTCATTCAGCCTCATTTCTCCATTAAGATGATTTTTTAAATAAAAAAACTGCATTAAAATGTGAATCTAAATATGTATTTCTGGAAATACCCACCACTAGATATATTTTCTCTCACTATACTAATCTTCAAATACATTTTGATATATATTTTGAGCAGAGAACTGTGCCACCATAATTGGAGAACTGCAAGCTGCATTCTGATCCACACATTATTCCAGGAGGTTTAAGTCAGGTCAGCTAATACTGGAATTAAAGTCCTATTGTATAGGTTATTCCCCTGAGGAACCATGCATCGCTCAGTTCTCCACTGGAGCTTGCAGAGGTCATAGAATTGAACTTAGCCTGTGCCAGCTTCTAACAGTGTTCGCTTTCTGCGTACCATGCAACCACAGTTATCACTGGAGTGTTTGCAGTGGATTCTGCTACATGCAGCTTTGCATGAGAATGCATGCGTTCAAGGCCCAGGGGTCAGCAACCTTTTTCAGCCGTGGGCCGGTTCACTGTCCTTCAGACCTTGTGGGGGGCCGGACTATCTATATTTCGAAAAAAAGTATGAACGAATTCCTGAGCCCCACAAATAACCCAGAGACGCATTTTAAATAAAAGGACACATTCTACCCATGTAAAAACACGCTGATTCCCGGACCATGCGTGGGCCGGATTGAGATGGCGATTGGGCCGCATCCTGCCCCCGGGCCTTAGGTTGCCTATCCCTGGTTCAAGCCCATCAAACAAATGAATCGTGCAAAGTTGGGAGGGGTGCTGCATTATGAGAAACAGTTGAGGGAGTCAAGTATGTTTAGCCTGCAGAATAAGAGACTGAGAGGAGATATGAGAGCCATCTTCAAATATCTCAAGGGCTGTCACATGGAGCAAACTTGTTTTCTCCTTATCTGAAGGTAGGACTTGAACCAGTGGCTTCAAATTACAAGAAAAGGGATGGACTAAGCATTAGGAAGAACTTTATGACAGTAAGAGCTGCTTGGCAGTGAACGGACTCCCATGAGAGGTGGTGGACTTCCTTTCCTTGGAGGTTTATAAACAGAGGTTGGATGGCCACCTGTCATGGATGCTTTAGGTGAAATTCCTGCATTGCAGGGGGTTGGACTAGATGACCCTCAAGGTCCATTCCAACTCGACGATTGTGATTTTATGTTGTGAACCACCCTGAGACCTACGGGTATAGGGCGGTATACAATTTTTAAAATAAATGATAAATAAATAATAATACAATGCTGTGATTTTGTCATCATAACTGCTGTATTTTGCCCCTGCTTCTTTGCTGTGTCCTACTAGGAGTCCTTGAGGGATGCGGGTGGCACTGTGGTCTAAACCACAGAGCCTAGCACTTGCCGGTCAGAAGGTCGGCGGTTTGAATCCCCGCGACGGGGTGAGCTCCCATTGCTCAGTCCCTGCTCCTGCCAACCTAGCAGTTCGAAAGCACGTCAAAGTGCAAGTAGATAAATAGGTACCGCTCCGGTGGGAAGGTTTCAGTGCGCTGCTCTGGTTCACCAGAAGCGGCTTAGTCATGCTGGCCACATGACCCGGAAGCTGTACGCCGGCTCCCTCGGCCAATAAAGAGAGATGAGCGCCGCAACCCCAGAGTCGTCCGCGACTGGACCTAATGGTCAGGGGTCCCTTTACCAGGAGTCCTTATCTGCTACTATTTTGTGATTTTAGGCATCTGTACTATTCCTATGTTTTGTAGCAGCCATTGCATCACACACAAATAAAATCAATCTGACCTCTATAGAAAAGGTTTAAAAATAATTAAAAATTTGGGGGAAATAATTTGCCAGTGTACTGCACCTAACCTTTTTCTAAACTAGAACTCCTTCAGACATTTTGGGGGGAGTATTACATAGACACCCCCTCCCCCAAATGCCAAGCACAGCAAAACAAACACACTGATACTTCTGGAAACACGTTTAAAAGTAAAAACAGTGGACTATTGAACCATAGAAATGCCGAATTCTGTACCCCCTGGGGGCACATGAGCATAACTTTGCAGATGGCAGTATATGAGCTCAGTATCCTGTTTTAGTACTGCAGTCAGCCAGATGTAATTGAGAATTGGTTGCCCAATGCCAGATGTATTATGCAAAAGACACCTTACAGAACGCTAGGCAGACCCATCTGATAGATGCTCTCCTTTCTGTTTAAACTGACTTAACAAGTTTTAAAAGCTCTTGCAGTTGTGAAGATGAGCTTGAAATTGTGTGAGCAATGCTTGGTTTCATTTCAGAAGCTGTGTGGAAGGACTCGGGGGGGGTGATTAGGCAAAAAAACCCCAGCATTATCCGGAGTATTCTGGCTATAGCAACACCCATTTTACCCTCACGTTCTTTAATACGTGCACCAGCTAGTTGTGCCTCCCCCAATCTCTTTAATTCGCATCGGCTAAGTTACTCAGACAAGTTGCACACAAATGCTGTTATTTGGGAGTAGCCAAAATTATTCAGCTCTCCGAAGGATAGAGGGTAAGCTGAGGCTGAAATAGATGCCCTGCGAATTGAATATAGCTGTTCAGCAAACGGCTTCGCCCACGCAGAAATGAGAGAATAGAAGCTTTGTGGAAGTGAAACAGTGGAGGCTGCTGACCTTGGGCTTTTCAGTCTGTAATGTTAATTGCTTGCTGCTTCGTTCATCACCACCACATGACTGCTGAAAACTGGCAAGTTGTTCTTGTTTGCTAATGTCCTGGAATTTTCTCAAATGAAGGATTCAATGAGCGCTGTTGATTTTTTAATATTTTTTTAGCTTGTTTTCCAACTCTTCAGTGTTTTCTTGATGTTCAGATGTTTTCTGAGAAATCTTGACTCTTAATTTAACTCTTCTAACACCAGTGTATTTATCAAGACACCACAGACGCACCGTACTTGTTTTGTTATCCAAGCAGCATGAGATGGTTATCTGTGGTCATGGGAAACTTGTAGAACAGATTTTCTTAGTGTAATTGCGATAAAGAAAATGTGTCCTTTGCATCTGCTAATAATGAACTGGGGGAGTTATGTGGTTCCTAATAACACATTTAGCATCGGTTTGGACCATAGTACTAAATGGAAACTGTGTGGAAGATGCTGGCATTACAAAGTGACAAAACAAGTGGATAGAACAAAAAACCAATGAAAGCCCTCACAGGGTTAGCTGTCATCATCCAGACCTTTTGATTTTGTGTTGGGGGGGGGTGAAGTTGAGTATAGCTGCTCTTTCTATTTCAGGGAAAGATGAAACAGTGAATTCTGAATTAATTTAAACTTCAAAAATGGTTGTTTTGAAAAGCAGCTCTGGTTGAGGTGGATGTGAAAATTAGGCTCCCTTTCGCTGGAACTTCGTTTTCAACAGTGGAGGAGTGGGAATTTGGTAACATCTGTGAAGTGGGTGGAGAAAATCATTTGACTTTCACAGGAGGGAAGAGTTAGCAAATTATTACGTGGTCAGAGGGCCTTTTTCCTCTTCCCCTTTCCTCCTCCTTCTTTTAAAAAAAACATAATTTGCTGCTTGAAGCAGCTAGGAACTGTGACTCCTGCTACACACTTTCAAAACAGAGCAAGAAATCACCATGTGCATTGTACAGAGGGGAAGTGGGAAGATGGCTGCCTTGGCTATTGTAATTGTAAGCTAACTATCCGCCCTCTTGGAAGTCCATCTTCCTCACTGGATTGCCCATCTCATTCTCCTGCTCTTCAGGAGGGTTTCTGCACAGGCAACAACCTTTGCAATTTAGCTGGACTGATACTTATGACCTGGCCTTAGTAAGATGCCAGCGTGAAGCAGCTGGAGGTGTAATACAAAAGCAAGGAACACTAGGCTGCCAGCTTTTGTTGTTTAGTCATGTCCAACTCTTCGTGATCCCATGGACCAGAGCACGCCAGGCACTCCTGTCTTCCACTGCCTCCCGCAGTTTGGTCAGACTCATGTTTGTAGCTTCGAGACCACTGTCCAACCATCTCGTCCTCTGTCGTCCCCTTCTCCCTGTGCCCTCCATCTTTCCCAACATCAGGGTCTTTTCCAGGGAGTCTTCTCTTCTCATGAGGTGGCCAAAGTATTGGAGCCTAAGCTTCAGGATCTGTCCTTCCAGTGAGCACTCAGGGCTGATTTCCTTCAGAATGGATAGGTTTGATCTTCTTGCAGTCCATGAGACTCTCAAGAGTCTCCTCCAGCACCAGAATTCAAAAGCATCAATTCTTCGGCCATCAGCCTTCTTTATGGTCCAGCTAAGAATGCCAAACAATTGAAGGACCTTGCCTTCAAAACTGAGGAGCACAATGATCTTTAATAGTTGCTTATCTCCCCACTGGGGTGTTAGGGGAGGGGAGGTACCTCTGGTGGGGGACATGGCCTGCTCCTTCTGGAGTGACTTGTCCTCCTTTGGCCCACACCCTGCGCTCAGCTCTCACCTCAGGCTCCTAGAAGCTGTCAGCAGCCACACCTCCAAAAATGGCTTCGACTGGCCGGCTAAACCAGGTGAGAGAGCCGATGGGTCTCAAACCCTCTGTGGGCTCCGGCTGATTGAGTGGACAAGACCAAGAGTGGGTCCAATGGTCAATAAGGTGGCTTCTGCACATTCTGTGGAGGGACATGAGGTCAGATGGGCCTCCTCGATGAGCTACCTTCCCAGGTTGCTGAGCCCCATCAGTTTCCTTTACCGCACGTGCAGAAGCCTCCTTTCTGACAGGCATCATGGTAAGAATGCATACGTTTTAAGTCCATTGGTTCCTTAGTTTGCAAGATCTGTGAATGGGAGCGGGAGTCAACGAATGCATTCCATCAGCGGAAGCCCTGTGGAAGTGCTTCTTCAGGAGGGCTTTCTGCCCCCCAAATTGCCTCAGGGAAGTTGAGGGAGCTGCCAAAACTGTACATGGAGGATCATTCCCTCTGAGAAGCTGAAACACTTGCCCAAATGCAACCATCGCCTTAGCTTAATGTTGAATTCCTCCTAGGATGTGTGGTTGTTTTCTTAAAACAAGTTTAATAGCAGCTTTGCACAGGGGAGGAAGGAGACCATACACAGAAGACTTGAGTTCCACCCCCCTTGCTCCTGCCTTCTGTCCATACTTCTTAGATGTCGTGTGACACACAGTGACATACACAGAGACTATGAAATATTTGCCTCCGCTTATTTTCAGTTTCTGCTCTTGCTAATGGCTTCTCTTTCTCTTTTCGCTTCAGGGATCCACAGGACCTCACCACACACTTTGGCACGATGACAGCCATCCTGGAACGGATCAGCACCTTGTCCGTCAGTGGACAGCAACTCCGCCGACTCCCAAAGCTCTTAGAAGAAGGCTTCCCCAAGATGCCTGGCACCGTCAAAGAATCCGATGTCCCCCAGCTCTTCCGGGAGCCGTACATCCAAGCTGGGTATCGCCCCACGGGGCAGCATTGGCGCTACTACTTCTTCAGCCTCTTCCAGAAGCACAACGAAGTGGTGAACGTCTGGACCCACCTGCTGGCAGCTTTGGCTGTGCTGCTGAGGTTTAATGTTTTTGCGGAAGCAGAGGAGTTGACTTTGGAAGTCCAGTCCCTGCCCCTCTTCCTCTTTGTCCTCTCCTCCGTCACGTATCTCACTTGCAGCCTCTTGGCTCATCTCTTGCAGTCCAAGTCTGAGATGTTCCACTACACCTTCTACTTTGTGGACTACGTTGGGGTCAGCGTCTACCAGTACGGAAGTGCCCTGGCCCATTTCTACTACAGCTCTGATCAAGCCTGGTACGACAAGTTCTGGCTCTTCTTCCTGCCGGCGGCCGCCTTTTGTGGGTGGCTCTCCTGTGCAGGCTGCTGCTACGCCAAGTACCGCTACCGACGCCCTTACCCCGTCATGAGGAAGGTGTGCCAGGTGATCCCAGCAGGGCTGGCCTTCATCTTGGACATCAGCCCCGTGGCACACCGTGTGGTCATGTGCCACCTTGAAGGTTGCGAGGAGACGGCTGCCTGGTACCACACCTTCCAGATACTTTTCTTCCTCGTCAGTGCTTATTTCTTCTCCTGCCCGGTTCCCGAGAAGTACTTCCCAGGTTCCTGCGACATCGTTGGCCATGCCCACCAGATCTTCCACGCCTTCCTGGCCATCTGCACACTCTCCCAGCAGGAAGCCATCTTCCTGGATTACAAGAACAGGCAAGACATCTTCCGCAGGCGGCATGGACCCCTCTCCGTCATTCTGTCCTGCGGCTCCTTCTTTGGCTTAGTGGCTTGCAGCGCTGTCACCGCACACCTCCTGCAGCGCAGGATCAGGGTGGAGCTGGCCAAAAAGGAATCCTGAGGGATCGCCGTGGGGACTGGGCTCAGGCCCGGCCTGCTTGAAGGAAACCAGCAAAGATGAGACTGCGTATAAATACTGTATATAAGTAAATTAACAAAGGGAGTTGCCTCTATAAATTATAAACAAGGAATTGCTTGCAGTCTGGAACTACCATAAAAAAGCTGCCTTATGTCCTAAACATTTTATTTTTTTTACTGCAGTGTAATAGTTGCTGGCCAAAGAAGCTTTTTAGGCAGATGTTTCTAAGTTGTCCTGAGTTACCTGCTGAAATTTGTATGTATGTCAAAGAGAAGTGGGAACGGATAAATAATATAAAAGGGAAGTACTACGGAAATGCTCATTTACAAAGGCACAATTCTAACCGAAATACTAAATCTGTGTCTGTCACAATGGATGTCAGGGTTCACGTACCTGAAAACCAAAAGTAGGAGTGTGTGTGTGTGTGTGTGTGTGTGTGTAAGGAATCCCTGCATATAGCAAAGTAGCATGTCAGGGAGAAGACCAGACCAGACCAGACCAGACTTCATCCACCTGCCATGCTACTGCAAGAGTTTTGTTTTTGCTTTGGGAGGCATTTAATAGTTTGAATTGCTACCTGCAACTGGAGACAGCACATCATAAATACAGGTTTGTGAACTCAGGAGAACTGGGTTGTAGATCCAGGTATATGGTGAAGATTGACAGGGTTCAGGGAAATAACCCAATTTGGTCTGTTCCATTTTAATTACCTGTGGCCTTGAGGCTTGAACTGCCTCCTGAGTTGTAAATTTCAGGAATAAATATTTTACATGTCAGTAATACAGATAGTGCAAACAGGAGTAATGTTTAGTCTCAGTGATCTGTTTACCACTCTGATTTAGGTATTTGTGAATTCACAGCTCTTCTGTGGGAGAGAGAGAGAGAGCCACCTTTTCTTCTAGTAAGATGCCCTGTACTAGTATGTCCAAATTCCGTTTTTCTTCTGTGGGTTCCTGTTTGTTTAATCATAGCAAACGATTCCCCCATAGCAAAAGAGAAACCTTCCTCTAGGTGTGTATCCCACCCCCTACTTCTGTCCCTCACCTCACCTCCTGAGTTGGTGAAGAGGAAGCAAGGTAATGTAGCCATACATGCAATTTTCTCTTGCTCACATAATCTGTTGGCTCTCACATTTTTTCTTCCGTTGTTGAGATGTTTCAGATAGTGCAGCCGGCTTCCCTCTGCAACTCGCTTGAAGGATCTTGGGATGTGGAAAATAGGAGGGGAGAACAGATACGAGAGAAAGGGAGGGGTGGGAGTCCATTTTGATGGGGTTCAGCTGGCTGTGAAGACTGGTTTTGACAGGAGCCCTATAACCATAAAATTGGCTGCTTCTCCATCACCCTCCTGGATCCTCTGATTATGCTCTGATTGTGAAGGTCTGTAGCGTCCATCTCTCTAGAAAATACAAGATCTTCTTGTATCTCCCAAAGGCTGTTATTTTTGTGTAGCCTAGTTCCTCCTTAGCCCATTTCTGTGGCCTCCACTGCACACTCCTGCTCAAATCAGCTGTCTGGGTAATGTGGTGAGACTTTTCTTCTCCTTTCTTTACACATAGCCAGAGAGGGACTGGAGATGTCTTCATCCGATGCACGTTGCCTGTTTCGCTTGCCTGCAACCTCTCCCTACAACTCCAAAGAAGCCGTCTTTGTTTGTGCAGTGGCTGTCTCAAATGTACACACCTCCGCTTAACCACAAAATTAACATGAAATCAGATGGAAATTGTTTGTGGAAAACCTAAGATAGATATGGATTGTAGCTAATGTCATGTACAGCTTCAAGCACCAGCCATGGGAACGAACTGGAACCAGAGTAAATGTCATGTGTACACAAGGCAGCCTAAGATAGTGGAGCTTCAAACACCCCATTCACTTTCAGCTGTTCCTGCTATCCTTCTACTCTGCATGGGGTGAGCTCTGGGACCTGTGTGTCTTTTGAGAATGAGATACAGTCGTACCTTGGAAGTCGAATGGAATCCGTTCTGGAAGTCCATTCAACTTCCAAAACATTCGAAAACCAAAGCACGGCCTCTTCGGACGTTTGGGTTCCAAAATAATGTTTGCAAACCGGAAAAATCACTTCTGGGTTTGCGGCATTCGGGAGCCAAAACGTCTGAGTACCAAGGCGTTCGGTATCCAAGGTACCACTGTAATGGTATTGAATTACTACTCCAGTCTTGCCCACCTCGAAAGGACACACAGATTTACCCTAATCATTGAAGGAAGGCCAGTTAGGCTGGATTTACAGATGCACCAGAATGAGGCAGTAAAGTCCTGAGATGGTAAGAGTAGACCGTATCACTTTAGACTGCATTACGTGTGTGTGTGTGTGTGTGTGTGTGTGTATATATATATATATATATATACACGTGTGTGTGTATATATATATACACACATACACATACACACACACACACACACACATATATATATAATTTTTAAATGCACACACGTACTACCTGGAATGATGTAGCCGTCTTGCAGTGCTAGTTTAATATTTTGCACTGGTGTTTATTTTTTAAATATAATTCCTATCTGCAGAGTAGTGGGTACCATACATTCTGCTACCTAATTCTTCTCCATAAGACACATCTTGGACCAGATTAAGAATGCACTGGAGGTGTCAACATCTTCTTAGATGAAGCAAGGCTGGCGTGACTGATGGGTTTTGGTTTCACTGATAGTTTAGGGACCATGGTCTTCCATCTTCTCTGTCCTTTCCATCCCATAACCTCCCTCCCTGGCTCCAGCTTCACAGTGTATTTTAGGGACAGCTCCTTTGGAAGATGGGCTTACCCGTAATGGCCTGGCTTCTCCTTTTGGAAAACGGCAGCTAATTGTATCCCAGCTTCTCTTGGACAAACAGGAACATGCAGAAATTCAGCACTAGTACCCTTCATGAAAATTTAAACAACGATAGAGAAAGAAACACTCAGGGATTGGTAATGAGATATGAAGCCATTCTTTCGTTAGAGCAATTTGAACGCATGCTGAGCTTGACTGTGAACAAATATAACGGGAACCCAGCGAGTCTTGGGCCTAGGCAGGATGAGGCTGTGTTCAAAGCTCGGTTTCCATGGGACCTGGTTTCTTTGTTGGTAGGGAATCAGCATGAAATATTAATTTCTCCTTTGGCTTGAAGGGTAGATTTTTGCATAAAATTGACTCTTGTACTGCTTGCTCTGCAGCAGTCAATGAGGCATATCATTCAAACTCGAGTCACTGAGTGTAGGCGCACTTTCTACCTTTGAAGCTGACATTCTTGCTTTGTGTGCGACTCGGAATCACACGTGTAAAGTCAGACCCCCAGTTTCCAGCAAAATGTAATTTTCAACTGAGACAACTGATAGGCTCCGCTGATAGGCATCATGTTATCTTCTAGCATGTTGCTGTACTTAAACGGTGTTAAACAGAACATGTGTATGTTCTGTATGTAATGTAATGTAAAACTCGGTAATAACAGTAAAAACTCAGTCATAACAGAAAATAACTTTCCCAAGCTACTTTTGAGCCTGAACAGTGCATATCTGAAAGCCATTCTGTTGTGCCAGAATATGGCAGAACTGGGATAGATTCTGGACAGTAAGAATTCAGATTGCACCAGGGCCCATAGGTGTGTCGTTTTCAAATGGTTCCCCTTTGTAAAATCTAAACATCTCCCTTTGTGCCGCAAACTAATACAGAATAAATCTCTGATGTGATGGTTTACTACATGTGATCTTTTTACACCATTGAGCATTCAAAAGGACGACTCAGCCCACTTTTGCAGGCCGAAGTAGTACAGTAGCACAAAGAGAATACTCTCTGTAGATCACCTTCATGAATTTGGTGAAAGTGAGTTTGGCTTATGTAGTTTTTAAAAACAAGGCATTTAGTCTTAATGTTTCTGATTTAAGTGCACCTCTTGCTTTTTGTCACCAAAAGTTGTTAATACAGTATAAGATATTCAGATATGTGCTAAAATTATTTGAAGAACCCTTATCAGCTTGAAGTTTAATGCAGCCGATTTCACTTTTAAATTACCACAAATTGAAAACTAACCAGCCAGAAAAAGGAACGCATGAAATGTCATGTTGGATATCTTTAAAATATAAGAAGGGAATTGATATGTTCATCGTTCTGAACTGGTGGACTGTATGAAAATTCTCAGTGATTTTAGACCACCACCTAGTGGTATAATAAACCAAGATTTTCTTATGGCTTTAAAACTTTGGACTTGAGATGTGTTTAACTTACACTTGAGGCTTGTCCCCACTTTTGCTTGTTCCATGCCTGGATAGCATCGGTCTGAGCAGTTTCCCTTCTGGCCCACTCCATTCTTTAGCTCTAAATCAGAACCAGTGACCATCTGCAAAAAACCCAGTTGCTGTTTGCTCCAATTGAGTGCTAAAGAGCAGTTTTCCTCAGAGGCAAGCAGCAGGACAAAAGGAACTCTGAGCTCTAAGCCCTTGCAGAGCTACTTTATTTTAATTCAGTAGGAGGTTCCTTTATAAATAATAATTTGACCCAAGTTACTTTTCTATTATTATAATTACTGTATGAGATACACTAGTTCTGTCCATGCCCCCCTCTCTGGGACTTCACAAGTCACGTTCATAGCTCCTCAAGTAGTCAGTGGTTGAATGTATACTTCATACTTGGTTGGCCTAAAACCTGGTATTAAAAGTGATGACCGAGTCCCATTTAATGTATTGAAAGGTTTGTGACTGGCATCAGTGGGCCTAGAGATAAGCATGTACGAAGACTTCTGAATTACATTTAGTTTGAAAGAGCACTTTGAGGACCAATCAGGTGATTCCGAAAAGAACTTCGGTGCAATCGGTTATTCTCCAGATCCACTTTAGCAGCAATACCTTCCTCAGATACTTTCCATAATCAGTTGCTGCCACTCCTTCTCTACATTTCCAAGGAGACTTAGCCAGGACAGATGTGTTAATTCAAAGGTTTGTTGTCAGGTAAAGTAAAACTGATGATCTTCTATAGAACAATCAGACAGAAACCTGCAACTTTTACTTTGCAGACGCCATTACGTCTAGATGATCAACAGCAATTGAAAATGTAAGCCTATTTACAATAATACATTCTCACCAAGAATTGGGGGGTGAGAATGTCATCTGCAGCCTCACACATTGTTGTTCGTGGGCTTGGGCAGGATATGAATTTAATAAATAAATAAATTTCAACTGTTCAGGTGTGGTGTTTAGGCAGAACAAGGGCTGAGTTATGTGAACTTATTGTTTCCAGTACATAATTAGAGGAGCACATGCTAGGTCCTTCTGGTGTGTTTTGTGTACTTATGCCTTTCAAGGGATGGTTTTTAATGATAATTTTAAAAAATACATTAAAACTAAGAGGGAGGGGGTTATATTTTCTTTTTTCAACCGGGGGTGTTAGTTTTGATACTGCACAAATGACTTCTCCTTGTTTATCTCCTGAAGTCTGTATTGTCCGGAACATTTGCACATTTATACTGTATTAACAAATGTTGAAGGGAATCAAGAATAAAAGTTGAGAAATTTAAAATAAACATTCCAGTCAGCTGTGTATTTTGTCACTGAATCTGAAAGAAAAGAGAAGTCTCTTAGTGGAACTTATGGGAGAAATTGTTCCATGGGGTGGTTGGGTGGTGGGGAAGCAGCAAAGAACTCTGGCAGAATGGTGAGAATTGTCCTGGAAGCAATTTCACTTTCCATGGAAAGTCTCTTTTCCTTGCAAATTAGGTAGGGGTGGGGGCGTTTCATTAACAACGTCATGCCACTTTTAAACTTCATCTACAAAAAGTTCAGAGTCATTTTTAAAGAAACGTATTGTGCTATCCGATCCTAAGCATTTTTTTTCCATATAGAAGCACCTGCCAGGATGCTAAAATTACACTGTAAGCATTGGTGCCAACTCCTAGGGGTCGAGGTCTCTTCCGTGCCCCCCCCCCCGCCCCAACATATTGGAGGGGGGCAACTCTACGATTCGAGGAAATGCAAGAAGCAGACTTTTTTGCTGGGAGGGAGCGGGAAGCAGGCGGAGGAGGAGGGGCTGCGCAAAGCGCGCGCAAGGAGGGGCGCTCCATCTCGGCGCGTCGCCGGTCGCCGAGGAAACGCGCGCGTTGCCCGGCTGCGAACGGGGAAGGGAGCCGCCTGGCCGCCGAGGCTGGGCGCCATGAGCTCGCAGCCGGTGCAAGGGCTGCCCCTCCTGCCGGGCTCGTCGTTCCGGGACCCCACGGTGAGCACAGGCGCCCCGCCGGCCCCGGAACCGCGCTCCTTCCCCGGGACGCGGGGCGCAGAAAGCGCCACTGCCTGCGCCCCGCTCGCCCCGCGGAAGGAGGGTCTTTGCGGGGAGCGGGGGGGCTGAATGCCGGGCCCCAGGGCCGAAGTGAGGTTGGATGGGGCCCTAAGCTACTGCAGGTAATGGGGTTCTTTATATGTCCAGCTGTCCTTTGTCAACAACCAATTGCCGCTGTTTTTTTGTGATGCTAGATGGTAATTTATGGATCTAAAGGTAAAGGGACCCCTGACCATTAGGTCCAGTCGTGACCGACTCTGGGGTTGCAGCACTCATCTCACTTTACTGGCCGAGGGAGCCGGCGTACAGCTTCCGGGTCATGTGGCCAGCATGACTGAGCCGCTTCTGGCGAAACCAGAGCAGCGCACAGAAACGCCATTTACCTTCCCGCCAGAGTGGTACCTATTGATCTACTTGCACTTTGATGTGCAAGATTGTGAAAGAAGAAGGTGGAAGCGATTTAAAGTTTCAGAGGGAGAGGATTGTGTTTGTGTTTGGAAGACTGGCATGCCTTAGGAATAACTCCATATCCCTGGAATGGATCCCGATCATCCTTCACTAAAGCATTTGGAGGCACCTCCTATAAATAAGCCACTTCTAAAGGCATCCAGCAGGTCTGCCTGGCATTTTTGAGGCGCAAAATCCTTCCCCCTGTCTCCCGGCTGCATGGCTGGGAACTGGAGAACTCATGCAACTCCCACAATTTTATGCCAAGGATGGCGTGTGCTCTGACCCTATCCCACTACGCAGGGTGTTCCCGCCCCCAGCCACTGTACATTATGCACCTTTGCTCAGCAATGACAGTGATCTGCCCCGCATCCGACTCTTGGTTTTATTTCTTCCCATAGAAAACTGCCTTTCATCGCTCTCAGACCTTGGGTTACAAGAATGGCTTTGCGTTTAAGCGGCTTCCAACCACAGGGATCGGTGGCCAACGGCTGCATGTCAACCAGTTGTCCCCAGCTGAACTGGATGAACTGGCCAACAAGAGACCCACTTTGACCTATGGCCAAGCCAAGCAAGCCCCACCTTCAGACTTCATCCCGGCCCATGTGGCTTTTGACAAAAAGGTACTGTTCAAAAACATCTCATTTCAGAAATGCCCAGTCCTGGAAAAGTGTCTATTGCGAAGCTCAGGGAATGATTGATTTTAGAAAACATTATTTTCAAATATGTCTTTGGCAAAAGACAACCAAAGCCTGGCTAGAAAAAGAAATTCTTTGCTTAGAAACCATGCTGTTTCAGTGTTTCAGAGTTCTCCTAGAAGCTAGAAGGCTGCCAGTCCAAATAGTTGGAAGAGATTAATGATGGCAAGAGAACTGAGGAGCATATTCATGTTTCTGTTTTCAGAACTGTGCTGTGTGGACTAATCTAGGTGTGAAGGTGTCAGAGTTTTGTGTCAGAACTGAGTCACAGCTGAATCCCAGTCCAGCAGAGGAGGACAATTTAAAGTTTACTAAGGGCAAGTTCTTTCTGCCCATGTTTCCTTCCCCAAATCGCCTCTTCCCAGCTGTTTTTTTTCTCTCAAGAGGACTCCATGCATTTAAAGCATGTGATGCCCCCCAAAAGTATCCCAGAAATTGTATTTTTTTATGGGTGCTGGGAATTTCAGCTCTGCGAGCGGTACACCGCAGTTCCCAGGCTTATGTGGAGAAATCAAGTGCTTTAAATCTATGGTGTGTAGTTAGCTTAAGTCTGGAATTAACCTCCACAGAGCAAAAAAAACAGCTGGGGAGAAAATGTGGTTTTCTTCACACCATGCAGATGATAAAATTATATGCTTTTATGAGAAAATCAGTACCTGTTTTCTGAGATACTAATTTTTGAACCATATCCAGGTAGAATGCAAATTGGGATAGTCCATAGTATTAGGTGTTGTCTGAACAAACCACTTTAATAATATGAAAGTACAGGCATGCCTTTTCAGCAACAATTAAAGACTGATTAGATGTTTATTGTTGGTATCTAGCAGTTAATTTATTAAAACATTTCTGCACTTATAGACAGCCTTTCTCTTTAAACTTTAAGGCAGCTCATATCAATATAAACAATATAATTAATTCAGTACACCCTATAATTGCACCCCGAACAAGCTCATTCTCCATGATCACCTGTGCTGAGGAAAGAAAGTTCTTGTTTTATTTTCTCCAAATTCCTCTTGGTCGAAAGACATTTAACCTCAGGGTCACATCTTAGGCCCACCTGACCTGTTTTCATAGGACTAAAGGGAATGGAGACCATTGGGCAGCTAGTTGCTGCCATTGGTCTCATGTTGGATAGAGCTTTCCTCCTGTTTCCTGAGACACCATATCCTTTTATATCTCCTGGGTTTAGCATGTCCCCATGTGCTCCCGCTGTCACAGGATCCGCTCCCTGCAAGAGAAGGGCGCGCTGAATTTTTCAGCTTTCAACTTCCAAAAAACCAGGGTTGCTAAAATGGTTGTACCGTGACTTGGGAATCCAAAAGATATTTTGGTTACATTAATATGTTAGTTTTGTAAAATAATTTAGTTAAGGCAAAATGTGTGCAAAACTGCATAGAAATAAGTGCCAAATACTTGCAGTTATATCATGTATAAGAGCTTGGATGTTCCACCTCCTTTTGTGTGAGACAAGGGTTAAGATCTACCTCTGATAGAGAGCTTTGCCTTCCCCCTTTTCCTTTTCTTTTTTGGTTGTTTTCTTTTTACCTAGATTAGTTTGTTTTTTATTGTATTGTATGTTGAAAAGTTTCAGTATTTTTTTTCTTAAAAAAGATTGCCAAGTATTTGCAGTTGTATTATATATTAATATTATTATTATTACTTATTTAGCATTACCTGGTATTCTGAGAAGGTAAAATTTAAATTCTTTGGTTTTCCCAAAGCAGTTTATGTTCTTCTCCATCAAATGTAGACTTACCAAGCTAAATGTTGTCCAAGCACAAAAATAATAGCAGACTCAAAAACATATTTTTAAGAACCTTCACTAAAGAAATTTGCAAAAATTAAGTTTCACCTCCTAAAACGACACATTCTTCTGCAAGGGTGTCTCCTGCAATTTTACCATGAAATAAATGCCTTGTGTCTCATGGGGCTCTTTTCCCTGCAGGTGCTGAAGTTTGACGGTTACTTTCAGGAAGATGTCCCCATATCTACAGAAGAGCATTTCCGCATCCGCCAAGTGGGCATTTATTATTACCTGGAAGACGATAGCATGTCTGTCATGGAGCCCATTGTGGAAAACTCTGGGATTCCCCAGGGCAAGTTCATCAAACGCCAACGTCTGCCCAAGAACGATCGTGGGGACCATTATCATTGGAAAGACCTGAACAGAGGAATCAACATCACTATCTATGGCAAGACCTTCCGGATCGTTGATTGTGATGCCTTCACTCAGGTACTGGCACCTGGGCCGCTAATTTCCAGAACTGACTGGGGGGAAAGTAGGAAATGAGTCAATTGCAGTATTGCAATAGACGTGTTACAAAACAGATAGAGAGGGAAACGTACATCTTTTGTCTCCCCTTTCAATTCATAGATTCTTTTTCACAGTTCATTTACATTTAGGGAGACACTTTTGTCACAGACATCTTACAGTTGGGGGAAAATTAGGGGGGGAGAGAGGTGGGGGGTTGTATTGTTCTTTCGTTCTGTTGCCTAGTGTTAGTGGTAGGGCAGGCATGGCTAAACTTGGCCCTCCAGCTGTTTTGGGACTACAGTTCCCATCATGCCTGACCACTGGTCCTGTTAGCTAGGGATGATGGGAGTTGTAGTCCCAAAACAGCTGGAGGGCCAAGTTTGGCCATGCCTATGGTAGGGGGTTGGGTCAGCATCCCGTGAGTAGGTCCTTGTTTTTGTCGATATTGTGATAGATCAGGGGGTTTGGGGAGACAGGTTGTCGGGTCTGTTAAGCCACACTGATTTGTATGCTGTTGTCGTGTTGTGCTGTGTGATGAACAGGAACCACACCGGGGTGAAGTCACCCTCCTTTGTTTGTCCCTGTGCTAGTTTAAGTTTGTTGGTCAACTTTCCCATACATTTTGATACCAGTGGTCTGTCTGTGTTCACTCCTGATAGGTCCTTCCAGTGTCTAGTCATGATGTTTCTGGCTGGTGAAATTAAGTGACTTATGACTTCCTTGTCTTGGATTAAATTGCCCCTTGGATGGAGATTTTGTAAATCGAAGCCCCTTTGCTGTTCTGCAGTTCCTTACTGTCTTTAGCCTGGTATTAATGACATGACTGTCTTTTCCTAGACTTTTCTGGAGAGCCAGGGAATAGAACTGAACCCTCCGGAGAGAATGATTTTTGACCCTTACACAGAGCTGCGTAAGATGCCTCTGCGCACATATGTCACACCCTCAGATTTCGACCAACTCAAGCAGTTTTTGGCCTTTGACAAGAAGGTGAGTCTCTGGTTTGTTCTATTTCAGATTCTTTCTCACACACCTTTCTATATAATGATGATGATGATGATTAATACTACTACTACTACTACTACTACTAGTAATAGTAATAATACACCCTAAATTCAAAGCAGCAAACTAGCCTCCTATGATAAAATCAAGAAAATAGCAATCAATAAAACATGTAAGTAAACAAAACAATTAAAACAGGAGAAGATTAAACACTATAAAGGCAGTCTGAATAATAATTATAATTATAATTATGTGCCTGTATGAAACAGAGACTGTGCTTCTTTCTTTCTTTCTTTCTTTCTTTCTTTCTTTCTTTCTTTCTTTCTCCCTTCCTCCTTTCCTCCCTCTCTCCCTTCCTTTATTTAGAACTTGGGCTTATGACTGGCATTCTCATATGATTTACACAGCTGCCTTGTACTAAGTCAGACCATCTAAATCCAATTCAGCATGTTTTAAACAGATTCTTATATGCATGTAGTTTTAATTCTATTCATGTTTAATTGTGTTTTAATTGTTGTTTTCCCTGTGTTTTTAGCAATACTTGGTTTTTATCTGTAAGCTGCCTTTGAGCCCCCTCAGGGGAAAAGCTGGGGTACAAATAAATTCTTCTTCATCATCATCATCATTTAAGACTGCCTCCTCTGACTGCATCTTTTTCTTAGGGCCTTTTTCAGCGGAGGCTGAGATTCAGTGGGGCTGGGCAAAGTCTGTTCTTCCTCACCCTGAGTTCTGGCCCCTCCTGCGCCTTACAGGTCCTTCGCTTCTATGCCATGTGGGATGATACCGAGAGCATGTTTGGTGAGAACCGGCGTTTCATCATCCACTACTACTTGGCAGATGACACCGTGGAGGTCCGGGAGGTGCATGAGCGGAATGACGGCAGAGACCCTTTCCCTGTGCTGATAAGGCGCCAGCACCTGCCCAAAAAGCTTGCAGAGAAGAAAGGTAAAGGGCACCTGTACTTTACCTTTTAGGGTTGATGTGTAAAAGGAAAACCTAACTGGAAAAATTGGTGTGCAGAAGGTATGTGTGCAAGCAAGAGTATTTGGGTGCAGTGTGAATCCCATTAACATTTTGTATACCAGGAACGCATTCAGTGCTATTTTTCTAGAAAAGGAGGTGCTGGAACTTCTCCTTTGTTCTCTTAGAATGGCAATGGTGCTGGAACTGAGCTCTGGTTAGCTCCGGCTGGAAAACAGCCCTGAAGGCATTAATATGGGAAAGTGGGAGCTTGATCTATGGCAGGCAGTAGCCAGGATGAGAAGTGTGTGTGAGGCTGGGAGAGGGCCCTTTTTCAGACAGTTTTGGTAGAATTAGACAGGTCTTCTAGCATGCGATGGGGTTAAAGCAGTTATCCACCATACCAGTTAAATGCTCTGTTCTGATCCCATTGCTGTCTAAAGTCCTAAATGTACTCTTGTCTTTCTGAAGGATGCTTGCTGCATTTTCTTTAGTTTTCTAAATATTGCCAGATGATACATTCTGAGATCCTTTGGAAATTACTTCCAGAGTTTAAGCATGATCAGTTTTGATCTGTTTAAAATTGCTTGTCCCATTTAAATTGCTGAGGCACTGAGGCTTCGGTGTTATCACCATTGCAACTGTTTGTCCCCGAAGATACCGTATTTTTCGCTTGATAAGACACTCCAGACCATAAGACGCACCTAGTTTTTGGAGGAGGAAAGCAAGAAAAAAATATTCTGAATCCCAGAAGCCAGAACAGCAAGAGGGATTGCTGTGCAGCGAAAGCAGCGATCCCTCTTGCTGTTCTGGCTTCTGGGATAGCTGTGCAGCCTGCATTTCCCACACACTTTTTAGGAGGGAAAAAGTGTGTCTTATAGAGGGAAAATTTGGTAGTTTGTACTTCTTTCGACAGCTGAATACTCTCCTTCCTTAGGAGTAATCGGAGGCAGGACACATCTAACCCTCTTTCTTCCGCTAGGACCCTTCCCAACTTGTGTCCTGGAGATCTCTGATCAGGAAGTCCTGGAATGGTTCACGGCTAAAGATTTTGCCGTAGGCAAATCCACTACCCTCCTTGGGCGCTCTTTTTTCATCTATGATTGTGATGAGTTCACGCGGCAGTTTTATCAAGATAAGTTTGGCATCACTGACTTCCATCCAGTCGATGTAAGGAAGCCACCTCCGGAGGAAATCAAGCAGGTAATGGCGGGGAGCAGGAAGGGGGAAGATGGAAGAGCGATCGAGGTTTGACTCAAGGCTAAGGCTCCAATCCCTGCCCTGCTTGCTTGCAAGGAAACTGAACTGAGTAAGGGGCCACCTTTGAAGGTGACTTGGAAACTGCAATTAATCCAGAATGCGGCAGCTAGACTGGGGACTGGGAGTGGCCGCCGGGACCACATAACACCAGTCCTGAGAGATCTGCATTGGCTCCCAGTACGTTTCTGAGCACAATTCAAAGTGTTGGTGCTTTAAAGCCCTAAACGGCCTTGGTCCAGTATACCTGAAGGAGCGTCTCCACCCCCATCATTCTGCCCAGACACTGAGATCCAGCGCTGAGGGCCTTCTGGTGGTTCCCTCATTGCGAGAAGTGAGGCTACAGGGAACCAGACAGAGGGCCTTCTCGGTAGTGGCACCCACCCTGTGGAACACCCTCCCTTCAGATGTCAAGGAAATAAGTAGTTATCCTATTTTTAAAAGACATCTGAAGGCAACCCTGTTTAGGGAAGTTTTTAAATATTTAATGCTGTATTGTTTTTAACATGTGATTGGGAGCCGCCCAGAGTGGCTGGGGAGACTCAGCCAGATGGGCGGGTTATAAATAATAAATTATTATTATTATTATTATTATTATTATTATTATTATTATTACATGCAAACACCTCTCTGCTTATGGAGTCTTGGCAAGCCCCAGCAACCATTCCTAGAGCATTCTGGTCCTTTTTTTAGTGGTTAGCTTAGCATTAGCTCTGCAGCCAAATGATTATGCATCTTTCCCCCTTCAATGTTGAACCATATGTCGGTTCAAGATGGAGCCTCACAAAGGCTCTGCTAAGGCCAGAGAGACATCCTCACTCCCCCCCTCCCCAATTCAATTGGACAAACTGCATTTTCATGTTAAGTTGGAGGGCAGCCACCTCTAATGAGTATCTCATTCCAAAAATGGGATACTGACTGACAGCTGGTGGGAGATCATCCGCTGTCATTAGCTCCCCTCAATAAAGCTCAAATCAGCTCTCCAAGACAGACAGGGAGCGATCAGTTCTACAAAGGATGGTCTGCCAACTGACATAACACCAGAGATCTGACACCAGCAGAAACTTGGGGATGAAGTTAGCTGGGACGCCTCAGAAGGTATTGACAGAGGACTATCCCCCCCCTTCATCTCTGCTGTAATGGAAGATAATGGTGATACAACAGAAGGTGCAAAGTGAATGAAGTCCACTCTATGATCTTGTGAACAAAGTTGCATAGCGTTGCATTATAATTCATTATTTGTGGCTTCTTTCCTCTGCAGGAAATCCCTCCATACAACGGTTTTGGTTTCCTTGAAGACTCTCTCCAAAACTGCTTCAGTCTGATTCCTCAAGCGCCCAAGAAAAACGTTCTCAAGATGCTAGAGAACGACCGCAAAGTGTTGCGCTATGCAGTTAGGATGGTGAGATGTCCTGACATGCTTTCTGGAGGGAAGGATGGGTTTTGGAGATTGGGTGTTCTCATCTCTAAGGGCAATCTTTCAAACCCCCAAATGGTTGGATTTTTGTGTAGCATGGAAGATTACTCCCAAAGTAGGAGTGCCTAGGCAGGGGCAAATCCTAAATGAGGCATCGGGGACGCTGCTTCACCTGGCCTGCTGCTGCTCGCTGGCTGGCTGGGGCAGAAGGGAACAGGCAGGTCACTGCGCCTGCCTGGAGCTGGCTTTGTGATCCGTCCCAGATTGGGCCTGATGCCAACAAGTGAGGGCAGTGCCCCGGGCTCAGGACCCAGAAGATCAGAAGCCAGCTCAACCTCTTCCCAGCCTGGAATGCTCTGCCACACACAGGGATCCCTTCAGCAGGTGGAACAGGGAGGTCCGTGCCAGCAGAGCGATGTTGGCATTACTCTGCAAGCAGAGTCCGTCAGGGCTGCATGGAGGGACATGCACCCTGCTGCCCAGTCTTGATGCAGACGGCATTTGGATTGCAGCATCCATTGATCAATCTACTCATTAAGTCGTAATGTTAATCCTTTTCATGATGCTTTCAACATCTCAGGGTATCCGTTTAGTGATGTTATTTCTTCATCAATGTACATGGCATTTAAAGCCAAGCAAAATTTCCTGTGCTGAGGAGTTTTAACAGTAAGGAGGCATTGAAGGAAGGAAAAGAGCAGGAGAGGCTGTGATAAAAGGCAGCACACATTCCTGCTGCATTGCTTTAGTAATTTCCTCATTGCATCCTCAACCTTCTCAGCAAAGTCTAGCATCAGAACTACAGACCGTTAACAAACAACAGAGTTGACAGCGGTTGAGTTTACAAATGGTGACCCTGTTTTCTACGGGAACAGGCTGTGAGAAATGTGCCCTGTCACGTCCTTTAGAGCCGTGGTTCCCACAGGGGGGCAATTTGATTTTTAAGGGGGGCAATTCAAGAATGAGCTATTAACAGTGAATGGCCTTTTAGACTTTCTCCATGTGAATAGGAGATCGCTTTTTGAATAATAAGTATTATATGTCACAGGGAGGGGGGCATCAGGATTTTAGAGGTGCTTAGGTGAGGCATGGCAAAAGAAAAGCTTGGGAACCAGTGCTTCAGAGCCTTCTTAAGAGCCTTTCTGAGTTCTTAGCTTTTTGGAAGCAGATTTTTAACCAGCTCAGTTGTTTTCTGTCTGACAGAAGCGAACAGGGTGCTGCTGCTGTGCTATATACCAGGATGGAGAGACAGTTGGGGTGGGGTGGGCAGCACAGTTGGGGGGAGGTCAGGTGCGAGGTGCCATCCCAACCACACTGCCTGTTGCTGCTCCCAGTGCAGTGATCTCTGTATGTAATCTCTGCAGGAATCTCCCAATCCTGAAGACAGTAAGCGTCATTTTGTGCTCTCCTATTGCCTCGCCACCGACATGATGAGCATCTATGAACGACCTATGCGCAATTCAGGAAGAATTGGAGGCAAATTCCTAGCCAAGACCAGGGTGTGCAAGCCAGGGTCCACTACAGACATTCCTGTTTACTATGAGCCAGCTGACTTCACCATTGGAGCCACGGTGGAAGGTGAGTAGAAGACAGCAGGTAAGTAAATTGGACGCTCTTACGTCAAAGTGCAAGTAGAGAAATAGGTACCGCTCCAGCAGGAAGGTAAACGGCATTTCCGTGCACTGCTCTGCTTTGCCAGAAGCGGCTTAGTCATGCTGGCCACATGACCCGGAAGCTGTACGCCGGCTCCCTCGGCCAATAAAGCGAGATGAGTGCCGCAACCCCAGAGTCGGCCACAACTGGACCTAATGGACCTTTACCTTATGTAGAAAACAGTAATGTTGCTGGTTTTTTCTCTGTTAGCTATCCAGAGTGTAGTCTGCCTTTGCTATTGTGCTGGTCAATATCTTGGCATGCAGTTGAATAATACATCTTGAAGTCATAATAGACCATTTAGAAACGTTTTGTCCAATTTCCCTTGCATTTGTGAGGCACAATGTTTAAACCCAACTAGCTCAGAACTGACAAGCTGGCTAAAGCACTGCTGAACCCTTTGCTGAGGAATCAGAGTTCTTTAAGGTCTCTGACCTCCAGATCCCTTTTGCATTACTCTCTACATTGTAGGGAGAACAAAGCAATAAGGAATTGAGACGGAAGCAGAAAATGCTGCCAGTCCATCCTTTGTTTTAACTCAGCAGAGGACTCACCAGAGAGCTGTAGAACCGGGCACCATTCTCTGCTCTCTGGTGATTGTAGGCATGGAAGGTTCTGTTCTGAGTTTTGCTCTGGCCACTTTGCAGAGCGAAGGAGACTGCCAGGCTGCAGGATCAGATGAAAACTTTGGCACCTTGGACTGGACACTTATTCTTCAAAGAAAGTGCTCGATCGTCTGTGCAGCTTGTGCTTAATGGTGAACACTGGTTTACTTTTCTTTCATTCCAGTGTTCAGCCACAGGTTCATCATCGTAGACGCTGATTCATTTGTCCTGAAGTATATGGAAGGCAATTTGGAGAGTTTCCCACCAGCAGTTGTGCAGTCCATGAGGGATCACTTCGCACCTCGCCAGGCAGCAGCAGAGGCAGTAAAGAGGTGGGCTTTTAAAGAAAACCCATGCAAACGTTTCTCCAGACATCATTAGATTCTTCTTGGGTAGCTTCTTAGCGTGACGCTATCTATGCCCATCCTAGGGCCATTATATGCATTGTGCAGACTAAGGTCCCCGTCTTACATTATCACCACGGGGAGGGAATCATTGTAGCAGTCCCTTGGACACTGTGGAAGTACCATGAAAATCCTCAGGGAGCCTCTGCTACTCTTCCTTTACTAGCTGTTGGGGAGTAAGAGTGAGAGAGAGCTTTTTCATTCATGGCCCGTCTTGTAGGCATCCAACTGCCTGCTGTGGGAAATGGGGTGCTAGTCTAGGTAGGCATTTTGCCTGATTCACTAGGGCATTTAAAATGAATCATAGAACAGTCCAACCCCTGAGGGAGTCCATTCCACTTCATACACTTACGTTAGTTTCCCATCAATTCTAATCATGTCCATTCAAACATTTCCAGGGTGTGCATGTCTTATTTTGAAGACTCTTAAAGGGTGCATGCTAAACCTTTCTACCCTAATGGTGAGGGGTTTTCCTTTTTTACATGCAGGGTGCTACTTGCATAGCTGTCAACTTTTCCCTTTTCTTGCGAGGAATCCTATTCGGAATAAGGGAATTTCCCTTAAAAAAGGGGAAATGTTGGCAGCTATGTGCTATTTGTTGCTGGGGAGCAATTCTCCACCTGCTGTCTCAAATTGTGACACCTATTGGAAGTTGTAGAGGAAAGAAACAATATCTAGGAGGAAAATAAGAATATTTGGTCCTAGTTGTTTCAATGAACCAATATAGGAAACGGTTGGCTACTCTTAGTGTACCTTTGTTAGTCAAAGGTGCAACTTCCCACTTTAGGAATTGTGCAGTTTAACCAGAAAAAACACGGGGAAAACAGAAAGCTTTGTCTAGCTGCAAAATAGAACCGGAGATTCCTACCTTACTCGGAATTATGTTAAATTTTGTCACAGCAGTGTTTATGATTCACAAGTCTTAATCATTTTCTCTTGTAGGTGGATTCACTAAAAATTTAGTAGATTAATCAGTGGGGCTGTGAGTTAGGAGCAAACTGCTGTGTTTCTGTTAGAACAACAACAAACCCTTTAAGATGGGACTTTCTGGCAGATTTGATTTATTAAATAGTAGTTTGAATGTCTTTGTTGAGGTTTCGCCAGTATGCAAATTTATCTAATTTTAAATCAGCTTCACTAGCAGGCTGGTGAATAAGGAACAACCAAGTCTGTTCATCATTATTTTTTATTTTTTTAAAAAATAATATTTATTAAAGTTTCACAAAAAAGATCACATTAATGAAAAAGAAAAATTTAAGAATAAAAAAGAAAAATACACAATACAAAATACAAAAATACAAAAATAAAAAGGAAAAACAGTTAAAAACAATTCCTTCTTTTCATAACTTCTTTTACATTTACTTGTTTCCCGGACCTCCTCATACCTCCCTCTTTTGTATTCCAATTCAGTTTGTTAGTCCAGCAATTTCTTTCCCTCCTTTTTAATCCCAATCCTTAATCTTAATATATTATAACATTAAGTTTTTACCTATTAAAAACCAATTTTTCCATTCTTTTAGCCTTTTAGTCCTAATCCTTAATCTTGATATATTTATAACTTTAAAACCTGTACAGCTAGAAGCCACTTAACTTCAATCCAACATCACTCTAACATTCCTTAATTTTGCAATATTTCTGTAAATAATCTTTGAATTTCTTCCAATCTTCTTCCACCGACTCTTCTCCCTGGTCACGGATTCTGCCAGTCATTTCCGCCAATTCCATGTAGTCCATCATTTTCATCTGCCATTCCTAATGATCTGTACGTAAGCCTTTCGAGATCATGGTAGCCAAGCCAGACAGGCTCGTGCACAACGGAGGAGGCGTACTTGCCGACTCGTGAAAGACGTTCCTCCCCCCCCCCCTTTGTAGGTTAGCTTCAGATGAGCCTGACAAGCAGGAGCTGGATGCCCTGACTGAGCAGATACAGGAGCACATGAGGAGACATAACTACTTGCCAGACAGCAACATGCAGGCAGCCTTCCTCCAGCAAGACAAAGATGGTTCAGGGCTCCTCAGCAGAGAAGAGTTCTGTGCCCTCTGTGACCACTTCAAAGTGCCTGTCGATGACCCCCTTTTCCAGAAGGTGAGGAGTAGGAATAGTCACAGCATCTGAATTTTGCCAAGAAAGCCACGGCAGTGATTTGCACTAACCTGACCGCTTGTCTGGTGCACACGTATCCTCATGAATTCAGTGGCACTCACTTCCGAGTCCGTTTCCGTCATATCGTATGCCAACATTAGGACAAGGGCAGGCAACGTGGTCAGCAGCAGGGGCCGCGATGGAATCATAAAACAAGAGCAAATAGCGGCACTGCTTTCTTGAATAGAATTTGTAATGTACTTCTGGTACAGTGCGAGTTTCCTCTTCACTGTTGGTGAACAGTGAAGAGTCTGGGAACAAGTCAAAATCAACAGTGACAGTAAAGTATTCATGACCTTTGGGTTACAGTGGTACCTCGGGTTACAGACGCTTCAGGTCACAGACTCCGCTAACCCAGAAATAGTACCTCGGGTTAAGAACTTTGCTTCAGGATGAGAACAGAAATCGCACGGCAGCAACGGGAGGCCCCATTAGCTAAAGTGGTGCTTCAGGTTAAGAATGGACCTCCAAAATGAATTAAGCTCTTAACCCGGGGTACCACTGTACTTTTATTTTTAAAATAAATAAATAGTAGATAATGAGTGAACAAAGCTTCCCCTTTGCTGCCATGTTGGAAGTGTCCTTAGCCTTAGATCTGTTGACAATTCAAGCTGCAGTAATTAGAATTGGCATAAATTTAGGAGAGGGCCATTTGCCTAATATCTCCTAGAAAATTAGAAGTAGCGACCCTTGGGTTTTTTTGAATATGGGTTCCTTCCACACCAGCCCTTTTCTCTTGAATTGCCCTCTGTGGCTCATTCACTTTTTTTACAGTATCCACATTGTTGTGAGCTCTTTGGATTTAAGTGGTTTTTGGAGGTGTTGTTTTTTCAGACCTCATTTGTGGTTAATGGGGGGGGGGAGGGGGGAATACAAAGCAATTGCACTACTAGCCTGACCCACTCTTTTCAGGGTTCCTGTTGGCGACAAACTATTTCTCACCACTGTGGAGCTGCATTTGTTCTTGAATATCAGATCCATTACAAACTGCCCCCTGCTAGTGAAATGGTAATATTACCAGATTTTTCAGCTACTTGACTTTCCTTCTTTTTCTCTTCCAGCTGATCGCCCTTTGTTCCCATGGTGAAAACCAGATCAGATACCCCAACTTTCTCAGAGTTTTCGAGGGGTGAACACCAAAAGGTATAAGCAGCAGCAAGAGGGACTTTTGCATATAGATCAACATGGATTAAACTGAGCTAATTCTTGTGCACTTGTTCTGGTCTCTTTTCCCTTCCATCCTGCAAACCTGGCAGAAACGGACATCACTGCACGCTCATTCCACTTGAATACCTTAAACCTTCCGAGAAAGAGCTCCCAAAATTATAATCACACTAGATAGATAGATAGATAGATAGATAGATAGATAGATAGATAGATAATTGGGGGGTAGAGAGAGGCCTTTGGACCTAGATGCGGAAAGTCATAAACCCTTCTACTTTACTATGCCACTTACCACAACTAATTAGATTTTCTACTCCAGAAGTGACCCCATGTCTGCTGTTTAGCAACATCCCCCTGTAATGACCCACATTTGCTGTTTGATTGGCAAGGGGGTGGAAAGGGGAGACTATTCAAACGTGAAGTAATTTGTAGCTGCGGTCTGGTCAGGGCTGCCTGGGACGTTTTGCCGCTAGAGGAAAAACAGGTAATCTACCACCTTGCAGTCTCTTCCTCCACTGGTCGCCTACTGGGGTGTGCAACGCCCCCCCCCCCCCGCTGTCTGGGGTCACATGGGTGGTTCTGGCCCTGCTATGAACCACAATACATCTGAGCAGTGATTTTTTTCTAGGGGGACGCAGACCCCTAAACATTCTGTGAATCCAAGTTTGGCCTCATTGAGGGGCAGCATTTCAATATGATTAGGAAAATGAGAGCACCCCAAACATTTTTTTTTAAGGAAAAAAAGCACTGCATCCGAGTGCTCCTAGGACCTTTGTGGTGAAGGGCAGTACCAATTTAATATCCTCCCCTTTCTCCAAGAGCACAAGATGGCATAAATGACTCTTTTCCTTATCCCCATTTTATCGTCAGCCTAGCCCTAGGAGGTGGTTTATCTACAAGGCCCAGTCAGGTTTCAAAGCTCCATAGATCAACGTCCTTTGTAGACTGGGGTAGTGTGTGTAACTGTGGGCCATCTGAAGAGTTGCCTTATACACAGTGAGACTGTTCGTCTCAAGTAGCAGAGTCTTACTTTGGCAGCAGCTCTGTCTCAGAGGTAAAGGGACCCCTGACCATTAGGTCCAGTCGTGACCGACTCTGGGGTTGCGGCGCTCATCTCACTTTACTGGCCAAGGGAGCCGGCGTACAGCTTCTGGGTCATGTGGCCAGCATGACTAAGCTGCTTCTGGCGAACCAGAGCAGCGCACGGAAACGCCGTTTACCTTCCCGCCAGAGCGGTACCTATTTATCTACTTGCACTTTGACATGCTTTTGAACTGCTAGGTTGGCAGGAGCAGGGACTGAGCAACGGGAGCTCACCCCATCGCAGGGATTCAAACCGCCGACCTTCTGATCAACTGCCTGCTGGGGATCCCCTCTTGTGTATCCAACATAGCGGTCCGTTTGGAGGTTGGGCAAATTCCTATCAGTACCCGGATATGGATATTGAAGATCCATTACTGGCTAAAGCTTATTTTCTTCCCGGTTGGGCTGGCACCTTTGACCTTATTGGAGCCCGATCAATAAGCCCGAGGGGTTTAGTGGTTTAACCCACAGCGCCACCCGCGTCCGTCTGAGGTAGCAAGGACTTAAACCAGGACATTTCTACAGCCAGCCTCCCCAAAATGTCCAGCCTGCACCTCCAGCTTAGTCAGACAAACTGGAGACTGAATTTTCCATGCCTGGCCTCACAACAAAGGAGACCTATCTGCTGAGGTGACTGATGTCAAGCCAACTCATGTTAGTGGTGAATGCACGCGCATGAGTTCTTGATATCTTTCTATGCCTTTTTATTTCAGAAAATATTGTTTCACAGATAGCTTTGATAAAAGTTGTTCCAACAACAAAAATTAATACATACTTTAAGGTTTTCAATGGTATAAGGGGAAAAATAATTGACAAGGAATTCCTGAAAAAAGTCCTCTCCTTCCCACCGCTCCAGAGCCATCAAGATGAAATGTAAAATATGGAAGAACAGGCATTTTATTTCAGCTTCCTGACTTAAATTTGGTCCATAATATTAACACACACCCTGCCACAACGGGTACACATTCAACACCATATTCTGTTGTATACTTTGCAACAATTCTGACGTAGTTGTGCACTCAGGATAATAAAGGCTATACTTCTGGAAGACACAAAATCAGGAATAGAGGTAACTGATTTTTACCTGTAGTAGTAGAGACTGACCATCTGCCACCTCTATGATGTGTTTTACATAGCATTTACCTTTTGTTCGAAAATCGCCCACAGAACACATAAGGATTGTGTGGGCAGAAGAGTTAAAAGGAATTCTGTTTTCCTAACCGCTTTACCAGATAGGCACTTTAAAAACAAGCAAAACCTAAGCTATTTTAAAGAATACAAATTTTAATGCCCTGCTGTAAAGTATCTATATACTGAGCTTTGGAACGTTTGTGGCTAGACCTGCAATATATGGCTACACAACTTCTGATCTACCTAGGACATGAGGGGCAGGAAAAGGACTGTGAGGTTACCTCTCTCAACCCAAAACAGGTAACAAAGGATAACTCCCCGCCTGGGCAAAAAGTAATAATAATAAAAACCATCACATTAGATAAACAATTGCCCTATTTCCTCCTCCCAGAGTCAGAGCACTCACAAGGGACCACAAATCTAGGTGAGCTTTTTATTGTCCAGCCTGGGAGGAAAACTATGGGACAAGGAGGGGTGTTACCAAGTAGCTAAGAGCTCAGTGCTAGATGGGATAGCCTTTTCCTAGCTGAAGGCATCCCTCAAGGTCAAAATGCACTTGGGGTGTTGTTTAATTACACTTTGGTGGGTGGGTGGGCTCTGAAAAAGACATGCACTGAAGCTGCTGAGATGGGAATCTGAAGCAGATCACCAACACGGGAGACAGAGTTGGGACTTGGCCCCCACTTTAGAAGCACCCTTTTATTTCCCTTTTTCAGGGTGGGAAGAATGGGCAGGGTGGTTTTCAGAAAAGGCAGAGCTAAGGAAACCTGCACACACAGCTTCTGCTTCAAACTGCAGCCTCAGTGAGCGATTGCATTAAAAACATACACACAAAAGAACATAACTATACATAACACCTAGTTCTGTTCTCAGTCGCCACAAAAGGACCACAAGAACAAAACGAACGAGATTCCTTGCAGCTTCTGCATAAAGTTTCAGAATGAAAGCTAGTTGTCTAGAATTAAAAGCAGGCAAATGAATCTGGTCTGCTGTGGAACTAAGAGTACATGTTTGCATACTGAGGCTTGTGCTGTAATACAGCAGAGACACTTTCCATTAAGGTACTTACTAAGGAACACCTACCTATAGTATAAAAAAAGGCATAGAAAATTGAGGCAATGTGTTCAGCAAAAGCTGTCCCTTTTATGACTAGCTAAACTGGTGTACAAATGTCGGGGGGGGGGGGACACTACATGGAGAGACATACAGAAGAAAGGTACAAAAAGGCTATGTGGCAATGTAAGGCACTTGTATTGTTCTGCAATATGCTACACGGTGGTTTGACAACTTTGTGCAGGAGGAAGCAGGGTTGTGCAGGCTGCAGGCTGCTTTGTGCACCTTTTAAAAGTGATCCTCTGAGCTGCCTTGGAAGACATATGGCGCCGGTTGCTGCAAAGTCAAGGCAGCTATGTTTGGTGTTCTGCAGCAGCTTGGGGTCTAGCACAACAAAGTAAGGAGAGGTCCCAACTTAAAACAGTGGTGTCTCTCTTTGGAACAGTGTCCAACAATGCTAAGGAAGGTGAGGGCAGAAGGAAGGCAGGCCTGACTCCCATTAGGCTCCACCAACAGAGAGCTGCCTTCACAGCTGCGTCCTGTTGGCTCAGCCCACTTCACCTGACCTGCTTATAGCACCATCGTCCACCCAGCATCGCCCTTCACTCCTATTCAAAAAAATATACAGATGAGGTATATTTGGGACTCAACAAGGAGCGACAGGCACACGCTGGTAAGTTTGGCTTCGGCTCAGAATGTCCCTAGTCTGGACATTCCAGGTTTTGGAGGAAAAGGAAACTGACGTCTCCAGGTACGCTCCCAAGTAGCGCCAACAGTGGAAGAACAAGGGAACAAGAGTGTTTCAACTCCTCATACTTGGCAACGTTCCCAAGGGCTGTGCAACCGGTGGCCAAGCAAGCTCAACCAAGCCCCTGCCTTGGCTGCCCCTCTGTTTTACTGTCCTGGAACATGAGATAAAACACAGCTTGGTGGGTTAAAAGTTACGCCGACTCAACTGAAGGACACTACGGGATAAGAATGTGTGCACAAAAATAGAAAGCTGGAAATGAAACTTGCACCAGTTACTATAAAAGATCCCATGGGGGTGGGGGATATTTAAAATAATAAACCAGGCATCTGGTGGTTTGAATGCCGTGAAGAACCACCCAGTCACTCGCTCGCTGTGAAGGGCTGCTGAACAAGGTGCCACTCCCTAGTCTGTGTCGACCCTTTGCAGAAGCCTCCTTAGCATGCATAAATCGGGAAGAAATGCTGTTGGGATCAAGAATGCAGCAGAGAATGGCACAGGGGAACATCCACCACCATTTATGGCACAGGAGAATGGACGCTTCAAGCCCCCATTGTCTGAGGCACGAGGTTTCTAAGTAGCACTTGCTGGAAAAGGCAGCTGGGCTCCGGGTCCTGTTTGCAGGCTTCCCAGGGGCGCCTGGTTGAGAATGCTGGACTCAATGAGCCACAGGGCTACAGGGCATAAGATGCTCTTATGTTCTTAAAACACGTGCAAGGTGATCCAGTTGCACTGGGGACAAAGGCAAGTCCCAAAACCCTGGAGACTGAGGCAGACACAACTGCACTAAGGAGGACAGCGGATACCGTTCCTTGAAAACCAAAAAGGGCAGCAGTACAAAGAAGCTGTCAGTTCTTCTTGGGTGAAGGATCCATTCCCTCTCCCAGAATACACTTCTCACCGTTAGTTCCACTTCAACAAAAAGAGGAAGTGTAGCAGTTAGAGAAGGGTGGCCCCCGAGGTAGACTGTACACTGAGTGCCCCCCACCAGCTTTGAGAATAGGTGACAGTAGATGGAAAGCAGTTTCACCCATGAGAGAGATTTCCTCTCACCGCATTCATAATACATCCACGTATTAAAGGTTAGGAACTGTGCAGCATTCTGTGTGGAAGAAACCTATGTAGCCTTAGAAGAATACCATTCTCAGGAGCTGCAAAGAGCAGCCAGATTGGAAATGGGTTCAGATCCCCATGGACAAAACTTGTGAAAACGTAGGGACGCCTGAAAAACAGAAGGCTAGGGTTGCCATCCTAAAGACACTCGCTAGGGAAGAACAAGAGGCTTACTTCGGAGCAAACGTGCACTGAATATGCTGTAGAGGCAATAATATTGCTGTCCTATGTTGGTATGGGTGGGCCACTTGAACATGACAGACCCAGTCATAAAGATTACACCAACACTTCATGAAGGGAACTTGCTGCAGAGGAAACAAAGGCACGAGGAAACTGTCCGCTTGCTAAGTAAGGAGGTCACAGACCACCCACAGACGTCTGCCCTGATCTGCTATTTCAGTGAGCAGTGAATCTTCTCCCTGGACTAAGGCACAGTCGGCTGAGGATGATTCTCAAGGCCTGGGGAGATGCAAAGCATGTCTGACACATACCAAGCTGCCAGGCCAGCATTTGTTGGGTGTTTCAGCAGAATGCAGTAAATTCTATTTTCGGCTAAGAGGAAGCAGTATGGGAGAGAAACTGCGTGCATCTGTCCCCTTCTCCAGAATGCAACTGGCTAAAATTTCAGTCTCTGCGAATAGGCATAGCACAACCCAAAAGTTACATACATACTAAATTATGTTTGTGCACTTCGCCATCATGTTGTGAAGGCCTGGCACATTCTAAATGTTCCGCTAAGATTACTAGATATGTAACAGAATTAGGAAATGCAGGCAGAGAAGGGTCCTTAGAGGTTTGCTCCATTTCCCCCTCCAATGCCATTTCCCACAAACTCGCTGTGCAAGAGTGCGTTGTCTGAAGGGGTCCACACACTACCCAAATGTTCTATTGTCCCGGCAACGAAGCAAATCATGCCCTACAGATGCCACCTCTCCAAACCACGAGATCCGGCGAGAGTGAGGTGGCTGATACTAAGTCAGGGAATGGGCTTCCAAGGAATAATCGCTTACAAAAACATCTCTGGGTGTAGCAAAAGCAGCAAGAATACATTGGAGGACAGATTAAAATGAGCAATAAGAAAATACACTGGCTGAGGAAGGGGTTTGTTTGGTGTTCTGAAGCTCCACTGCGGATGGAGAGGGGCTTTTTGGTTACTGCAAACTGTCTGGAGGCAGAGAGAGAAGGGGAAAGAGCTTTTCGGTGGTACGTTGATTCAAGCCGTTTGAAACAGGGCTTCGTGAAGACACAAGGGAAGGAGCTGCTTCTTATTCCCAGAGTCCTTAGTCTCGCATTTTCCATTTCCTCCTCCAAGATTCCTTGAAGACTGTGCTTTGGCTCTAGGGAGACTTGATTTTCTTGGTCCGCGGCGACGTACCATTTTCTGCTTTCACCACTCCGTTTTCATGGTAGCCTGAGGTGTGGGGAGAAGGGGAAAATGGTATTTTAAGAAAAGTCTTCGATAGGTGCTTGTACAAGGCTTTCAAAGACTCAAAGAATGGAGTCTGGAATGCTATATTTAGTACTAGAGTTTTAGGGTGAAGGCAGTGCCCGCCACCCCCTCAGCTAACTCTGAGAGTTCACATTGTCCCCTGAGGCTTTCCGAAGCCACAAGTATGGGGTTTGGTGGTAATGAGCAGAACTGCTCTACAGGAAACATAGCTGAGGCTTCTGGCAGACTTATCCTATGATGTCGTTGGCTTAACTGGTCATATTCTGCCGTCCCTCCAAAGATCCAGCAGTATGGCTCTCACGCATTCACCTATCCTGGAAATTTGCAGTGCCAAAAAAAATTGCTTGGGCAGCATCATGTGAACCAAAGACTATTATCTTGCCTGTTAGACCCCAGGGAGTGACTGGGTGAGACTGGGGGGGGGGGGGAGCTGCAAGGGAACCAATAGGTGTCTCTGGGCCACTAATCCTCCCCCCCCCAAAATATGTGTGTTCTAGCTGCAGCAGCTGCTTGGGACCTAGCCAAGTCCGGCCTGTTTCAGCAGAGCTCATCGCACAGACCAGAAAAAGCCACGATTGTCTACTAAACGAGAACAGTTGCCCAATTAAAACAACCCTAGTCACTTCTTCATATATATCTTAACAAATTAACCAGATCTGCATATATTTGGCATATAAAAGAACAAACCACATGTGTCACAGCAGCAGGTTATTAGCTTAGAAGAGGCGTCTCCCACATTCGTTTTAACACAGAAGATGAAGGTTAATTCTGTGTCCAGGGCCAGCTCCATCTGGTACGCAGGCTAAGACCCTACCTGCCTGCAGACTGTCTTGCCAGAGTGGTGCATGCTCTAGTTATTTCCCGCTTGGACTACTGCAATATACTCTACGTGGGGCTACCTTTGAAGGTGACCCAGAAACTGCAATTAATCCAGAATGCGGCAGCTAGACTGGTGACTGGGAGTGGCTGCCAAGACCACATAACACCGGTCCTAAAAGACCTACATTGGCTCCCAGTACGTTTCCGAGCACAAGTGAAAGTGTTGGTGCTGACCTTTAAATCCCTAAACGGCCTCGGTCCAGTATACCTGAAGGAGCGTCTCCACCCCCATTGTTCAGCCCGGACACTGAGATCCGGCGCTGAGGGCCTTCTGGCGGTTCCCTCATTGTGAGAAGTGAGGTTACAGGGAACCAGACAGAGGCCTTCTCAGTAGTGGCACCCGCCCTGTGGAACACCCTCCTGTCAGATGTCAAGGAAATAAGCAGCTATCTTATCTTTAAAAGACATCTGAAGGCAGTCCTGTTTAGGAAAGTTTTTAATATTTAATGCCGTTTTGTTTTTAACACTTGATTGGAAGTCGCCCAGAGTGGGCGAAACTCAGCCAGATGGGCGGGGTATTAATAATAAATAAATAAATAAATAAATAAATAAATAAATAAATACACCTGCTTCTTTTCGTTCTTGATGAGTATTTTGAATTATATATTTTCAAATCTGCTGCCCAATTAATCTTTTCCTCCCAGGTGAACAATATACACGTTTTAAGAAACGGATTAATCTGACCACACAGTCAGCTACACACTAGAGCGAAGGCACATCGCAAGCTGCCTCTCACACCAAGTAGGGCCCCTGCTCCCTCTCGCTCAGTACTGCCTGCGCTGAGCGGAAGCCCCTCTGCAGGTTCCAGGCAGGCAGCCTTTCTGAGGGGATGCAGTGCACACGCTCTCCCACACAGCGCTCAGAGCTCAAACCAGACACGGGTGTGATGCCCCAGCAGGATGCTCACCCGACTCCCTTTTGATGGTCTTCAGCTGCTGCTTGCCATGGGTGGCGGCCGCAGCCGCAGCGGCTTTTTTCCTAGTGCTCTGCTCATTCCAGTACTCCCGCCAGCGCCGCAGCTGGAAGTGGATGAAGCGCCACATCATCCAGGCCTGTGAGAAGCACACCAGAAGCAGGACGCACATCCTGGGGGAAGCAAGCAAGGGAAGGCAGGCTGTGACTGAGCAAGGAGCCAGCCGGCTTCAAAGGGGCGCCCCGGGGAGTGAAAGAGGCTGCCTTTCCATATCGAAAGCCCCGGGGAAACCTAGACTGAGGGCTGGCACACCTGAGTTATCAACTCTGCCACTGCCCATCTTGGGCTGGTGGGCATGCGCATTTTGCTTTGATCCACAGCCAGATCTCACATGGCGCTGTATGAAAAAAATCTTGAAGATAACAGTGGACAGCTTCATTCAGAGGACTCATTTCCAGGGAGAAATGAAGCTATTTGTGCTCGTTTACCCTCAGAACAAGGGATGCGGGTGGCACTGTGGTCTAAACCGCAAAGCCTAGGACTTGCCGATCAGAAGGTCGGCAGTTCGAATCCCCACGACCGTTGCTCGGTCCCTGCTCCTGCCAACCTAGCAGTTCAAAAGCACGTCAAAGTGCAAGTAGATAAATAGGGAAGGTAAACAGCGTTTCCGTGCGCTGCTCTGGTTCGCCAGAAGCGGCTTAGTCATGTTGGCCACATGACCCAGAAGCTGTACGCCGGCTCCCTCGGCCAGTAAAGCGAGATGAGCGCTGCAACCCCAGAGTTGTTCGTGACCGGACCTAACGGGCAGGGGTCCCTTTACCTTTACCCTGAGAACACTTCAGCTAGACTGGGACTGGAGCCCCATTTAGGCATTATGTTACCCTCTGGTAACGTAAACTTCAGGTTATGTTACCAGCAAACCCGGAACTGTTTTGCCAGGCATGCATGTGCACAAGCAGTCTACTGCCACGCACGGATGCGCAGAAGCGGCACTTCTGGTAGCGAAAACTTCGGGATACGGCCAGACCTCCGGAACGGATCCTGTTCGCAACTGAAGGTACCACTGTATATTCTAAACAAACCCATGGCATCTCTCTTGTGGCTACAGGGCACAGTCAAGTACTAGTTAAGGGGGATTTCTAACAGGTGCCCACTGCAGTCAACGCTGGTGCCAATTTAACACTTAACCGTGTTTAAAACCCGCAGGGGAAAGGGAGGACACAAATCCTGTACTTTATGCCGTGGGAAAGAGATGGGAGCTGGACTGACTGGGAGGGAACTGTACTGCTCCCATGCATTACTTCTGCACCAGGCCTAAATAGATGGAGCCCTGAACTCACCCAGCATCCCTGACTTTGGGCTTTCCTTTGCTCACCTCCCAGAAACAAAATGCGCCCGAGCCTTACCTGAAAAGTAAAGTGTTGAAGTTTCCTTTCTCGGGGTCAAACGCCTGGTTCTCCACTCGAGCCAGCCCAAAGCCAATGACCAGAACGGATAGGGTGAGGGTGAAGAGCCGGGAAACGACGAACACCACTGCCCAAGCATTAAACCTTGTGGAATTAAACAGGAGACCATTCGACATTTCAAAAGAGGGATACTTGCCATGCCTCTTAGGTGGGCATTTTTAATAATGTACAGGAGCTGTCAAAGACTGTCAAGAGGCAGTAGTAGCGATTCAGAAGAAATGCAGTGTGCAAGTTATTTAAGTGGTGCACCCACAAAACACTACACTGAGCTGTAGTCAACTATGTCCTATTCAGAGTAACCTATTGAAATTAACAAAACTATGGTAGTCATCACTCTTAATTTCAATGGGTCTACTCTGAATAGGGCTGAATGCCACCTATTGGGTGTGATTCAACTAGTGAGTCCCATCAGTAGACGTTACTCAGCAATTATGTTAGAAGTCTTTCTTTCTTTCTTTCTTTCTTTCTTTCTTTCTTTCTTTCTTTCTTTCTAATTCACATCTAGAGTATAACAGGAGATGATACTGGAAAGGAGCATCTAGTCTTAGAATTCCCCAGACATTTGCTAGTGAGCCTCAGAGGCTGAAAGGAAAGTCATGCTTCACCCACACAGAAGAGCACTTACAGCTTCTCGTTGTTTTCATCTGTGAAGTAGAACAGGCGAGCCATATGGAAAAGGAATTCAGCTACGTACTGCAGCAGCAACAGGATGAGTCCCAGGCGTGTGAGGCTGGAGAAAGGGAAGGACAATGGTGATTGCGGCAGAAGGGATGAACACCTTTTGAGCCTCCTCCTCCCTTTCCCTAGCATTTTACCCCAAGATTCCCCTCAGGGTCCCTTCTGACTCTATAGATCTATGAGTTAAAAGGCTGTGCTGCGATCATGGAAACTATCAGGCAAATCAACTTTGATTCCACCTCACCCCACTCCTTTCAAAGACCAACGCTGAGTTTTGTTGGGCTTTCAGCCAGGCCTCCCAATTTTATGTGACAGGAACACCAATTGTGCAATTTATAAACCAAGCAAAATCTCACATATAAAGTATCAAGGTGGTGCAGAACAACATATGCAGGTACAATGAACCTTAAGATACCATAAAAACTATGCAGAGTAATCGTAAAAATGACTGGCTCATCCTGAAAAAATGAAAACAACCGAATAGGCCTTTGAACGTAAAGAGGTCTTCAAGAGATGCCTGGAAGTCAGCAGTGAGGATACTTGATGAATCTCTGCGGGAAGACATTTGCTACGTTTAAATCACTGGGCTAGTCTTGGGAGGAGGCCATGGGCTTTGCTGTAGGAAATCAATTCCTCTACCTCCTGCTCAAAGCCTAGAGACTTTGGGGCAAACATGCTTAAAAAAAGAAGTGTGTTTTAACACCGTTACAATCATTGTGAAGAAAAAGCAGTTGTCTAGGACCCTGATCCAATGCCATACTTCCTACCCAAATGGACCCCCCCACACCACGTCCCCATGCTAAATCTCCTACAGCTGTTTTTTTTGCCCCAGAAGGTGCTGTTTACTGCAAAAATAGCCGTGTTAAGCATCCCTTTTAAAAAGCATGACCAGCATAATACAGTCAGTGGGAATTTTGAGTGCAGCACCCAACCTCTTGGCCTCTTCTCTGATGGCAGTGCTGTTTTGGGCGTGGAACAGGCCTTGGGTCTGACAATTGTCTGACTTTATCTATTCCTTTATTTATTTTATTCAACAGATTTCTAACCTGCCTTTAAGAATGTCTACTATCACAAGGCGGTTTACAACATTGTTGGCCTCTGTCTATCTCGAGAGGCAATGGAGAGGCAATCCCTCTGGGGATGAAGTCAAATGGCTGTGTTAGCAGCACCCAAGGGACCTCCCTGGGCTGCAAGCCTGAGCAGTACGTATGGAGGTCCTGGGGTGCCCAGATGACAAGACCCCCTTCTGGGCCTTGCTGAGGCGGCCCAAAGGAAAGCAGAGCAATAGTTGGGCACCAGCTTGGCTGCAGGAGTTGCCCGAAGAAGGCATACAAGCCACCACCCAACTGTCTTAGGGCTCCACTCCAGATTTGCCTTTTCTTCTCCCAAATATATCCCACAAAGCGGTGGAAGTTTAGGACCACTTTTCCTTCCCCGAGATGGGCTGCCTTCCCAGGTTGGCCAGCCCCATCTGCCCCTCACTTCCCTCTACAGCACGTGCAGAAACAGCCTTCTTGACCGTTGGACCCACTATGTTTGCAACATAATCATACAACAAACAACAATATATTATACCAAAAATTAATAAACAAAGGGCTTAGGCAGGTCCTCTTAGAAGACTGGAAACCAAGCCTGCTTTCTTGTAAAGTTTAATTTAAAACCGAAGCAAATTATACAGCTTTGGAGCTGCAGACAGAAAAACGCTGGAACTATTTATTAGGAGTTCCTTTTAACCTGAAGAGAAAGCAGGTGTGCAACATTGCCATGTTGAAGACGGTGGGACCCACAACACTTACTTCAAGAGGTATGCTCCAGATATATGAACTAGATAGAGGCTGATATATTGCAGCTGACGAGGAATCTCTTCCTGCAAAGAAAGGGAAGACCATAAGAAGCCAATGTGCATCATAAGAGGCAATGACTGGCTGCATCTAACACAGACGAAGTAGAGCAGGTGCAGTCAAACGCAGGGCCTTGGTGCATCTTGCATCAAAGAAATCCGCATGCCAGTACAACACACTGCTGCACTTTCCACAAGGCTTCCATGAAGAAATTCAAATATGTTAGTGGGAGGGTGTCTTTCACACACCACTAGAACCCAGGTAGGAGAGCAGGAAAAGTGCTTTTCAAAGTATTTTCTACAACTGTGAAAATGTACCCTGGCTTTCCTTGGACTTAAGAAAAAGCATCAACTTGGAAACTTCTTTGTCAGTTTAATATTATTTTAAACATTCATTCAATTTTTTTTTGTATATAAAAAAAACTTATTTATTTCGCTTTGGATTTAACAACTCTGCTGGTAACTATGGGTGAATGGAATCTCATGCGGACACGTGAGTGGGTTGGCAGAGGAGGGACTGATCTCTCTCGCTCACCCACTGGCTTAAAAAATGCAGGCTTGTAGCTTTTGTGGCCTCATCAGCACAACACTCACCCACCCCATTGGCCTCCTAAGAACCCTAAGAGGAAGTTAGTTAGGATGATGGTACTCACCTTCCGCACCTTTTGGAAATATAGTTCAGGCAGTGAATGCAGCCAGTAGGACAGCTGGCAAAGGTAGAAAAACTTGACCTGGAACCTAATGTTTAAAAAGAAGAAGTGCATTTCTTAAGCATCCACATGAAGCAAAACATTTTTTGCCATTCTCCCTCCTGACTGTGAGGTCCTCCTTTTGAAGCTTAACGGCACAGACGTTTCGGAAATGGAGGATTCCTGAGACTGCCTTAGTGGATGAAAGCTGGCCATTGACCCTTGGCAATTGCTGCTGCAAATTTGTTGTGACGAAGGGGGAGAAAGGGAAATGAATCACTTCTGCTAATCTGGTGCGCTCTGGCAGGCGAGGAAGCAGATGGCCACATCCTATCTCTGTGCTGGGTCCCAGGCAGAGATGTGAGTTTGCCAAAGTGGTGCTTTGCAGCTGTCGTGAACTGCTGAGAGGCACCGCTAGAGGGATGATAACATGAGCGGAAGCCTGACTTGCTTATAATTCATGCTCAGTGACGACAACTCAGGAATCAGATGTATCATTGACACATAGACTATGGAAAAACTACACAAGGTATCCAAACAATATTTATTTAGGACCCACGGGGCAGCCAAGGATATTGATAGGATTGCCCGATAATAAATGTTGGAAATGTAAAGAAACTGAAGGTACATTCTTTCACCTTTGGTGGACGTGCCCAAGGATTAAGGCTTTCTGGGAGATGATCTATAATGAAATGAAAAAGGTATTTAAATATACCTTTCTGAAGAAACCAGAGGCCTTTCTCCTGGGCATGGTTGGCCAATTGGTGCCAAAGAAGGATAGAACTTTCTTTATGTATGCTACAACAGCAGCAAGAATACTTATTGCAAAGTACTGGAAGACACAAGATTTACCCACCCTGGAAGAATGGCAGATGAAGGTGATGGACTACATGGAACTGGCGGAAATGACTGGCAGAATCCGAGACCAGGGAGAAGAGTCGGTGGAAGAAGATTGGAAGAAATTTAAAGACTATTTACAGAAATACTGCAAAATTAATGAATGTTAGAATGATGTCGGAATGAAGTTAAGTAGTTTTAGTAGCAATGTTTCAAAGGAGTATGTAAAAATGGATTGTTAACAGGTGAGAATCTAAAGTTATAATATATTAAGTTAAAGGATTAAGATAAAAACAAAGAGGGAAAGGATTTGCTGAATTAACTAATTGAACTGGAATACAAAAAAGGGAGGTGTGAGGTCAGGGAAACAAGTAAACGAAAGACAAGACATGGAAAGATTGATTTGTTTTTAAGTGTTTTTATTTTTCTGTATTTTGTATTTTTTTCTTTTCTTTTTTTCCTTTTTCTTATTTTTGTAATCTTTTCTGAAACTTTAATAAATATCATTTAAAAAAAAAAAAAGGATATTGATAGGATTTAGGACTGAGGCTGATGAGACAAAAGAGTTCCAGAATACCTGCACAGCCTAGCAGAAGAGAGGCCTTGTGGAATCAGGAGCAGCTTGTTTCTAATACCAGCTGTGAGGGTCTCTGGCGTAACTTTTATGCCTGTTAAGATGCTCTGCTTTACAGTAACACTGAAATGTTCTCAGGATACGGAATAATTTTGTTTTTTTAAAAAACTGCATACTTAAACCGAGGCAAGCAAAACTAACCAAAAGCCAATTTATAAATCTCTAGTGGAATTGCCTTGAAAAAGTATGAATACCAGAGTTGAGAGCAAAATTGTAAATTTATCGTTTCAATTCCTTCATCACCTGCCCAAATTACATTTAAGCGCAGGGTAAGATTGGATGTCACCCATGGTGAGCGATAAAGGAAGTGAGGCCCCATCTGCACAATACACTTAAAGCAGTATCATGCCACTATAAACAGTCATCGCTTTCCCCAAATAATCTAGGGACATGTAGTTTTGTTAATGGAGCCGAGTGTTGTTAGGGAACTCCTGTTCCCTTTTGAGAACTACAACTCCCAGAACTCTAGGAATTGTAGCTCATGCTGGGCGGGGGAGCGGGGAGGAATGTGGGCCTCTTGAAAATTCTCAGCATGCTTAACACACACCAGTATCTCAAACAGACCCATCAATCATGCCATTATGTGTACACTTAAATCACTGTTAAAGGAAATGTCATCATTTTCCCTACATTCCTACAGTGGTCAGGGTGTGGTCTGAAAGCACCTGATCTAGGGGTGACCACAGCTTGGCACCTTCGGTTCCACGACAGGAGAAAGGTGAGATATAAAATGTAAGGAAAATAAAATGTAATATGGGATTTTAGTTCAAGAACCAGACACAATTTCTCAGAATGCAAAAGGAACTCCATACGAGTGTAGAATCAACACAATCTTTTTTATCTGGCTGGGTCGAACCTTTCAGAGCTCTTTTCATAAAACACCCTTCTTGAGATGACATGACATTATTAATACTGGAGGGGAAAAAGCCTTCAGGGACACAACCGATACATCAGAGAGAATCTAAGGAGTACTTCTCTCTGTGGAAACTGGAGCTGTGCTTGACTCCAACATTCCTGAGAGAAGTATCAAGATCAGGATTTGTGAACAGACACAAGAGCAGAAAAACGGACCTGAAGTGTGCTAAGGCTGCTGTCTGGATTACTTGGGAACGAACTTCCTGTGGTTGGGACACAAACCTTTAAGAAGCGCCCAGGACAATGCGCAGTCCGTTCTTCCCCTGCTGTAGACTGCCCCTCCGAACACCTATTGGCAGACGGTTTCCTTTTCCTTGGAAAGGGAAGCAGCCGCAAGAGTTGGCCTCATGGGGAGCAAGACCATTTATGAAGCAGAATTATTGCCCACAGACAGTTTGGAGGCAGAAGACACTCCTACAAGAAAAGTGAAGTTGCCCCATTCCCTGGAATAAAATGGTTGCCTTTAAGTCTAACAACAGAATTCACTACCACAAGTCATAGTGCTTGTTGGTCCCTTGGAGAACTCTAGAAGGAGACGAGATCATTTTGTGGAGGAAAGGCTACCGGTCCTGATGGCTATGTCTTGCCTCCAGTGGCAGAGACCCTATGTCTCTGAATACAAATTGCTGGGGATTCCAGCGCAGGAGAAGAGAAGGCTCACAAGCTCATGTCCTGCTTGCCCACTGGGACATCTGGTTGGCCACTGTGAGAACAAGGTCCTGGAGCAGAGACGTCTTTGGTAGGAGCCGCCTCAGGTTCTTAAGGACAAGGATTAAGCGTGCAATATCAGCATTGCACACAGGAGGGGGCTGCAAGATCACTTCTGGCCGGTTTGAAGATGCAACTGAAGAACTCAATTCACCCTTATTCCTGTCATCACTCACTCCTGACCTCAGATAAACCAACAAGGAAGGAAGTGGTTGTACTCTGTGGCTACTTACGGGAGATGAACATGAGGGTAGTTCTCCCACAGACTCTTGGGGTTTGATAAGTATCCTTCCTGAAATGAAGGAAGACACACAAAGTAAGAGAGGGAGTGGAGAAGAAAGGTGAGTTAGCAGCGAAGTCTGGCTAAACAACAGCTGTCCAAGTCCCCATTGCCTCTGCTAAAGTTGATATGTCTAGGTGACAACTCCAAGCTATTGCGGAAGACTCTGCGAAATATAGACACCTTTTCTTTATACAATAAGCAAACGATGGGGAAGTTCTTTCTACGACAAGGGTGGGGAACCTGCGGCCCTCCAGATGTTGTTGGACTACAATGCGCAGACTACCTGGCCAGGCTGGCAGGGGCTGATGGGATGCAGAGTTCAGCAACAAATGGAGGGCCACAGGTTGTGCACCCTTGTTTTTCAGCAACAGCAGTTGCAGATGAGTGGGGTTGGTTGTTGGCCTCTGTCTGTCTTGAGGGACAATGGAGTGGCGTCTGGGGACGAAGTCAAACCACTGTGTTAGCAACACCAAAGTGACCTCCCTGGGGCTCAAGTCTTGGCAGTGTGTCTGGAGGTCTTGGGCTGTCCAGATAACATGACTCCCCTCTTGGTCCCTGTGATGTGGTCCAAAGGAAAGCAGAGCAATGCGTTTGGAACCCCAGCTTGGCTGCAGGAGTTGCCAAGTCACCATCTTAGGGACTCCACTCCAGATTTGTGTAGGGTTTTTACCCCTTTGCCTTTTCTTCTCCTGAAGATATCCTGCAAGGCAGTAGAGGTTTCAGTGTTTTTCTTCCTCCTAGACAGGCAACCTTCCCAGGCTGATGAACCCCATCTGTCCCTCATTTCCTTCTGCAAGCAGCATGTGTGGAAGCTGCCTTCTTGACCGCTCGACCTACTCTGGGTCTCGTCTGCTCAATCTGCCACAGCCTGACTTTGCATGCAGGGGAAGTCCCTAACTCACCAAGGGTTTGAGACCAGGGTACTGAAACAGGAAATACACCCCCCCTCCAATACACACACAAATGGAAATCCCAACACTCAAAGTTCAGAATCTGAAAACCAGATGCAGAATGAAACCGTAAAACAGCTGCAGAGGACGGAAGTGGCTGCTGGGCAAAACTCACAGAGTTTCAGGGCTCAGAGAAGCCTCCTTCAGCCAGGCATCATCAGCGCTGGCACAGAAACAGCTTTAGATGTTTACTCAGGAGACAAGAGGCCCTGCTTAAGCAATCTGGGCATAAAGGGGTGTGATGGGGAGGGAGGGAAGCTTGGCTGACAAAGCCTCTTAGATAAAAGCCATCCTGCTGGTTCTTTCTCAAGGCAGATGGGCTGAAGAGAAGGTTTGAGAAATGGGACCAGGTCCCCACTTCACCCCCACCTCTCCTTCTGAAGGTCCCTCCAGAGCTCAGCTGCAGGGAAGTATCTGCCCCCCCCTCAAAAGTGCCATTTGCAAATAGATTTAAACCAGCAACACTGCAATCAATTTCCCACACATTTCAAGATGAGACCAGCCCAGTACCTCTACCAAAGTCATTCAATGTAAAAGCCATAACTGGTATGAAGCACGTAAACGTAAGCAGGTACTCGCTTGGCGTTAATAAGGATCAGGCAGACGCAGCAATGGAGAATAAGAAGGTGAAGTTGATTGCCAGGCAATAAGGACCCAGTTTGGAATCTCTTCCAAAAGGAACTGGGACCCCGATTGATAGAAATCCAGAGGTCTTTATACCTGAGCAGATCACAGCAAATCATAGATCATGAGACAACCATGAGGCAGTCACGATATTGCCAGCGAAAATTAGCCAATTAGCAAGCTTCTTGCCATGCTTCCAGCTCCAGAGCTCACCTGCAGGGAAGTATCTACCCCCCCCCCAGTGCCATTTGCAAATAGATTTAAACCAGCAACACTGTGATCAATTTCCCACACATTTCAAGATGAGCCCAGCCCAGTACCTCTACCAAAGTCATTCAATGTAAAAGCCATAACTGGTATGGTTATGATGCAACTGGAGTTCCAGCAAGCGTGCTGGCATTTGTTATTTTCCCATCCTAGGAGGCAGTGGCAGGCCATGTATCTGAGAAGACCAAAAGCACTGGCTGTACTCAGTGATGCAAGCCGAGTGCTTGTCCTCTGATCCGTGCCACAACCCGTGTGGCAATGGACCCATGGGGAGACGCGTGGCAACAGGAAATGGCAGCAGCTAGTAGTCTGACGGCTGCTGCAGGCAGCACCACTCAAGGAGACTTCCTTAAGGAACAAGGTCGCATGGACTTGTCACAATGGCCACGGAAGGAAGTAATTCAGAATTGGGCCTTTTGTGGTTAGTGGAGGTTAGTCTTGAAGCTAAGATATCTGCCATACAGAAGTCAACTGTAACAGGAAGCTCAAGAAGCAGGGTCAAATGAGGATCCCGTGCGATTAATAATGGTGGCCTCTCCGACTGCATTGCTGAAAGAAATGACACCACAGTAGGAGAAGTCTGCCTTGGGACAAAACAACCCGGAAGCCATTCTCTAGGACAGCCTTTCTCGACCTTGGGACCCCAGATGTTGTTGGCCTACAACTCCCATCATCCCTGACCACTGGTCCTGCTAGCTAGGGATGATGGGAGTTGTAGGCCAACACCACCTGGGGAGCCTGCATATCAGAAAAGCCCACTGCGGTATCTGGTCTGACTGCAGAAAGTAACCAGAAACCCCAGATTCATTTTAGAAAATTTGCGCTCCTTTGTGTTCAAGGTGCAAAAGGGATTGGTAGGGAAAATGTATCAACTGCTTAGAAAATCAATGTACAGAATAATCATCAATGATATACAAATTCAAATTGTAAAGTACGTATGAAGTTATATGTCCGGATAGTTCTTGTAGAAAGAGGAAAGTTTTTAACAGGCATCTAAAATAGTACTGCGAGTTTACCTGCCTAACTGTAAGTTCCAAGGGGGGGAAAAGGGAGATTCAAAGCAGAGGTGCTGCCACACTGAAATATAGACTCCCCACAGATACAGAATGAACCAGCATATGGCATGTCCAGGTTCTGCAGATCAAAATGTTTGAGTGAGCAAGGTGGTTCTTCATGTAATCTGGTCCTAAACTGTTCATTTTTTTATATACTAACAATAAAACCTGAGATGTGGCCCATTTTTTAATTTTAAAAAATTGCACGCATGCAGATTTAAAACTGTCTGAGGTCCATCACAGAGCCAGATTTTGAATTTCTATACCAAAATACTTGTTTTGGTATGTCATACAATTCCCACTTTGGGTTCAGAATGTGACCTGAATAGCAAGTGGACATCAATACACTTTTCGAAGTCAGCAGTGTATGTCGGGAGAGTTTGAACCATTCCCTCTAAGTCCTACCAGCAGACCCACATCCTGAATTAAGAGGTGCTTAGAATAAGGTGATCCTATCTGGCCACTCCCCGTAATGTGATCACATGTGCGCAAAGGGGAAGAGCAGAGAAAGCAAGCTGCACCCCATGTATAAATTCACATCCAGTCTTTCTAAAGGAAGCTTACCGTTGCCAGTACATATAAGCACCAGGCCATGGAGGCAATATGAAATGCTACCAGCTGCCCAGACTCATTGAACTTGCTGTGCTTGATCTTGGAAAGGTGGAGCCTTCGGTTGATTTTCTAGAAGAAAACAAAAATTCAGAAAGAAGGGAAGAAAAAACCAAAGCATCCTACGTCCTCAAAACACAGTAGCTCAAAGCTTCTTTTTGGCAAGTCACTATGCCAGCCCTGGAAAGTTCAAATCAGGTGATCAGAGGATACCAAAAAAGGGCCCACCAGAAGTTTTGACTTGGCTTAATAACCAGCAGCCATTTTTTGCGGGTGCAGTCAGTCCACCCTAAAATGCAAAACGAGACAAGGCCCAGCGAGGGAAGAAGGAGAGAGCAACGCCACAAAAGCCTGAAGACGTCAGAGGGACCCCCAAAAGGAGAACACTGAAAAGAAAAGAAAATCTCACCCAACCTCAGGAACAAGCAGAAGCAGTCCTGAGAAGGCAGCTGACTTGTTCCAGCCAGGAAAGAAAAAAGAAAGAAAGAAAGAAAGAAAGAAAGAAAGAAAGAAAGAAAGTTAAGTTAAGAGAGGGAAGTTATAGTTGTCACAATGACACAAGAGTTAAGAAAGTTCACATTCTTCAGTCCCACAGTTTGGTAAAAGCTGAATGAGAAACAAAGTGTAACATTCCTCTTCAAGTCCATTTCACCTTCTAGAAAACGGGACTAAATACTTTCCTGGAGCCATGGGGCCACAGTAAAAAGCAACTGTAAATTTGAAATGTTCTACAGCCCACAGCACAAGGGAGCGGTGTAGGTACTGGCTAGCTTGTATGAAAAGCAAGACTTACGTCCAAGGCATACTCTTGCACCACAGCATGCAGAATTATTGCTATGAAGATGTAGAAGAGGATTGTGACCAAATCCTTCAGCCCGTAGTGATAAAGAACAATTTCACCATCTGAAGAAGAGGAGTGGGGTAAGGGAGGAAGAGATTAACATTAAAGAGTTAAGCTGGGAAGCCATATAGGGATCAAACTTTTAAAGGCATCCGCTAAGAGGCAGGATTTAAGTAACAAAGAATTAGTTCAAATGTTGGCAAGAAGCAGAAACAGACCACCATGAGCTTAGAAGAACTGAATTTAACCAGAATGCAGAGCAGATGTGGACAGTTCAACACACACACACGTTTACATCTCCTTCCCACCCCTCGGCAGCAAAGGTGGTCGGTCCTCTGAGAGCCTGTTTGCATGACGTGTTATTCTGAGATAAGTGTCCCATGAACTCCCTTCATCATCGGATTTATTGCCATGTTCCTTGGAGGCAGGGGGGTGCCAGGTGAAGTAGTTCAGAGGACTCTGGGAAGACCAAGGGTCCTCAACTCACCTATTTTTCATCCCCGGGTAAATGACTGTGGTGGGTCGAGATCACAGTTCCATAGCGAAACACAGTGACCTGCGAATGACCCAAGACAGTTAGCAGCAGAATCCAGCTCAGGGCTGCTTCTCACTTTACATTTGTCCCTTGTGTACGGATCCACCAGAACAGATACACAACTCATGCCAGCTGTGAATGGAGGGTGTACATTGACATTACAACTTTCTTGTCATGACATACAGAACAGGGTTGCCATATGTCTGGATTTTCCTGGACATGTCCAGGATTCCAAGGGCAAAATTACCATCTGGGGGGATTTTTAAAAACTCGGCATGATGTCTGGGTTTTTGCAAACAGAACCAAGAAGCTCAACAACTTGCAATCCTAATATAGAAGCAGCGGCACAGAACCACTGAACTGGAAGGAGGGGGACCTTGGGGGTCACAGAGTGCAGGATCTGTAAAGCGGGATGCGATTGCAGCATCACCAACAGATGGGCATCCACCTCCTGCTTAAACACCTCCGGAGAAGGAGAGCCCCCCACCTTCTAAGGGAGTCAAGCAGCACCCATCTTTAAGAGGCTTCTCTCTCCTAATATTTAGCCAAAATCTATTTCCCTGCACAGGTTCTAATCCTGTTCTCTGGAACAAAGGGAACATGTCTGCTCATCTTCCATGTGACATTTGAAGATGACTGTTGGGTCTCCCCTGAAAGTCTAAACTCAGCTTTTTCAACCATCCATCACAGGACTTGGTGTTGAGACCCTTCACCATCTTGCTGTCCTACTCTGAGCACACTGCAGTTTGTCGAGGCCCTTCTTAAAACACTTGCGCCCGAACGTAAGAAGAGTCCTGCTGGAGCAGACCAAAGGCCCATGTAGTCCAGCGCTCTGTTCTCACAAAGGTCAACCAGGTGTCTATGAGAAGCCAGCAGGACCTGATCGCAACCCCACTTGGCCCTCCTGTGATTCCCAGCGCCTGAAATTCAGAGGCCCAGTGCCTCTGACAGCGGAGGCAGAAGCAGAGCTCTCAGGGTACATAGCAACTGGGTACATATCTCTGTCCCATCCTCTTATAAATAATCCAAATTGGCAGCCAACCACTGCCACTTGTGGGAGGGAATGCCATGGTTTAACTATGTGCTGTGTGAAGTGCTTTTCTGGGGGTGTCCTGAATCTTCCAACACTTTCATTGAATGTTCCTCAAGTATTGAAAGAGGGAGGAAAAAATTACCCATCCACTATCTCTACAACAGGCTTAATTCAATGACATCACTTCTTACTCACCTTTTGTATAAAATAAAAAGCCCCCAACATTCAAACCTTTCCCCATACAGAGGTCCTCCATTCCCTTCGTCATTTTGGTTGCTCTTTTCTTGCCCTCTTCCAGTTCTGCAGGATCCTCTTTGAGGAGAGACAACTAGAACTGCACACAGCATTCCAAGTGAGCTCACACCATGGATTTGCATGAAGCTGTTATCATATTGGGCATTTTATTTTCAACGCCTTTCCTAATGATCCCTAGCACAGAATTTGCCCTTTTCACAGCTGCCACACTCTGGGTCGACATCTTTGAGAAGCTAGTAGCTATGACCCTAAACTCTCGTACCTGGTTGTCACCCCATGTTCACACCCCATGAGAATGTATGTGAAACTAGGTTTGTTTTTGGCCCAGTGTGCCTCACTTTGAACTTGCTTACATTGAACTGCATTTGCCATTTTACTGCCCATTCTCCCAGTTTGGAGGGATCATTTTGGAGTGTCTCAGAAGAGGAATGTCCAAAGGGAAACAGACAGGACCCAATGCCTATTCATGACCTGAACACAGCACTTCTGATGATGAAGTCTAGATATGCATTAGCCTTATCAGCTGCCCTTTTGCACTGATAACTCACATTTAAGGCTGGCTGCATCCCAATGTTCTAGTCTGCCAAGAGCGCTTTAACTCTTGACTCCATCTTCTATGATGTTAGCTACCCCTTCCAGCTTTTTGTACATGTGACAAACATCCTCTCAACATGTCAGCTGTAAAAATGTCCTAGCCATGGGTCTAGGACAAAGCCCTCCAGCACCCCACTCAAGATCGCCCTTGTTTCCAAGTTACCTCCACATTTGTGTCTTGCACCTTGAAGAGTAGTGATTTAAAGGTGTGCCCCCCTCCATTCACAACAGGCATGAGATATGCATATTTTGTAGTCTGGTATCCTAAGGGACGCGGGTGGCGCTGTGGGTTAAACCACAGAGCCTAGGACTTGCCAATCAGCAGGTTGGCAGTTTAAATCCCCGCAATGGGGTGAGCTCCCGTTGCTTGGTCTCTGCTCCTGCCAACCTAGCAGTTTGAAAGCACATCAAAGTGCAAGTAGATAAATAGGTACCACTCCGGTGGGAAGGTAAACGGCATTTCCGTGTGCTGCTCTGGTTCGCCAGAAGCGGCTTAGTCATGCTGGCCACATGACCCGGAAGCTGTACGCTGGCTCCCTCGGCCAGTAAAGCGAGATGAGCGCCGCAACCCCAAAGTCGGCCACAACTGGACCTAATGGTCAGGGGTCCCTTTACCTATCCTAAGGTAAAAGTGGGAAGTGCCTTTGGAGCCCCCCAGAGTACCTTGGTCCTTTATTGCAGGGTGTTAACATTACAAACCAGGGATAATTATCTGAACCCCGGTAGCCCCAGCACCAGCAACTGAGGACCCTAGATTAATGTGCACTTTTTTGTTACGCAAATAGTAGCCATGGGGAAGTCTGAGAAGGTGGTGGTGAGAAAAATCTAACTTTTACTACCTCCTGAGTCTGTGGTTTGCATTTCAAAGGAAGCCTCCATCTCTTCTCAGAATTACTGTCACCAGCCTGGAGATATTAAATTGGTAACACGGGCAGCTAAGTTTATACTGCGCTGCCCCAGCAGAGCAGACTGTACAATCTCAATGCATAGACAGACAGAAACCCTCCGTCTCCAGGGTTGCTAATCTAGCTCTTTGCATCAGCACGCGGATCATTTGAATATGAGGCTCAGGTTGTCAAGTGAGTCAGACCTAAAGCATCCAGAGCCAGCCCACACTCTTTTTCTTGAAGAGCTGTGGTTCAGGGCACGTGCCAAAGACCCCAGCAGCAGCAAGGGACATTGTGAAGTGGGTGACTCAACCTGGGTATTTCCACAGCTGCGGAAGGAAGGCCTCAGGGAGCACATCCGTTTGGAAGTGCTTTATGAACACAGAGGCAGGGCAGCAGAACTGAAAGCGATGCTGCTCTAAGTTCAAAGAGGGCCTTTTTAGTGACATATTTCTCTCTATCTCTCTTTTCTTCCCTTGGATAATGAGCGCGGCCCCTTAAGTCTCCAAGTGGTGCAGAGAACTGTGGGACCTCTTGCCTCTTGCCCCCCGCCTGCCTGCACCCACTTTCCCTCACCTCCTGGGGCAAAGAGCTGGGCAGGCTTGCCACAGCACAGGTGAGGAGGAGGAAGGGTGCCAGGAGGACCTGAGAAGGGCAATGCCCCAGGTAGCCATTTGTGGGAGCAGAAGCTTCCCCTGGGGTTTTCTGCTGCATTCCCGTTTTGCTGCTCTTGCCATTTTGCTTCGTCTTGTGGTTTTAGCTTATGGTTCTCATCAACTGTACATTGTTTAAAAATGCGGCATTTCATGTGACGTGTCCTGGAACCACAGACATCATTCTCAGCCTCAAGGAGTTACTGCATGTTTTGTGCAAACACACGTTAGAAGTCTAATGCTGGCTTTTTGCTAGAAAGCAGCTTCCGGGGAGGGGACTGTGGCCGAGAGGAAAGAATGCTTAACCCTTTCTTCAGTCCATCTGTTTCCCTGCTCCATATCAGCACCCCAGTAGGTTTTCCTATGGCACAAACATACACACAAATTTTGAAACCCCACAAAAGGGGGCCAGGGAGGAACAACCTGGAGTGGAGAATTGATGGGCTAACGAAAGGGGTTGTTCAGCCTTCCACGTAAACAGCTCCTCTGCTTTCAGTCTCACCCATGCAGAGCTGCTTCACCAAAATGAAAACTGCAGAGAGCTTGGCATGTTCCCCTACTGTGTAGTCTAGCCTTAGACACCAGATAATAATAATAATAATATTATTTATACCCCGCTCATCTGGCTGAGTTTCCAACAAAACACTAAAATACAATAACCTATTAAACATTAAAAGCTTCCCTAAACAGGGCTGCCTTCAGATGTCTTCTAAAAATTTGGTAGTTATTTTTCTCTTTGACATCTGGTGGGAGGGCATTCAACAGGGCGGGTGCCACCACCGAGAAGGCCCTCTGCCTGGTTCCCTGTAATTTGGCTTCTTGCAGCAAGGGAACCGCCAGAAGGCCCTCGGCGCTGGACCTCAGTGTCTGGGCAGAACGATGGAGGTGGAGACGCTCCTTCAGGTATACTGGACCAAGGCCGCTTAGGGCTTTAAAGGTCAGCACCAACACTTTGAATTGTGCTCGGAAACGTGCTGGGCGTCAGTGTAGGTCTTTCAAGACCAGTGTTATATGGTCTCGGCAGCCGCTCCCACTCACCAGTCTAGCTGCTGCATTCTGGATTAGTTGTAGTTTCTAGGTCACATTCAAAGGTAGCCCCACGTAGAGCGCATTGCAGTAGTCCAAGTGAGCGATAACTAGAGCATGCACCACTCTGGCGAGACAGTCTGCGGGCAGGTAGGGTCTCAGCCTGCGTACCAGATGGAGCTGGTAAACAGCTGCCCTGGACACAGAATTGACCTGTGCCTCCATGGACAGCTGTGAGTCCAGAATGACTCCCAGGCTGCACACCTGGTCCTTCAGGGGCACAGTTACCCCATTCAGGACCAAAGAGTCCTCCACACCCACCCGCCTCCTGTCCCCCATGTTACTGCTGGCTGCTCAGATATTCATAGGAGGTGGTTGGAAACCATCTAATAAAAAAAAATAAACCCAACACACTGAAACCTTTGTGATGACATGTTGACAATGGGGTGGGAAAGGTTGGGGGGGGAAGTCCCTCACTTTTCCGGAAAAAGTTAAACATCTGGCCTGAGAGCTGGATGGACTTGGGGCTGGATGGGGAAAGGGGACATAAAATGAGCATTCCTCTGTCTCCTTTTATGTCACAACCCATTCCCAACATGCAGGGCTTGTTAACAAATTTCTGGGGTGAGTCAACCAAGCAGGGGTGGTTTCATGCCCCCTGTGGAGGGCCACAGATTCCCTCACCATGCGGTTATAATAATAATAATAATTTTATTATTTATACCCTGCCCATCTATGGGATAAATGGAGGGAGAGCAAGGCCCACAGGCGATATAATCACAAGGAAGCTGGACTGTCATGGTGGTGACACAAAACTAGTTAATGGGAAATCCAGGGCTCATAGCTTGCAGGGTTTAATACCACCAAAGTGCTACCAAGGTATGCATAGGCTGCCTTACCTGCTGTAGGCACACTGACGTTATACTGAGGTAAGATGAACAAGAAGGCAGTCTTGGCTGTGACCTGTAAAGACAAAGTAAGTTGCTCTATTAGTTTGTATGGAAGTCCAAATGGAAATCTTTTTCTCGCAGGCATCTTGTGGGTCCCACCATCACAACGAAAGGGTGCTACCACAGTGATAACCCTATCCTACTGCTCCAACATCCTCGACAGGAAGGACTCCATTGCAAATTATTTTGAAAAGCGAGAAGTTAAATTCACTTTTCCCGCAAGTGAACACAAATATGCAAGACTACAGAAACATGGGAAACCAACTTGGCGCCTGCCATAACTTTTGCGCTGCAGCTGCAACCAGCCCCCGCTCACCTGGCCAACAGACAGGGCTGGTGGGCATTGTGGCCCAAAACATCTGGAGGGCACAAGGTTGGCTACCACTGTTGCAGATGTTTTTCCTGCTTCCAGGAGACAGAGGTGCTGCTGCCTGAGCTTGAAGTTTCTATGCTTTTTTGGGGTGAATGACTGAATCTGTATGTGCCTAGAATTTCCTCCAGGTGGGATAATCCCCCCCCCCACCTGATCTCTAAAGAAGAGCGTTTGTCACTGGTCTCCTTTTCCCCAAGCCAGGCTTAAGTGCTTGAGCTGAAGAAAAACCAGGGGACCAGTAAAGCCCACCTGCCAGCCTAGGGCTGTTGTGCTTTTAACAGTTGCATGGCAGCTAAAAAAATCAGCAGCTCAAGCTTGTCTGGTCATTGCATGATGGGGGAAGACTGTCCTACAAAATTACTGCCTGCTATGCAGCTGTTGAGGAGGCAAAAGGCCCTGTTCAAATCTGTAGAGCGTCCAATTCATTCCCAACCAAAGATGAGGGGACAAATTCCCCCAAGATTTCCAGGCCCCTGAGGATAAACATCAGAAGAGGCAGACGGCAATCCAAGTGTGGGTTAAGGCACAGAGGCTAGCAAGGATATAAAGAAGGAAGTTAGTCAAGCAGAGCCAAGACAAATAAGGAGTTTGTAGCTAGTAAGCATCAAGCGGAAAAAATGAAGGCAAGTATTAGCCGCCGGTTCTTCATTGTATACCCGTTATGTCAAGTATGCACTCTGGATGAAATATAGCTAAAAATGTTGAAACAGCACAGCCTTCAGTAGCCAAGGGGTGCAGATGGGCGTCGGAAAGGCACTGGCTTAGAATTTAGAGCGGAAGAGGGACTTTAACTGAAGTTCATTTGCAGAACGGAGGAGGAGTTTGCCTTCCTGCTGTGGACTTCGCAATAAAGAGCAGCCCGTCTTGGAGAAGGGACTGCAGCAGCTGGAACTGGGCCCAATACAAACAAAATCAATGAGTCACCCACTGGGAAAGAATTAAATAGGCAAGAACAAATAATAATAATAATAATAACCAGGAGACTGAAGCCTATAGCAGTTCTGTGTATGTTGGGAAGGGAAGGGTAGTAAACAGCTACATTACTAGAAAGCAGAACTTGCAACAGCTAGGCATGGCTCACTTTCTTGATCTGGCAGGGAGAGATGGGGGGGAGTAGCAGCAGGCCAGGCAAAATTTAGCTTTTGCAACTGCAGTCACAGCAAACAGGGCACAGAAATAGGGAGGCAATATGCAGGGATAGGATTCTCCTGGTGCAGACTGCTAAACTGAACAGAACCTGATCAAAAGCCAATTTTACCACTAAAGTGGTCACGAAGCCCACAAGATATTCTGCACTTGTAAGTGCAATTCAACTGAAACACAATTTTATTGACTTTGGGGTCTTCTGCATCCTCCCAGTCTACCAGTGTTTTCAAGAAGAGGTCCTAAAATACAGTATCTCCTTATCACTCAGTTGTGTGTTTTCTTTCTGTCTCTCTTACCAGAGAAGAAGAAGAAGAAGATTTATTTGTTGCTTATTCTTGCCAAAGGCAATTCAGAGCCCCTCACGCAACCAGAAGACCCCAAAGAAACAAAACCCCACATAGATACGTTAAAACAAAAACTACTTTTAGGTTTTGCTTGTTCTACATTCTTCCCACCAGTGGTTCTTTACTCTTCTAACAGTACATCTCGCTGAGTGGCTTGCATGACACAGAAAGCCCAGCCATGTCCAAGCACAGTCTCCTAAAGGGGGCAGCCGGCAGCCACTCTGCTTCTCCCCATTTTGCTGCCACTCTGCATTGTGCTAAGCACTGGCTTAGCATGGTTGTCTGAACTGCTGTCAGAATTCTAAGGTGTCAAAAACAAAACGGGTGTTCGTAAGTGCATTCTTGTAACAGAACCAGGATTCATCCTTAATCACTATTTTCACAAGTCATGAGCTTTGACTGAGGAGGAGCAAAGCAGCCTCCAGGAACCGTACGGCTTCTGCAGGCCACCTGCTTATTCGTAATTAATCCTGATTTTATTGCTCACACAGTGGTTAAACTATGCCTGTTCTTTATTGGCATTTCTTACAATTTGGTTGCAAGCTGTGTGTGTGTGTGTGTGTGTGTGTGTGAGAGAGAGAGAGAGAGAGAGAGAGAGAGAGAATTTCAGTTATAAACAATAAAGTTATAGAAAATAAAGTAATAAAAGAACAAACAAAAGAGGGAGAAAAAATGCAACAATACAATAAGAAAAAATAATAGAAAACAGTAAATATGATCAGTTACATTTCCATACATTATTATGCAGATACTGTATATAAATACTAGGTAAAGGGACCCCTGACCATTAGGTCCAGTCGCAGACGACTCTGGGGTTGTGGCGCTCATCTCGCTTTATTGGCCGAGAGTCATCTGGCCAGCATGACTAAGCCGCTTCTGGTGAACCAGAGCAGCGCACGGAAACGCCGTTTACCTTCCCGCCAGAGCAGTACCTATTTATCTACTTGCACTTTGATGTGCTTTCGAACTGCTCGGTTGGCAGGAGCAGGGACTGAGCAACGGGAGCTCACCCCGTCGCGGGGATTCGAACCTCCGACCTTCTGATCGGCAAGCCCTAGGCTCAGTGGTTTAACCCTCAGCACCACCCGCATTCCTGTATATAAATACTACTATCGTCCAAATACATGTATGACAAGGAGTATCCCTTCTGCATTCCTCCTAATTTGCCCGTGGGGATGTTAACACATCTTCCTAGAAATCCTTTCTTCACCCCACGTTTCAGTGCATTCATTGCCTTGTCGCTTTCCAAACCACAAAAAGTCCTGCAGGCTTGAAAACACGTTAACTGGTCAGTTCCAGGGCGCCCCTGAATCCTGTCAAATACATTGGGCTGTAGCCAACTAAGTCCTGCTCAGGGTAGACCCACTGAAATTAATGAACCTACGTTAGTCATATAATGGGACTATTCTGAATAGGCTTGTGTGGGATACCATCCTGACAGTTTGAAGACACTCATCACTCAGCTAACTATGTTGTGCAACCCAGGTCAGTATCTGCAATGAAACGAGATGATCAAAATGCAAGAGGTATCCACGGAATGATGCGACAGATTTAAACATCTCTATATTACACATATAGAAAACTGTTATGAGTGTAATTTATTGTAATATCTCTCTTATGCATCAACCCCCCCACTGCCATTAAGATTTACAGTTGTATATAAAATTGGGGGGGGGGGTCAAAGTTTAACTATCACTGCAACCATTTTTCAATCTACAGCTCTCACTGCTTCATCTCAAATACTTCACCCATAATTCACCTTTAAAGAAATGATACAAGTATGCACAATAAAACAATGAAAGCTGTTCTAAGCTTCCCATTTTTTAAAAAAAATTAAGACATAAAAGTGAGCTAGAGCTATTATTTCTTTAACACATGTGTACAGAGTGGGGTCCTATCTTAACAGATAATTTAATCTCATTTGCAGGGGCATTTAAAATTCATGCCAATTTTAGGGGGGTGGGAGCAGTTATCCTGGCAATACTAGGCAAATATTTTTACTATGAGGTGACAGGCATGCTGCAAGGAATTCAGACAACTTCTAGCCTCACACTCAATAGGCGGCTGAATTTCAATAGTGAATGTGTTCCTGGGATATACAGGTATAGGCAACAGACTTTACAAAACCTGGAGAATTCGGAACAGCAGCTGCTTGCAAGGTCAGTGATATGATTCCTTACCCAGACCCAGACATTGCAATAAAGAAAGGATATTGGCATGCTATGGATTCTGTCAGGGAAACAAACAGCCCAAGAAAACCTGAAGAACACAACAGCTGAAAAGGCTGCTGGTCAAATTTGTGGATAAGGATGCACTGTGCCTCTATCACAGCTGTAAGTTTAGTATTTTTACATCCCCACAAGGCATATTTTAAATTTGCCCTTGTCAACATTCGTTTGTTTGCTCTTCGATTCATTGAGGTCACTCTCAAAGTCAACAAACCCAGACATTTCCCTTTCCCATCATGGTTCAGGGTTCAATTCCTCAGATGTTTGTACTTCTTTCCACCAGTGCCATTTGAACTCACCAAATAACTTGGTATCACCGGATTATAAGTCTACCACACCATTTGCTCCTACATTTAAAAGAAGATGAAGGAGGATCCCTTTTTGAATGCTAGATGCAAGAAGCATCTGTGGGAAAAGGCACACTCATCCACAGAGTAAACCATAGGCATAGCCAAACTGAAGAAATTAAGAAATATCAGTAGTGAGATATTCAAGACTTCTAGTGACCTCCCAGACTCACCAACCAATTCTTAAAAACATGCCCTAGAAATCAGAGCACTGAAGTCAGTCACCAATAGTTGCAATTCACCTCCCAAGTATTTCTCATAAAAACAGGTCTTTAGATCTTTTTGAGTTGGACTAGTATTCTAATGCTTTATCTGTCGAAGCAAGTACTCCCCAATTATGTGGGGGTTACATTCCGGCCCACTGTGTGCATAAGTGAATTGGGCCTAAATGGGGAGCACATGAGGAGAACTTCCCTGGAGCCCAAAGAGGACACCCCCTTAGGGCTCCGGGGAAGATCTCCTTGTGAGAATAACAACAGGCTGTCTGCAATGTGAGAGGACCTACAAATACCGTTAACTTGGAGGGTGTATACCGGTAATTTATATTTATTAAAATCCATAGCTAGCTCACCCTTAATTCTGATTCCTTATACCCCAAATAAGCCTAGTAACTGTATGTGAAACCATCCGGGAATGTATTGTATTCTGGTTGCTATCTATCTATCTATCTATCTATCTATCTATCTATCTATCTATCTATCTATCATCTATCTATCTATCTATCTATCATCTATCTATCTATCTATCATCCATCTATCTATCTATAGATAGATATAGATCTCTCTCTCTCTCTCTCTCTCTCTCTCTCTCTCTCTCTCCATCTATTTTCTGGTTGTTCTCTATTCGAGGAGGGTTTAAAAATGGACCTTTGGGGAGCTGCTGGCAATGACTAGGTCCTTATCGTGGACTCCACATAGAACTACAGACACTCTTTGAAGATCACACAGCCTTTTGGGCGGGTTCACCTCAACGTGCTCTATAAATAGCAGCTCCTATATTGAGCAGAGCTCAAAGGCTTCACTTGGGTGAACATGACTTGTGACAGTACCAGTAAGGAAATGTTGGGTTTCCACATGCTGTTAGTCACCGGATCAAAATAAATGATTCAACAGAAAGGAAATGCAAACACACAGAGAGAGAGAGGGGAGGGGAGAGGGAGAGAGAGAGAGAGAGAGAGAGAGAGAGAGAGAGAACCCTGAATTATCTCTGTAATGCTTTTGGGCAGAAGGTTCATTTTTCCTATTCCTCAGCGGCCTTAACCAATTTGAGAAAGAGCAAAAAAACCAAAATGGGTTAAACCTAGGCATACTTTGCTTGGAAGCAAGACCCATAAGCAAAGTGTGAGCTGCTCTAAGAGGAAGCTGTTTCCCCAGCCCTTTCCAAATGAAATAATAGGCTGCTTATGGGTGAAACCAAGGTAGGGAGAAAGAGTGCAAGGAGGTCCCACTCTCGTGCTATGGGATGTCGACTGGAAAGTGTGGCCCTTTTGCTTCAAGACAGAGGTCTTTAAGAAGTCAGGCACACCCACAAGTTGTGTGAGGCCAGTGGAAACCCCACCATGATCTCTGCTGAGCTATCCTGAGCTATCCGTATAGAAGACAACAGTGGAGATGCCATATTCTGAACAGCCGCCTTGTCCTGCATCTCTAGGCCCCTTTCTCTGCTCTTTTGTGAGTGCAGATCTTTCTGGGGACACAAAGCTGTTAGCCTCTCACGGGAATCTTTATGTTATGTACTGAGTTGAATAGGATCCAAACTGCAGCAGTCTGATTGGTCCTAGAACAATAGGATCCAAATTGCAGCAGTCTGATTGGTCCTAGAACAATAGGATTCAGAATGCAGCAGTCTGATTGGTCCTAGAACAATGCAGCAGTATGATTGGTTGGCAGGAACCACCCAATCATGCTCCAGATATAAGTGAATCCACAACCTGATTGGCTTACAGTAGAATTCCAGAATTAGCCAATCATGTGCAGCCCATTGTGCAAATAATGTATATAAAGCAGATACTTTGAGGGGACTTTCATTCATTCCTCCTCACCACTATGAGCTGAATAAAGAGCATGAAATCACTTTGCGACTCTGAGTATATTTCACTTTAGGACCCTGATTGAAGGAGGCGCAACTGCCACTCACATCACAGATGATGAGCAAGTATGCATTTCAATTAATTGGGACTTTACTTCCTACTAAATGTGTTTGAAATTATAGACTGAGCTAGATAACAACAGAAAGAAGAAGTGGAGAATGTTACCAATGAGGAATTAGGAAAGCAGGTTCTTTTTACACAACTGTTAAATCACTCATGCATAATTTTTCACTTCCAAAATTAAAACTATACTCATTTCCAACTACATAAGACACGAGAAACAGACCCACAGCTGCACTCAACCAACTGTGAAATACGGATACTTCAAAATGGGGCAAAGGAATATGCCCCACTCTTATCAATCTCTCACAACCGGTGATGTAAGGCAGAAAACTTTTGGTAGAAAATTTTCAGTAGTTGTTATATTCCTATATTTTTACAGCAAAATTCCATCTTAAAAAAAAATGAATTTTCCTAAAATAAATTAGTAGCATTACAAAAAGATATCATACCTTGTGAAACCTTTTTTCCAAGGTCATCCTAAGGAAACATGCACCCATTTAAGTGCTTTACATTTCATTTTAGCATACTCACGTATCAAAATGTGCACAATTATTCAAAGAAAAATAATATCCTAGTAATTATTTTATTCTGTTGGAAAATAACATTTAAGCCACATTTATGTAAGCTTTGTTCATTTTTTAATCCTAAATATTATTTCAAATACTTTTAGGTTATTGGGAAACCTTTCAAGCTATGTGTTTAGCATGTAGAACATGACATACTTCAGTTTTGTTTGCTAAATGTCAGCCCAGTGTGTTAAATCAGTCAGTTTTTAAAGCACTGGAAATTTTCCAGAAAACTCACACCACTGCTAATAACCTAAATTCCCATTGCCTTTAATTACACGTTAACTTTTTCTTCCACACAGCCCAACATGTCTCCAAAGGAAAACTTAAGAACATGAAAAGAGCTTGCTGGATCAGGCCCAAAGTGGCCCATCTACTCCAGTATCCCATTCTCACAGAGGCCAACCAAGTGTCTGTGGGGAACCTGCAAGCGGGAAATGAGCGCAACCACCACTCTGCCCACCTGAGATGCCCAGTGACTGGCATTTGAGGCATCCTGCCTTGGTAGCGGCGGCAGAACATAGCCATTGTTGCTAGTAGTGACTGAAAAGTACAGTCATACCTCAGGTTACAGACGCTTCAGGTTGCGGTCTTTCAGGTTATGGACGCGCCAAAACCGGAACGGGTTACTTCCGAGTTTCGGTGGTCATGCGTGTGCAGAAGCGCTAATAGTGCTTTGCGCATAAGCGCCAAATAGCAACCCGCACATGCGCAGAAGCGGTGCTGTGGGTTGCAAACACTACAGGTTGCGAACGTGCCTCCCCCGCTGATCCAGAAATAGTGCTTCAGGTTAAGAACTTTGCTTCAGGATAAGAACAGAAATCGTGCTCCAGCGACACGGTGGCAGCAGTAGGCCCCGTTAGCTAAAGTGGTGCTTCGGGTTAAGAACAGTTTCAGGTTAAGAACGGACCTCCAGAACGAATTAAGTACTTAACCCGAGGTACCACTGTAGTCTGGTCCTCATTGAGCGCCTTTCCAAAGCAGCAAGGTGGACAACGTCCTTCGTTTCCTCTGGAGTCTATCCACACCTGCTCCTTTGCAGGTTATTTACATTTGCCCAGCTTTCAAAACAGCAACGTTTTGTTACTGGGGGAATTGCAATATGCTGTGTGGAATGTGTGCACCTGAATGCAGTATTAGAAATTCCCCAGGAGTCAGGTGCGGTTTCTGACTCGCGCTGGTCTAATTGTGACCATGTGGAGATCTCTGGATGCCAGATCTCTGGCAACGGACATCTCCCTTTGGCTGGCCCCTCCAGGTTTCTGAAGCAGGTAAACAGAAAAGCTTGTATATTTGGTGGTTGAATGTGTTGTCAACCGCTTTGAGATTTTTTTCTTTAAAATACAAAGTGGTATAGAAATGAAATCATCATCATCATCTTATTTGGGGGGGGGGGTTGGTGCCTAGACGTTCTGTTGAGGTGACCGCAACCTAGCTTGAAGGAGCCATTTGGCAATTAGCTTATACAGCGGTATCTCAGGTTAAGGACTTACCGTATTTTTTGCTCTATAAGACTCACTTTTTCCCTCCTAAAAAGTAAGGGGAAATGTGTGTGCGTCTTATGGAGCGAATGCAGGCTGTGCAGCTATCCCAGAAGCCAGAACAGCAAGAGGGATTGCTGCTTTCACTGCGCAGCGATCCCTCTTGCTGTTCTGGCTTCTGAGATTCAGATATTTTTTTCTTGTTTTCCTCCTCCAAAAATTAGGTGCGTCTTGTGGTCTGGTGCGTCTTATAGAGCGAAAAATACGGTAATTAGTTCTGGAGGTCCATTCTTAACCTGAAACTGTTCTTAACCTGAGATACCACTTTAGCTAATGGGGCCTCCCGCTGCCGCCGCACCACCAGCGTGCGATTTCTGTTCTCATCCTGAGGTAAAGTTCTTAACCCAAGGTACTATTTCTGGGTTAGCGGAGTCTGTAACCTGAAGCGTCTGTAACCCGAGGTACCACTGTGTATCTGAGTTTCTAACACTGCAAGAGCAATTACCTGGCACAGTGCTGTAGTTTCCATATGCCAGAGCCTTAAGCTAGACCAAAACAGCAGCTTTTAGGTTCTGCCATAATTAACCAAATTCTTGCCTTACATGTTGAAGTCTGGAGAGGGTCATCATTTTACTGCAGGGGTGACTTAACTTCTGGCCCCCCAGATATTGCTGAACTACAACCCCTTGACCTCTGAGTATGCAGTATCGTGCTGATGGGAGCTGTACTTCAGAAACACCTTGGGGGGCTGCAGATTAACCAGCCCTGTTCCATGCCTTTGCTTCAGAGAGGCTGAAAAACGTTTTGAAAGTCCCTGGCCAAGACGGAGCAGAGATCATCATTTCAGGCCAACACAAACGCCGACAAAAGGGTTAAAAGAAACCAGAGTTTCCAGAGGCCTGGAAAAAGGAAAAAAGCCGTCCTGGGAGGAAACAAGCTATTGTGAATCAGGATTCAGCCATTTCCTTTCTATAGCCCTCCATCATCCAGAGGATACCAAGCCTACCCTCAACTCATAAAAGCCTTCTATAAGCTCCAGCACGAGGCCGTAAGCTTCAGAAATGCTGATTTCAGTCCAAACAGACCAAAACAGGATGAAAATATGGGTTGCAATGGACTGTGAAGTGAGAGGAACATGACTTGTGCAGTTCAGATGATCCAAACTGCCCCAGCATCACACAGCCACTGCCACCCAAGTCTAAGGTAGCTCAGAACTGAAGCAGAGACAACCAGAAACTGAGAAATAGATGCTGCATCCTATGGCATTTATTTTATTTCAAATAAAAATACTTTATAGGCCACCTTATGTGATAATGTCCTCTGTTGGTGACAAAAAAACCCCAACACTACTCCCCTAGTGAAACATCAAGTAGATGGCGAAAGATAACTACAGATTACTCTTCAAAACAATCCCCGTGATGGGGTGAGCTCCTGTTGCTCAGTCCCAGCTCCTGCCAACCTAGCACCACTGTAGCTGAACTACAACTCCCATCACTCCTGGGGCATATGGGAACTGTAGCTTTCAACAACACCTGGAATAATAATAATACAGTGGTACCTCGAGTTACATACGCTTCAGGTTACATACGCTTCAGGTTACAGACTCTGCTAACCCAGAAATAGTACCTCAGGTTAAGAACTTTGCTTTGGGATGAGAACAGAAATCGTGCAGCAGCAGCTGGAGGCCCCATTAGCTAAAGTGGTGCTTCAGGTTAAGAACAGTTTCAGGTTAAGAACAGACCTCCGGAACGAATTAAGTACTTAACCCGAGGTACCACTGTAATATAATAATATTAATAATAATAATAATAATAATAATAATAATAATTTATACCCCGCCCATCTGGCTGGACTTCCCCAGCCACTCTGGGCTGCTTCCAACAAAATATTAAAATACAGTAATCCATCAAAGATTAAAAGCTTCCCTAAGGCCACGGGTAAGCCACCTCTGCTTTAAAACAAATACAGCCTAGCATAAAAAAAGCAAGAGAGAGAGAACTAGTAGGTTAAAAAGCTTCCCACAAACAGGAAAGGCAAATGTAGAGCAATCAGCTCCTTGCCAAAGATTCCTTGTACCTTCAAAGCACACTGAATTTGGCAGCTACAGCTTCTCATGAGTAAGAACTGCCTGCCATCTGCTCCACTCCTTCCTCTTATGCAACTTTAGGGGAAGATCACCAGAAAAGAAGGAGACATTTAGGCTATAATTTTCTTGCACCCCTACCCCAGTTCTCAATAATGGAACTGGTAAAGAGAAAGAGTGATTTATATTGCTAAATATAAGTAAAATATAAAAAGTAAAAAGCAAGTGAAAGTAAGGGTTGAGGGTCCACCAGTTTGCCCTTAAGCCAGAAAGCAAAATGGCATATGCCGAAAACTTTACTTTGCAGAACAAGAAAACCAATGGTCGCCCTGAGAGCCAGGAAAATAAGGCAGTCGTTGCCAGTTGGATCAAAGTGAGAAGCAAGCGAAGAGAGACTGAACAGAGAAAAACTGCAGTTATTGACACTTTCGTGCAATGGAGAGAAATTGCATATACCGGCCCCAGCCTTGCTTCTCACAAGCGTTCCAGTGCCTTTGCACTCACTGGCTAGAATGCCAAAGGAGGCTTACAGGGCAATCCTATACATGCCTACTCAGAAGTAAGTCACACACAATGGAGCTTAGTCCCAGGTACACACATGCAGTATTTCAGCTTTCCTTGGTATTAAGCCATTGGGGATAATACCGACTGCTCATTTTGCTTTTGTATGTTTGTACATAAAAAAACTAGTCACTTTATTTTGTTTTATGTTAAAGCAGAGAAGCTAAAAAATGAGGGACGCCCCCACCGCAACCGATGGCACAGGTCAACATATCAATGCCTTTAGCATCCAACATGTTCAGCAAATGCAACATTCTCAATCCCAAGAACCACAGAAGGCTCTGCATGGTGGAAGACCTCCTCCTTTTTGTTTACTACGCTGATGCATTCTGATTTCAGTTTCTGGGGTATTTTGTTCCTGTTTCCCCATCTAACAAAAACTAAGAGCACCTGCAGGTGCATCTTCTTGCAGCTCCACCTCTAACACTGTGCAAATTACATTACAAAATTTTTCTTAAGGCAGCAACAAAAATGCAAGTTTTTGTGAGCAAATTTCTGCGCCCACCAACCTTGCAAGCACACAGCTGGCAAACCGTGTCCAATGAAAACAACACAGGTAGGGCAGATGAATTGCATCCACTGGAAAGTACGTAAACCGGTTAGCTGACAAAAGGCATCCAATGAAAACCACAAGTGACCAGTTATTCAGCAATGTATTTAGCATTGCGCAGTGGTGCCAAATGAGAAGAAAGCAAGTTTTTCTTCCGGATTAAATAAAAGGTAAAGGGACCCCTGACCGTTAGGTCCAGTCGTGACCGACTCTGGGGTTGTGGCGCTCATCTCGCTTTACCGGCCGAGGGAGCCGGCGTACAGCTTCCGGATCATGTGGCCAGCATGACTAAGCCGCTTCTGGTGAAACAGAGCAGCGCACGGAAACGCCGTTTACCTTCCCACCGGAGCAGTTCCTATTTATCTACTTGCACTTTGACGTGCTTTCGAGCTGCTAGGTTGGCAGGAGCAGGGACCAAGCAACGGGAGCTCACCCCGTCGCGGGGATTTGAACCGCCGACCTTCTGAGCGGCAAGTCCTAGGCTCTGTGGTTTAACCCACAGCGCCACCCGCGTCCCTTCCGGATTATATAGGAATGAATAATTTTTTGTGGGGGAGACACCACCATTTTCTTCTTCTATGCTGCATCAAAATCACGCACTGTGTTATGAAAATCTTTGGCTTAGCAAAAGCTGCTTCTTGTCTTGCGAGCCGCTTCTGAAGCTGCAGACACAATCCAAAGGCGAGTGAGATCCTATCTAGCAAAGGGTGAATCCTGCTCTTACCTGGATTTTCATTTTTAAATATGCAATGCACTATACCACCTTTTAAAACACTGAAGTGTTTGCGTTTGCTCTTAACCATAATCGTGCAAGGCAGATCACAACAGTATTACATACAGAATCTTGAACTTGGGTCTAACCCTGGCTCTTGTTTTCCGGCTCAAAAATTCTGCAGCTGAGATCATTCTACTGTGAGAGGTGTTTTCCTCTAGTTGTTTTTGTGGGGGCAGGAGCAGGGGGGAGCGGCAAGAGGCCAAGTATTTACCTTGAGCTAACTCACATGACTTATCAGCCAGCACAGAGAGAGGCATCTCAAAGTTTAAATGGGCAGGTTTCACCTAGCGGCAAGCAACTAAAGGTCAACTCCAGGCAACAGGGAGTTATCTTCTCATGTCTTTGTCCTTGCAAAATTTTCTCAAGGGAACTCAGATGTTCCCCCATTAACATAGAGGAGCCCTAATCTAGCAGGAGTCACAAGCTGTCTGGTTCACAGGAAATCAGGCCCTGGGAATCTTCAGTGAGAACCCCGCTGCAAATCTTGTAGCCTGCCGGCAACAGCAGCAGTTTTGGAATTTGTATTCCTACCAGCTGTGATTTCTGACTAATTAGATCAGCAGCAGAGCACACACACACACACACACACACACACACAGAGTTCCCCCATCACCAAGTCACCCATGTTTCTGTGTACTGGAAACTACTTGTTAAATGAAGTGAATGGGAACGCAAATGCAGCTGGAAGTCTCTCTTCTCCAATTTGCTCGCACAAAGTGAAACGTGGCACTGAGGAGCAAAGAGACAAGGTTGGGCTTTGGGTTTTTTAAAAATTCAACTTCTCAATCGCACTCTCGACTGAGCCACAGACGTGCGCGCACACACGCACCCCAGCCAGACTCCACGTCAGAGTTTTGCAAGTGTGCCCCCTCATCTGCCCCCCCCTTGCCTGCAAACTAGGGAGGGAAGAAAGAGAAAGCCAGAAAGGCGAAGGAGGAGTTCGACATTCCTGGCATTCCTGCGCAAAGTGCCAGGGTTGCAGGGGGGGGGGACTGCCTGGAGCGACAGGGAGAAAGACCTTGGAAGGAACCCCCCCCCCCCAGAAGGCTGGGGCGGGAGAGGGAGGGGGGAGAAAGAAAGCCTCCATTCACAACTACCCAAATCTCGTTAGAGGGATGGAATTTGGGACAGTCTGAAGTTCTGAAAGAAACCCTCCAGCTGTACACCACAAAAAGGCAGGCCTGCGCAGGAATCAGACAGAGGACATTCATGTCTTGGCAGCAGCAAAACATTCCCTGGGCTCCACTGGGCAGGAGGTGGGAAGCAAGAGGAACCAAAGGATGGGGGGGTCAGGCTGGCTCTAGGCATCCCTTACACAGAGAGGAGGATCCTTTGCTAGCCAATACTTATTTCCAGTAGGGAAGGAACACCATCGCCAAGGAAGGAAAGCAGCCATGAAATGCCAAGGTTGAAAGAGGAGGGTTGGGAATGAAAAAGGGAAATGGTTAAAATAAGGCCAAGGAACATGTGAGGAAGATGTGTTTGACTCCCCCTCTCCCCGTCTCAAATACAGATGGGGTGCAATTTTGATCTATGGCACAGGATCCTCTCCAGTGTGAGAGCCAGTGTGGTGTAGTGGTAAAGAGCGGTAGATTCGTAATCTGGGGAACCGGGTTCGCTTCCCGGCTCCTCCACATGCAGCTGCTGGGTGACCTTGGGCTAGTCACACTTCTCTGAAGTCTCTCAGCCTCACTCACCTCACAGAGTGTTTGTTGTGGGGGAGGAAGGGAAAGGAGATTGTAAGCCGCTTTGAGACTCCTTGGGGTAGTGATAAAGCGGGATATCAAATCCAAACTTCTCTTCTTCTTCCAGTGCTTCTAGAGAACTTTCCCCCACAATTCCATTTTTGTGATCCATGCCATTTTTCTGCAATAGCTTTCCTACCCAAAGGGAGATGGCAAATAGGGAAGGCATATTGTGGGGTCCGGACGCGGGTGGCGCTGTGGTCTAAACCACAGAGCCTAGGACTTGCCGCGACGGAGTGAGCTCCCATTGTTCATTCCCAGCTCCTGCCCACCTAGCAGTTTGAAAGCACGTCAAGTGCAAGTAGATAAATAGGTACCGCTCCGGCGGGAAGGTAAACAGTGTTTCCGTGCGCTGCTCTGGTTTGCCAGAAGCGGCTTAGTCATACTGGGCACATGACCCGGAAGCTGTCTGTGGACAAACGCCGGCTCCCTCGGCCAGTAAAGTGAGATGAGCGCTGCAAGCCCAGAGTCGTTTGCGAATGGACCTAATGGTCAGGGGTCCCTTTACCTTTTTATTGTGGGGTCAGGCTTTTTTATTTTTAAAGGAGTTCTATCAGTACAACATGAGTGGGTGATATCAGCATAATACAGTCCACGTCATGAGTTTGATGTGCTCACCATACAAGTGCCCAACAGATGAAGGAATTGAGGGGATGGTCATCAAATTTACAGGTGACACCAAACTGGAAGGGAGAGCTAATGCCACTGAAGACAGAATCCAGATTCACGATGACCTTAAACAGATGGGAGAACTGGACCCAAACTAACAAAGTGAATTTCAACAGGGACAAATGTAAGGTTCTGCACTTGGGCAGGAAGACCCAGAGGCACAAGTATAAGATTAGGAACATTTGGCTTACTAGCAGGACATGTGAAAAGGATCTAGAGCTCTTGGTGGACCACAAGCTAAAGAACATGAGTCAACAGTGTGATGCAGCAGCAAAAAAAGCTAACACTATTCTAGGCTGCATCAACAGAAGTATAGTGTCCAGATCAATAGTACTTCTCTATTGTGCCTTGATCAGATCACACCTGGAATGCTGTGTCCAGTTTTGGGAGCCACATTCTAAGAAGGATGTTGACAAGCTGGAACATGTGCAGAGGAGGGCAACCAAGATGATCAAGGGTCTGAACCAAGCTTTATGAGGAACGGTTGAGGGAGGTGGTCTGTTGAGCCTGGAAAACTGAGAGGAGATACGAGAGCCATCTTCAAATATCTCCAAAGCTGTCGCATGGAAGGTGGAGCAAGCTTATTGTCTCCTGTTCCAGAGGGTAGGACTCAGACCAGTGTATTCAAATTACATGAAATGAGATTCCGACTCAACATCAGGAAGACCTTTCTGACAGTAAGACAGTAAGAGCTGTTCAGCAGTGGAAGTGTCTCCCACAAGAGGTGGTGGACTCTGATTCCTTGGAGGTTTTTAAGCAGACGCTGGATGGCCACCTGTCATGGATGCTTTAGTTCAGATTTCTGCATTGCAGGGGCTTTGACTAGATGACCTTTGGGGTCCCTTCCAACTCTACTGTTGTGTGTTTCTATGAAAAAAGAACAAAGTGCTTGCGTCTTTCCTGCCATACCTGCCACATGCTCTGGTTGTGTGCTGCAGCAGCGAATCAAGCTCACAGAAAGCCATTGTCCCGATAACATGATCCCACGAGTTGAACATGTAAATGTCTGGGACATCAAGCAAGCATAGGAATGCACCATGGCTGGACCGGCAGCCAAGCCACAGCAACCATGACCATCCACAACACTCCCCAAGGAAAACAACCTACACAACAGTAACACCTCAGTGGAGAGAAAAAGCAAACACAGCTCTATAGGTGGAGACAACATGCCACCAAATTACGAAGCAGCCATCGCTGGCTCCTGCAATATGCAGACGTACAAGAGACAACCCACCAGCAAGAATCGACCTGGTTTGTCCCTGCTTGTGCAAAGGTCAGGTGGGTTGCCTGGCTGCAGACCCAGTGAGCAATAACATAGAGATGAAGTAGCCCAGAAACCCTCCCAAAGTAAGGTAAAGGTAAAGGGACCCCTGACCATTAGGTCCAGTCGTGACCGACTCTGGGGTTGCAGCGCTCATCTCGCTTTATTGGCCGAGGGAGCCGGCGTACAGCTTCCAGGTCATGTGGCCAGCATAACTAAGCTGCTTCTGGTGAACCAGAGCAGCGCATGGAAACACCATTTAGCTTTCCGCCAGAGCGGTACCTATTTATCTACTTGCACTCTGATGTGCTTTTGAACTGCTAGGTTGGCAGGAGCAGGGACCAAGCAATGGGAGCTCACCCCGTCGCAGGGATTCGAACCGCCGACCTTCTGATCGGCAAGTCCTAGGCTCTGTGGTTTAACCCACAGCGCCACCCTCGTCCCTGGGTACCAATACCATAAAGTAGGATACCAATAAAAGGACCTGCTTCCTAACGCAGCCTTGCATTTTCTGAGGACCCTCTCTCACCATTGCTTAATGAAAACCGTTTATTTTTTAAATGCTTTGAACATCCATTTTGACCGCGTAGTGAATGAAGGTTGGCTATGGATTACGGAGTGAAATAATGTCTTTGCCCCATTTTTTTCAGTGCATATTTGTCTGTGATGCTAATTTTCTAATCCATGTCAGTAATTCATGAGTGACAGAAGGAGGAAGCATCAGATTACACCACATTAGCCCAAGAAGAAAAAGAAAGCTGTTAAGTGTCCTCATGAGGTGAACCATGCAAGGCTCTCTTGGATAGCACCATACATTAGCAGATATTTTCCACATTTCTCACTTCACCCACCCACCCACCCACCCCCTCTAAGAGGGCTATCCAAACAGTTGCTCCCCCATGTAAAGGAGTGGAGAGAGAGCCCTGCTGTTCAGAAACTTTTTAGCCTCAAGGAATCTCTTTCATGTTCATTTATCTGCTCAGGAATGTCCTAAGGCACAGAGTTCATAAAGGATGCTACAAGAGCACAGTGCAGAATGCATCCCCAACGGCTGTAGGGAGCAATCAGAGTTCCAGGGGAGCAGGGGTTTCATGATTAATACTCTCACTGAGAAACCTCTGAACAACTTCTGAGGATGCAAAGGTTTCCCTGGGACCGTGTTAGAAAGTGCATAGATCATGCCACCAGACAGTGACAAAACGACAGGCCTAGGGACTGGAGTGGTGGGAGTTTGATAGGGCTATTCCATGTTACAGTGATAAAGGTAAAGGGACCCCTGACCATTAGGTAAAGTCGTGACCGACTCTGGAGTTGCGGCGCTCATCTCGCTTTATTGGCCGAGGGAGCTGGCACTTGTCCACAGACAGCTTCCGGGTCATGTGGCCAGCATGACTAAACCGCTTCTGGCGAACCAGAGCAGCGCATGGAAACACCATTTACCTTCCCGCCAGAGTGGTACCTATTTATCTACTTGCACTTTGATGTGCTTTCGATCTGCTAGGTTGGCAGGAGCTGGGACCGAGCAACGGGAGCTCACCCCGTCGCGGGGATTTGAACCGCTGACCTTCTGATCGGCAAGTCCTAGGGTCTGTGGTTAACCCACAGCACCACCCACGTCCCCTGTTACAGTGATAGTGTGGCATAAATTCTATGGCTCCAGCATAGCAATGCTCTCTGTCTGCTTCTGGACACCGATGAGAGATTTCAGAGGAAAACTAAAAGGAACAAGACGCCCACAGGTAAGAAGAGGCTAAGAGAAGAAGAATTATCTGCAGAGTAGGCAAACACTTTGGTATTAAAAGGGATGCCTTAAACAGCCGCCAATTAGCAAAAGGGAATTGAAGTTATACAAGGATGAGCAAAGTGTGTCTCCGGAACAGCACAGGGTCCAGGATGCTGGGGGTGGGGGAGATGTGAGTTTGATGTGGTGATTGTGCCTGCTGTTCTATGCCAGGAAGACTAAGCAGAAGCTTCTGTTTCCTTCCCTCTCTTGGCCTTCTCCACTGGGCAGCATGGCAGAGAGGCCTGGCCCAGGTGCCCCTGATCTCAACTGCCCAGGGAGACAGAAGACAGGACCCAAGGAGCAGCCAGGGCTCCCTCCGCCTCCTGGCAGCACAGCAGGGAGGATAGCGCCAGACCCCAGGTACCTTCCTCCTCGCTCATCCTCTGTGCTCTCTTTCTCAATGGGTCGTTAGGGGGGGCACAGAGAACCCTGTCTTTCTCAAACTGCCAACCAAAGGCAACCAACTGCTCTGAGTAACAGCAGACTCTGCTCCCCCTCCTTGCTGCTCCCTTGCCTTGACTTGGAAAATGCAGGCAGGTATAAAAGGAGCAAGGGACGCGGGTGGCTCTGTGGTTTAACTTGCCAATCAGAAGGTCGGCGGTTCGAATCCCCGCAATGACGGGGTGAGCTCCCGTTGCTCAGTCCCTGCTCCTGCCAACCTAGCAGTTCAAAAGCACGTCAAAGTGCAAGTAGATAAATAGGTACAACTCCAGTGGGAAGGTAAACAGTGTTTCCGTGTGCTGCTCTGGTTCGCCAAAAGTGGCTTAGTCATGCTGGCCACATGACCCAGAAGCTGTACGCCGGCTCCCTTGGCCAATAAAGCGAGATGAGCGCCGCAACTCCAGAGTCGGCCACAGCTGGACCTAACGGTCAGGGGTCCCTTTACCTTTATAAAGGGAGCAGCAGCCCAAACTGCCTCTGCACGCTCTCTGCGAGCTGCAAGTGCTGCTGGATTGGGCCCTACTGCCCAGAGGTGGAGGGCAAGGAAACAGGGGCAGTGGCTTGCTGCTTGCTCCCCTGAGCCGGAAACGGCAAGCAGCAACAGGCACAATGAATTTAGTCGTCTTGCCAAGACGGGTCACCAGAGACTCCTCTTCCTCCTCCTCCTCCTCCTCACTGCTGCCGCCGGTTTGCTTGCAGAGGAAAGAAGCACCCAAGAAGCAGGCAGTGGCTGAAAGATGTGTACTTATGGGGTTGGCCAGATTGACCCCCGCCAGGGTGCAGGCCCAGGGGGCGTGGTAACTGCACCTCTCCACATGGATACATCTGCCATATATGCTTCAGCTGATATTCCTGAATTGCAGGGGGTTGGACTAGATGACCCTCGGGTCCCTTCCAACTCTACCATTCCATGATTCCTTGCCAATGGCCAGAGGGAGCCGAGCTATGCCTCTACCAGTCGGTGTGGACCGTGCTGAGCCCGGCGCTCCAAAGGGTCCGACTCGGTACGGGCAGCTTCCTCTGTTCCAGGTGCCCAGCCCCACCGAGGCCCATATTCTCCAAGCCGTCGGGGAAGCAGCCTCCTCCTCCGCTGCTCCTTGGAGCTGCCAGCCGCTCGCCTGCCTCGGGTGGGAGAAGGAGGAGGCCGCGTTTCCTGCCGCGGGCGAGAGAGGCGGCGCCCCCGACGGGTCTCCTCCTGCGCGGCAGGTCGCCAAGAGCCAACGCCGGGGGGGCTGAGGGGCAGCTGCCCGGCACAGCTGACCCCTGGACGGCGGCCCCGCTAGCAGGACCGGGCGCGGATGCAAGAGCAGGAAGGAAGCTCGTGGGCTCCCGGGGGGGAGAGAGAGGGAGCGCCGTCGGAAGCGCACGGGGACAGGCTCCCGTTTGGGACACCCGTGAATCGGAGCGCTTAAGGAAAAGTAGGGTTTGTTTGGCGGGGGCGGGATGTGTCCCAAAGGGCCGGGACAGCGCGAGGAGTGGCTTTCACCTCGGAAGGGGCTCCTCCTCCTCCTCCTCCGCTGGAAGCAGCAGCTCCCTGCCGGGGAGCCCGGAGGAGGAGGTGGGGTCCCGCGGCCGGAGGCTCACCTCGAACATGAGCGCGACGAGGACGCAGAGCACCAGGCAGAAGCCCACGTCGGCGTGGTTGTGGATGAGGAACTCCTGGCTGAAGAGCGGGTGGCTTTTGGCCCGCCTGCGGAACGCCATGGCCGGCGCCCAACCCGCCAGCAGCGCGGCCCCCGCCGCCCCCTTCAGCCTCCGCGCGGCCGCGACGCCAACTTCGCCTGCTTCTTCCGCGGCCCCTCGGACAACTTGGCGGGCGGGCGGGCGAGGCGCAGCCCGGCCCCCAGCGCAGGCGCGCCTCTCGCTGCTGCCGGCCTGCCGGGCGCCTCCGCCCCGCCCGCCCGCCTTAGCCCGGCCTCTGCCTGGACGGGCGTCCGCCGGGGGCGGGCCGGGGGGCGGCCCGAGTGCTGCTGCTGCTCCGCGCCGACCCCGCTGCGTCCCGCCCGGAGCGCGCTCTGCCTTCGCCCGGCGGCCTGGCGTCGTGGCATCCCGCGGAGCTGGACGGGACCCAGCGGCCCAATTCCGGCCACGTTGGCTTCGGAGCGCGCGCGAGAGAGACACCCGCGGACTTTGCGCCCCAGCGCCTTCGGGCTTTTTCGCTTTTTTAGTCCTTTCTGCAGGAAAGAGAGAGAGAGAGAAGCTCCTGGACTGAGCTGGCCTTTGTCTTGTCTGCTCTCAATGGTGTGTGTGTGTTTTTGCGTTTGTGTGGTGTGCACACACACACACACACACACACACTTTGCTCTGCACAAGGTGCACAGGATTGCACATACCTAATGGGTGGGCATTGCTTTATACATAGCGCGTGTCGAGATACGTTTAAGAAATGTAAAATTTCAGCACAATTGGCTGTGGCAGTGTGTGATGCCTATAGGTACACAAAGAGGTAGTGTCTTGTTTTTTAGAAACTTAACTGGCTGCTTGTGGCACAAGCTTGCGTTAAAAATGTGTGGCCTGTCAGCAGTTGTTTTTTTTTTTACACACTTAAACCTTCTGCACCATCAGGAGGGCTGTGGAGTTTACTTGCAATGGTGTAAACTTGGTGCCAAAGCCAGTCCATAGATAGGCTTCCCACTGTGCCTGTTCTTCACCTGTGGCACCACACACACACTTGACAAGGTCTGGCCCAAGCCATTTGGCACCTGAGGGAAACCACAAAATGGTGCGCCCCCCCCCCGAAGCCGGGGGGGGGGGGAGAGAGAGTGAAGATCTACATTGGGAACAAGCGGGGGAATCAAATTAACCTTAGCCCACCATTGAAGTGAGAATCAAAGGCTGTTAGGGGTGGGGGAAGAGGCCCATTCTGAATCACGCTGGAGCCCAGGAGATCCTGGAAGGCAGCCCTTGCCATTTCCCGGGAGAAGAGCAGCAATGCCTCCCATTGTGTACCACAACTGTTGCTGCCACCATGACGGCCAGCTGCAGGCGATGCAGTCCTTGGAGGCGGGATATGCTGCCCCTGTGGATTCTGCCACCTGAGGCATTTCTCTTCCCTTGCCTCGTGGGTGGACCGGCTCTGTATATGGTGAAGCCCAGCAAGTTTAGGGATTGTACAGGCCAGGGGAAAGCATCAAAACAAACAGTGCGCCCACCCCAGCTCCTACAGTCTCCCACCCTGAACTTGGAATAGCTAAGCTGCCAGATTTCTGAAAATTAATTCTGGGCCACCTCTCCGTATCATGCAACTAATCTACTAAGATACGTTCTGCTTTCAACAAAGATTTTTTTACAATTCAGCAAAGGGCTGATGTTCCGTCAGTTCCTTTAAAAAAGAAATACTCTCCCCCTTGGGAGAGTGCATGAGTGTTTGAAGGCTCTGCAGGCTAAGAAATTCAGTGAAGATGAATTTATGTGGAGTAGTCATCTGGGCTGAGTTACAGTCAGGATTCCTGAGCTATTACGTATCAGCCTGGAACTGCTTGGAACTGCGGGAGTGTATCTTATAAAACATGCTTATATGCATGCATAAGAGCCAACTCCTAGGGGCTGAGGTCCCTTTGCCTGCCCTCAATAAAATGTTTGAGGGGCCCACCCTCCTCCCAAAGTTGATGGACGTTGTCTTTCCAATGGTTTGCATGCACCATGTCTTATATTTGGTTATGAGAGGGAGGACTTACCTGCCCCCCCCCCATTTTATTCAAGTTGGCAGCCCTGTATACATGGTACTGAAGTTAGTTTACTAGTTCCCAGCTCCTTACTCAGGTTAAGAACTTAAATCGTTCTGGAGGTCTGTTCTTAACCTGAAACTGTTCTTAACCTGAAGCACCACTTTAGCTAATGGGGCCTCCAGCTGCTGCCACGCCGCCAGAGCACGATTTCTGTTCTCATCCTGAAGCAAAGTTCTTAACCCGAGGTACTATTTCTGGGTTAGCAGAGTCTGTAACCTGAAGCGTCTGTAACCCAAGGTACCACTGTATTTGCTCTAAAGTTTGAAACACCTTAAAGGAAAGTTCATGTATCCATCAACTCCAAAATAAACCCATAATAAACACTGGGATATGACATATCACATAGCTATTCCCTTGAAGCCCAACAATTATCATACTTGTGAAACCCACAAATCCCCTTCTGTGCAGTCATAGCAAGGCAGTGTACCATAGAAACAGGAAAAAATGGGTTTTAAACACCTACACTCAAAACCAGTTGTTACACTTAAAACTGAAACCATACAAAATAGACACTCATGTTGAACACCCACCCAGTTATCCTGCTGAGAAAGCCTGCCGGAGCAAGAGTGTCTTCAGTTGTTTCCGGAAAGTGCAAGATAAGTGTGAAATAGCAGAAAGTGTGAAATGGGGGGCAAATCCCCAGAATCGAATAATGCATCTTGACCTCGCCCCCCCTTCATTTCATATACTGTGCTAGCAACTGTTGAAGCAAGGCTGGAAACTTGCCCGTTGCTGCTTCTTTCATATGGAAAAGACTGGTTGGTGATGACGCTGCGCCAGCCTTTGTCTTGCTGGTCCCTCCAGTGGCCACCAGACGAACTGAGTGAATGAAATGGAACACAACCCAGCCAGGCAGTGGGATTTTTAAAGCCTGACCTTCTGCCTGACTATCATCCAAGTGCAGGAAAAGCACAATCCGAAACAGGAGACAGAAGAAGCTATTTCTTTTATTCATTTTTAAGCATTTATAAACCGCTTAGTATTTTAAGCATCTCTAAGCAGTCTTGTGATCACCGATGAGAAGGCTTGATCTCCTCTAATCCAGTTTTTGTTATCTGAAATATACTCGGAGTCAAGTGTGGATTTCATGCTCTTTATTCAGCTCATAGTAGTGAGGAATGCCAGTTCCCCCAAAATTTCTGCTTTATATAGATTATTTACACAATGGGTGCCACATGATTGGCTAATTCTGGGATTCTCCTGTAGGCCAATCAGGTTGCGGCTTCACTCCACCTGGAGTTGGGTTGGGTGGCTCCTGTGGATCAGACTACTGCATTCTGAACCCTATTGTTCTAGGACCAATCAGGCTGCTGCAATTTGGATCCTATTCAACTCAGTACATAACATTATCTTAACCCAGTATTGAAGTAAGTTTATTTGGATCCATTCTAGTCTGGCTTCAGGCCCAGTCACGGCACTGAAACTACCTTGGTCACCCTTGCTGGTGACATTTATCAGGAGAGAGGTGCCCAATTCAAGGTGCTCACATTCGTGTTTAAAACCCTAAATGACTCGGACCCCAGGTCTTTGAGAGGCTGCCTCCTTCCCTTCAGACCCTTTTGGGTGCCAAGATTGGCAGAGGGCACCTCTTGGTGGTTCCTCCACCCTCAGAGGCTTGGGGTGGGTGGTGGCCCAGGAGAGGGCATTCTCGGGGGCAGGCACTCCCCATAGAGGTGTGCATGGCATCTTTATTATACAGCATCTGAGGAAACATGGGCAGCATTAGAACTCACTACTTGGTGTTGGGTTTAATTTTACAAAAGGAGAATTGAGGTCAGACGTCTACAGGAAATTAATAGCTACTTTCTGACCAATGACAACCAGGAGCTTAGCCAAGTGATGATTTGGGATTCTTTCAAAGCTGCCCTTGGAGGACATAATATTAAAGAGGCATTCTATCTAAAGAGCCAGAAAATTCATGCAAGTTAGCTTTGTTGAAATAAATTATTTCCCTGGAAAGACAGCACAAACTCGTGGAGAGCAAGCACATTGTGAATTACAAGCTTTGGACACTGATCACATCTCTGTTGCCATGGCCAAAATGTACAGTATGTATTGCAAATTTGGTAATAAGAGTTCTAGATTCTTGGTGTGAGTGCTACACATAAAGGGAAAGAACACAACCACATATGTAGAGTTCTAACTTCGGAGGGCATGCCCTATTATAGCTTAGCTTCTACAAACAAAGTATTTACATGCTTTGATAGTGACTTCTATAATACCCTTCAACTGAGAATATCCGGACATGAGACTCAGCCACATTAGTAAAGAAAAAGTGTTTTATATGCGTTATAGCACCGTGACACCAGATGGCACGGTGGAGTCCCATCTTTCACCAACGTGATTTTTCACTATGCAGTTTACAACGCATTTTCCTGAAACACTTTTTCGATGTGTCCAGATCCATCCCTGGTTAAACAGAGTAAAACTTAAGCCCTTGAGTCATCAGCACAGAGACTTCATGGAAGAACCCATCTCAGAACAGGAGATCTTTGACGTCATCAAAAAGCTGAGAAGGGGGAAAGTGACAGGCCTTGGTGGGTTTTGACTCTGAGATTGTTTTAAATCCTAGACCAACATATTATGTGATTATGCACGCAATGGTAGGACTACATCTCGGTCCTGAAAAGAAACCAGGCTTTTTATAATAGTGAAGCCAGGTGAGGACCAGAATATGCTGGGATCTTAGCCATCCCAACTCATTAATCAACCAGGGCTGGATCTAGACACATCAAAAAAGCGTTTCAGAAGAACACGTAAACCTCATACAGTGGTACCTTGGGTTACAGATGCTTCAGGTTACAGACGCTTCAGGTTACAGACTCCACTAACCCAGAATTAGTACCTCGGGTTAAGAACTTTGCTTCAGGTTAAGAACAGATATCGTGCTCCAGTGGCACGGCAGCAGCGGGAGGCCCCATTAGCTAAAGCGGTACCTCAGGTTAAGAACAGTTTCAGGTTAAGAACAGACCTCCGGAACGAATTAAGTACTTAACCTGAGGTACCACTGTGAAAGATGGAACTCCACAGTGCCATCTGGTGTCACAGTGTTATAATGCATATAAAATGCTCTTTTTTTTGCTAAGGAAGCTAAGTCCCAGGACATTAAGTTTTTGTAATCAATAAAATGAATAATAAATTTTTTAAAAAAGATTTTGTGTAAGCTTTCTCGGTAGCATGCCTCAATTTTTTATTGGTGCATACTGGTCGTACTGGTTTTTAAAGGGAAATTCCCTTATTCCGAATAGGATTCCTTGCAAGAAAAGGGAAAAGTTGACAGCTATGTTTCAAAGGAGTAAATTTCAAACACCATTTCCAGGATCCTAAATTTGACCTATAAAGCCAATTCCCTCTGAAGAAAGAGGCAGTAAAACAAAATAGTTTGCAGTGCATCATGATCCTAAAAATGCTTCCTGAAAGGTAAGCCAACCAGGTTTATTGCAGCGTACAGCAGAACAACGCTGTGCACTCAATTTAAGCGTGGGGTGGTGCAGCGTTACTTACACTGTTGCAACGAGAATGCATCATATTCTTCCGAGACCAGGGAAAAGGGTCGGTGGAAGAAGATTGGAAGAAATTTAAAGACTATTTACAGAAATATTGTAAAATTAATGAATGTTAGAATGATGTTGGATAGAAATTAAATGGTTTTTAGCTGAAATATTATAAGGGAATATGAAAAATGGATTACTAACAGGTAAAAATTTAATGTTACAATACTTTAAGATTAAAGATTAGGATAATCAAAGAGGGGAAGGATTTGCTGAACCAACAAACTGAACTGGAATACAAAAAAGGGAGGCGTGAGGAGGTCCGGGAAATAAGCTAATGAAAAATAAGTAATGGAAAGATTGACTTGTTTTTAACTATTTTTATTTTGTATTTTTCTTTTTTCTATTTTTATTTTGTAATATTTTGAAAACCTTAATAAATATCTTATATATATAAAAAAGAGAATGCATCCTATTCTATAGCATCTCAACCAGCATATTCTGAATACAAATGTACAACCCACAGTTGTCAGCAGCAAATGTTTTGGGAGCACCTAAAGCAGTGGTTGTTGAAGCTCAGTGGGTTTTGGCCCCATAATTCTAGCTTTTCTACAATAAAAGTAGTGTATAATAAATACGAGCAGTCAGCAATGCAAATTTCAGTTCTGTAATATCAATCTCCATTTGCAATGGTCTGCCATAGCAGACTTGTATAAGACTTCAGGGTTTTGAAAGACCGCTTTTGGCAATTTTGGAGAACTCATCAAGACAAAAAACACACACACTGCACAAATACATATTGATATATGTTCTCAATAATGAACAGCATTTATTTATGACCATGTAAACCATTAGACTTTCTCCCCTGACCACTGAAGTATTTCTCCCAGAACCACAAGCCTTGTTAAGGGCTGCATATCTCCCTTCCTTCGCTGCCGTTTCCAGCAGGCCTCCTACTGTCTGTGTCTCCGAATATCTTCAGCATCGTCAACACAGCAATTTCCCATTCCGTTGTTGCATCGGCCAACATAGACTTCCACAGGATGGCAGAGAGTATGCCGGCAAACTCCCTTTAGTCTCCTACATCGCCCTGTGCCTTCATAGAGAAAATGAGACTTTGTGAGTCTTATCGGAGCTGCTCTGGACTCCTGTGCAGAAGACATTATACGAAGCTGGAGAAGACCAAGACAACACATGCACAGACTGGACTGCCATAAATCTCTTAATACAAGAGATTGAGATCTTAGGGGAAGCACCAGCAAATCAATATCCTTGCCACTCAATTCTCCCTACCTAGATGCCCTGTCAGCAATACTGGGGACATCTGTAAGAAGGCTCTTTTGGAATGTTTGCACAGCTTACTATTGTACCAGGACTCTAAATTCTGATTTTCCTCTGCTGTTTAGGTGCACAACAATGCTGTTTATATCCTGGTACTCAGGAGACCATCACACAATGTTGCACATGGACAAAGAACTGGTGTACAGAGGAATATTTACCTCTTCTTGTCTCCAGCATCACGCAATGACATGCATGTGTGCATAGGAGCCAACACCCAGGGGCTGAGGGGACTTCGCCCCCATAAAATATTAGAGGGGGTCAGGCCCCTCAAAGCTGATCGGCACTGCCATTCAAATGGTGTGTGCGCACCGTGCCATGTGATTGATTATGCGAGTCAGGGCTTACCTCACCCCCCATGTTTTATTCAAGTTGGCACCCCTGTGTATGTGGCTAAACCCTCACCAATAAATCACCACAGGCAGAGGCTTGCTGTCAGCTGTAGCGCAACACTTTCTCTTGGAGGTGGCTCATTCAACATACCCATTCAAATGTTGCTGATTATTGCAGGCCCTTCAGTTGTTGTGGGTCCTTTCAGTTCCAGCAGGGCCAATGGCCAGGGATAGTGAGAGTTGTAGTTCCAACGAAACCTGGAAGGCCAAGGTTCCCCCACTCTACTCCTGCCCCTCCATCAGTTTAATGCTTCTTTTTTAAAAAATACCCATTGCCAGTTCCCTGCTTATAATAACTGAATGTCCCATCTGCAATGCTAAGCCCTCATTAGAATTAACTTCTGACACATTGCTCTTGCTTCTTCACCTTCAGATAGCTAACAATAGCCTAGGTGCTCTGTATTATGTAATACGGTTTACAGTCCTGCAGTCTTTTGTGCTCTTACCCGGGAGTAAGTCCCAATGGCTACAGGGGGACTTCTGAGTCACAAGCTGTACCGATGGCCACCAAATCAGATGGACGGCAAGGCTATCAATGGCCAATACTAGTCTATCTACTACTTCCAATATCAGAGGCAGTGTTTCTCTGAACACCAGTTGCTGGAAATTGTGTGTGTGTGTTGTGCTCATATCTTGCTTGGGAACTTCCCATGGAGGCATCTAATTGGCAGCTTTGAGAACAGATGGGCTTTTGGTCTGATCCTGCACAGCTCTTTTCATGTTCTAAAATGTCAAACATTAAAAACTTCCCAATCCAGGGCACAATTTCTAGCCTTCAGATGTAGTCGGAAAGTTGTGTGGTTGTTTATCCTTTTGAAATAATAATTTAAAAAGAGCAGGGGATGAATAGGAGGCAGTCCTCATAAATAAACATATTGTTTGCCACACCAAGAGAAGCAGGAGGAACCTGCTAGTCACCTGGGAGCTCCCTGTAATAGTTATGAATTAATTTGGTGACAATAACCCACATGACCCGGTCGGGCCATTTCCAAAGAGAAGGGTTATGAAAACACACATAATACGGAAGAGGGAAATGAGTTTTTCCTTGGGGAAAACACCAGAGCAAATTGAAAATGTGTATAGTTCACACCCTTTTGACACTTACCTGATTTGTCCAGGTAGGCAGGTTGGAACAGGAAAAAGATAAGCAGGAAAAAACAAAGAATCCTCATGCTGGCTGATGTATAGCTGGGACTCAAATTGCACTAGGAGGGAAAGTAGCACAGATACAATGAGACTGTGCTTCTTAAATATATGAGATCTATGAAATCTATGAAATTAACAGGCACTTCATGCCACCCAAATAAGGGCCAATCCTTCTGCAATGGGGGCAAGGTGTGTTTTTGTATTAGGGTTTGGGGTTTGTTTGTTTTTTTGCTATCCTCCTGTATTCACAAAAGAAACATAACACATTAGCTGGCAACTCAAGAGTCTCAGCCAGAGTAAAAAAATGTATTTTTAAATATTTGGGCAGTCTGTAAACAATTCATTCATAGGTAAGCACTTTAAAATAGCATATATTTCACTGAGAGAGTTAATCACATGCCTGGGGTTGATGTAACTCTATTTAAAAAAGGATCTATTTTATTCTGGTTTCTGACGACTTAAAGGTTTTTGATGTACCACCAGTGATTTGGATTTGGACTTAAGCACATATTTGGTCTTACTGAAACCAGTACATCTTAAAAGCGCATAACTTTGGCTGGATTGCACTCATGCTCAGTATAGAGTCAGTGCTCAAATTAATATTTTTTTCAACCTGCAAAAGAATATAATGACTACAAAAGAAATGGATAGAAATGGACTATGAACCGGAATGGAAATCTAGTCTTCTGTATATCTTTCCTGTACAGTATGTAGATTTTGTATTCACATGACAGTCTTTCATGTGGAAGAAAATGGTCATGCCAGAATTGGAATTCCAGAATTATTCCATTTTATTGTGGGATTATTGTGGTGTTTTTTCGTTTTAAATCAGTTTCTAAAACATACTTTCACATGTTTTTTAAAAACCTGGTCAGTACAGATTAAGGGCATGGGTGAATGTGGCCTGAGTCCTGCAGTTCAGCTGGCATCAGCCTTGGGTTGGCAGGCTTTGCTGGAGAAGGAAAGAGGAGAGGGCAAAACTGGGCAAACTTGGGCTGCAGAAAAGGAGATCTCCCCTTTCTACGACTTCATTTGCTTTTGAAGCAGGGAAGGGATGCTGAATCCGTTCAGTGGTGGCTGGGGAGGGCTGTGATCAGCCACAGGGGGCAGGGACTGACCAGGAAAGGTCATCAACTGAACAGGAGCCTGAGCAGGAGGGTGCAGTCTTGTTGCCTAGAACCAGGCATCTCCTTGACAGAGCAGAGCATGCTTGCAGCCCCAATATTCCCATAAGGCAAGAGAGTCTGGCAAGTGAGCAAGGCACGCCTTGTCTTTAAAAGCTTGGCAGGCGGTGCGGGGAAACCTCTTGGGACATCTTTGTGTCTTCCGTCGAGGCCCAATATACTTGCCTGAATAAATATCTCTTTCTTACTTCCAAGTAAGAACTTCTGCCTGTGTCTGCTGGGTGGGAGACAAGACACAGTGACCACTCCAAGAAGAAAACCAAACTAGCTGTCAGGTGTGCGTGCAGGAGCCAGGCCCTGTGACCAATAGGACTCTGCCGGACTGGGGCCTTCCTAAGTTTGTTCTGAAGAACCATGGCGCAGCCACGTGGGTGAGGCCGATTGGTAACTCACAGCACCTGGTGGCAAGAGCTGGGAAGGGATATAAGGTCAGCATCTTCCCTTCGGCTCTTTGCCACAGCAACTGCATTTGACTCCTTGACTCCTTGCTTCTTGATCCTCGGACCCCTGACTTCGTGACACCTGGCTCTCTGACCCTCGGACTCTTGGCTTTCTGACTCCTGGCTTCTGGACTCCCGTTCCTTCTCCCACCCCGCTGTCTTGCCCCTGGTCCCAACGTCCCCAGCCGAGACTTTCGATCACCCGTGAACCGGACCATGACACTAACCCCCTCTGCCCAAAATGGGCACTTGCACCCAAGTGTGTAGTTGTCTTCTATGGGCCTTGTGTCTGTGTGTGGTTGTTTTTTTTATAAAAAAAGCAACCACCTTCACATCTCAAAATAATTCCAAAGGTCACCTTCTCTTCCCATGTTGGGCCAATTTAAAGAAACCTAAAAAATTCCAAGCGATATAGTCCAAACCTATTAAATCAATGGCAGTTTTTCTATTGGAACGTAGAACTTTACCTCTCCTTCTTGCCTCTAAAGCCTGTGTGAAGAATCTATAATAGCAGACTATTTCCCGCCAACATCAAATTGGAGTGTCTATGGACAGTGGCGCTCGCAGGACAGTATTGATATCTGAGTATTCCTGTCTTTCAAGTGCTGCCACCAGTTTCTGCTCCCAGTCTCAGCTGGGCCTCCAATGGCTGCAGAACAGAACCTTCACCACAGAATCCCTGTGACATCATCATTTGTGACATTCAGGCAGAGGCTTTTCTGATGCCCCTCCCACCATTCTCTTGCTTATCATACATAAAATTCAAAGACAGTTTGTGTGTGGTAGATAGGATCAGAATCAGAAGCCAGGGACCCCATAATGAGTTAATACTATTAAATTCTTTTTAGTTCTGCCCATTAGCAAGACCCTCTGCATCAACCCTGATATTATTTGAGTAGTCCCCTCACCAGGCTTCCCCATCTTCTGAGGTCAACCAAGTCACTCCAAGTAACAGGGGTTTATTGATAGTGGTGTTATCCTTATGGTACTCTTTAGTCCAGGCCGAATCTCACTGTTCTTGCTGAGGGTACCTGAAATTAAGGATCAGAAATGGGGCTAAGCCGAAAGACCAGGAAAAGGTGAAATAAGCAAGCTGAATATAAATGGACTATTTGGTTCTTCCTGGGTTCATGTGTTTGTGACTGATCCCAATCCCTCTTGGCCCTTTTCCAAGGAGCAACATTACAACAGGTGGTTCAACCCCATTGCTCCTTCAGGAGTTTAGTTCCTCAGATCATGAGACATTACAGCTTTTACTGGTTCTGTCTAAAGTGTTTTATCTGTGAAGGTCTCACAGCCTTCCCCTTTGGCCTACAGGCCATTTTACAAAATTTATCAGTAAAAACATCCTTTTATTGTCACATGTGAGCAACCTGTGGACCATTGCAGCCCTTGTGGGTCTCCCCTGAGCTTGCCACTCTGCTCCTCCCCCAATTTTGTGGCACAACTGTGATGGGGGAGCACCGTGCATGAAAATGGCCATCTCTGTGTACCATCTTGCCCAAACAGCTGCTTGGCAGGGAAGGATGGGGAGGATGTTCGAGAGGCTACCGAGAGCGTTGCTATCAGTGGCTTTCATCTAAAACCAGAGGGCAGTTTATGTTCTCTTTCCTTTATTGATATATGAACATCCCTGGGTGTGTCTGTGTGCTTGTATGCAGAGATAGGACTTCTCATTGCACAGGTGAAAAAAGATGTTGAGAATGGTGAAACTCTAGGCACATGCTGTGCACTATTTCTCTGTGGGAGGAAATGGACAAAGAAGAGAGGTGTCCATTTTGTTGCTGAGACAGAACACCACAGTTTGCAATGGACATTTCATTTGGCAGCAATCCTTCCTTTCTTGGTTGGTCAGAAGAGCCACCCACAGCACAATGGCAGGAGTCGGTAGTGCCAGGTGGGGGGCCGGAGAGGCAAGGGAGAGAAGTTCACACTGCTTTGGGTTTCCAACCAGTAACATAGCACAGGGCACTTGCACCAAAACCAGCAAGAGGGATTTAAGCAGTTATCTCAGGCAAGACTCACAGCACACATACTTCTGCCCCGGGGCCAGGGAGGGGAATCTTCTAAACAGGCTGAAACAGATCCTTTCTTTTGGGACAAATGACTATTGCTTAATAACTTACCACACTATAACACACAAGTTCACAGTAGGTGACAAAGATAGTTGTTGGCGTTTGTAAGGATGACCCATTAATGCAGAAATGGGGAATGAAAGCAAAAAATCTCATAAAAGGTGAGTGTTGATGGCAGTGGAATGGAATTGTTGTGTGATGAGCAGCTGATAAGGAGGAAGAAATAGTGGCTTGAGACCTAAAGCAAGACTAGCTTCGGGGTTTTGAGGCCTCACACCTTAGTGAAGACACACCATTGTTTACAAACTCAGCATCTATTTCTTTTAACGGGACAATAAAGCAGAGGTGGTTTTTTTTTTAAAAAAAAAACCAACAACATCTGAATAGGAAGAAATATATAAACATGGTTTCACAGACTTACAAATTCAGTTGCATATTAACATATAATTTATAACAAATTAAACAAAAACAAACAAAACAGCATGAATTTAATCTTGTAGACCAGGGGTCAGCAAACTTTTTCAGCAGGGGACCGGTCCACTGTCCCTCAGACCTTGTGGGAGGCCGGAGTATATTTTGAAATGAACAAATTCCTATGCCCCACAAATAATCCAGAGATGCAATTTTAAATAAAAGGGCACATTCTACTCATGTAAAAACACGCTGATTCCCAGACTGTCCAAGGCCGGATTTAGAAGGTTATAGGCAAGGCTGAATATCACTAGAGTAATATAATGTACAGTAACCTATGGTGTTTAGATTGGTGAGCACAGGTAAATAAATATCAGTTTAAACTGATAATAATTTAGATGTACTTATTTCAATATCCATTCATTTTGTTACTGGTTACCTTAAACAACCCAGAAGAAGTGACTCATACACACCAGACGGTATTGACGCTGTAGGTACTGTCCTGCCCTATGCTCCATTGTTTGTATAATTAATAAAAACTTACCAAACCCTATCTAAGCTGTCTTGTTTCTTTTGCCCTCTTGCCACTTTTAATTTTTGTGTCAATTTTTCTAACAATACTTCATGCCAGACACTGCTTTACCATTGGTCTATATTTAATAAACAGATCCTGAAGCTGAGGCTCCAATACTTTGGCCACCTCATGAGAAGAGAAGACTCCCTGGAAAAGACCCTGATGCTGGGAAAGATGGAGGGCACAAGGAGAAGGGGACGACGGAGGACGAGATGGTTGGACAGTGTTCTCAAAGCTACAAACATGAGTTTGACCAAACTGCGGGAGGCAGTGGAAGACAGGAGTACCTGGCGTGCTCTGGTCCATGGTGTCACGAAGAGTCGGACATGACTAAACAACAACATATTTAATAACAGTAAAAATTTTGGTTAAAAATATGGCAGCTAAGGTAAAGGTAAAGGGACCCCTGACCGTTAGGTCCAGTCGCAGACGACTCTGGGGTTGTGGCGCTTATCTCGCTTAATTGGCCAAGGGAGCCAGCGTTTGTCCACAGACAGTTTTTCCGGGCCATGTGGCCAGCATGACTAAGCTGCTTCTGTTGAAACCAGAGCAGCGCACGGAAGCGCCATTTACCTTCTCGCCGGAGCAGTACCTATTTATCTACTTGGACTTTGATGTGCTTTCGAACTGCTAGGTTGGCAGGAGTTGGGACCAAGCAACGGGAGCTCACCCTGTCGTGGGGATTCGAACCGCCGACCTTCTGATCAGCTAGCCCTAGGCTCTGTGGTTTAGACCACAGCACCACCCGCGTCCCAATGGCAGCTAAAGGGCAGCATATTTTCAGAGGAGTTTGTTCCAGAGTTTGGTTCAGGCTCTGTCTGGGGAGTGCATCTTATGCAAAACCACGAAACCCTGTGGCAATTATACAACCTCACTGAACCTGTCACAAAGATCCGGCTAATTAGCATCTGTTCATTGGAATGCCTTCATCCTGTAATATTCTATTCATGAGCATTCATAATAAAGGTACCGGTAGATGTTTTGTAGGCAAACAAAACTGAAATGCAAGCTTCACCTGCCGGTGATACTTCTCTGTGACGTAGCAAATAAACATCAACAACAGAAAATTGCAACATAACTTTTGATAAATTGCCATTGCCATGGGGATAACTACATGGTTTCTATACCTCCCAGTTTCACTGAGCCACTATAAATGGAGGTGCAACCTTCCTCCTCACTGTGTGTCTCTGTCTTCTCTTTTCTGAAGACTTCAGGATCTCTCGCAGCACTCAGCATGAAAGCCCTTTTTCTTCTCTTCGCTCTCCTCCCGCTGGTATTCCCTGCTGATCCAGGTAAGATGCATCTCAGTTCCAGGGCGACTGCAAAGCAGGGGCAGCCAAGGCAATGTCACCCAGTTGTTGCTGGACTGCAACTCCTATCAGCTGCAGCCAACATGTCTTTTGGTCAGGGATGATGGGAGCCATCTGGAGGGACCCCACACTGGCTCTCCTTGCTGTAAAGGGTGGTAGGGAAAGAAAGAGTCTTCAAATGACGAATGAGTAAAAAGTTTTGAGACGTGAGATTATGAGTTACCTGGGAGAAAAACGGAATTAACATGCTCAGCGTGCTAAAAGTACGACAGAGGAAGGTGCCTTATACCAAGTCGTTTCATTGGTCCTTCTGTACTCAGATCTGTACCCTTCAGCTTACTTGCTTCAGAGATAATAATAATAATAATAATAATAATAATAATAATTTATTTATATCCCACCCTCCCCAGCCGAAGCCGGGCTCAGAGCGGCTAACAACAATAAAATAATACAGCATTCTAAAATCAATTCATTATAAAATCAGTTCAAATCAAATTGATGGCATCCATTGGGCTAGAGTTCTGTGAGGATTGTCAAAGCAGGGGGTCAGGGTGTGCCTTGGCCAAAGGCCTGGCGGAACAGCTCTGTCTTGCAGGCCCTGCGGAAAGATATCAAGTCCCGCAGGGCCCTAGTCTCTTGTGACAGAGAGTTCCACCAGATCGGAGCCACAGCCGGAAAAGCCCTGGCTCTGGTTGAGGCCAGCCTAAACTCGCCGGGGCCCAGGACCTCCAAGATGTTTTTGTTTGAAGGCCGTAAGGATGCAGAGGAAAGATTTCCAGGCATGCACACCAGAGTCTTCAGTATCTGATTCTAGGTTAGCAAATGAACATTCTCATTACTGTTTAAAACAATGTTTGGTATCTGAATGAGAACCCAATCCTTCTGAAAAGGATGGTTGTGGGCGGGTTTCCTGCATTGCAGGGGGTTAGACTAGATGACCCTGGCGGTCGCTTCCAACTCTACAATTCTATGAAAAACAAGACCAAGACTTGTGATGCAAAGACTCCCAGGCTGTGAAGTTAACATGGGAACATGCCTTTCAAATTCTGCAAAGGATACCATGAAGTGCTTTTTAAGAAATACTATCTCTGTGCCTCTTATATAATAGTTAAGTAGGTGCTTCCTCAAAAAGAAGAAACAAAGAAACTTACCATATTTTCTCCCCTGCCCTTTTTTTTTCCTTTCAGAGACAAATGAATCTGATACGGTTGCTTGTCGGAAAAACTTCAACATATGTTCTACTTTGCTTTGCCCCGTCTTCTATACAGCCAATGGAACCTGTTATGACGGAAAGCAAAAATGTTGTGTACCTTGGAAGATCAAGGAAATGTTGTTGCCCCTCCGAAAAACATGAAAACGAGCAATGCCATTTCTTTGCCTAATGCAGATAAAATGCACATTGTTTTCCTTTGATTAAAGACTCAGGTTTAAACAAAAACATTTTGCTTGGATTGTGATCATTAGTCCATAAATAGCCCAAGGAATTATCTGAAGGTCATGACAGCATTTGACTGCTTGAAGGTTTACCCCAGCCACTGGATGGCTAGAGAGCCATAAGTGAATTGCCACGAGCTCTTTGGAGAAGAACAGCTTAAACATATAACAAAACCCACAAAGGTAACAATTGCATGTATGGGCACAGAGACGACCAGCTATTCTGTCCCAGGCAGTGGTCTCAGCTGGAAAACCAGGCTGTAGCCAAGTAACCTCCAGCCTCTGCTCAATTTAGGGCACCAGATCATGATGTCCTGCTAGCTCCAGTTCCAAATCCAAGAAGCAGAGCCCAGTCAGTCACAGGTCAGGTTCCAGCAAGATAAGGCTCAGGCATGTCCAGGACATCAGATATAATAGTTGTGGAATGTATGTTGGGAGTAAAGCAACAATACCTGAACCGGAAAGGCAACATGTTACTCCTCCTTACTCATTCCTTCTCTTTTAGTAACTGCTTGTTGGCAATTCCATCCAGGGTTTTACTTGCTTCCTGCTTCTTCTACTAGTTCAAGGCGGTTACAGGATGAGCTGGTGTTAACTTCTTGGCTCCATCTTGGTCACCTGTAATATGGATGCTTAGAATGGCTTTGTTTGACATGAGTAACAATCCTTAAGTTTTCTTCACCCTTTCCACCAGCAGTCTTAGTGGGCGCTTTCTGCATGCTGCTGCCATGTATTTACCCAACTCCAACAAGATACGCTGGGAGATCAGGCCAGCGCAGGCTGCTTGGCTGGTTCCTCCTGATCAAGGCTGAAAATGACGCAGAGGAAGCTACTGGTGCTCACAAACACCACATTCCACAATAAACTGTGCGTGGTGGGAATAGTGATGGTGGCTGGGAAGGCAGATAGCAAGCAGACCCAGGTGACTGGGGTTCTCTGAGACAACACACATAAGGCATCCAAGAACCCATCTGATTATGTAGCAGGTAGGATTGGGGGAGAAAGTTGGGTGAGTTTGCACGTTAATGCGAGTGTACCTACCGTAATTCACATTTCCCAAAACATCGTGTGTACTGAAATGCAGCCATCCTTTGGAGTCCACACTTCTCTGAGTTTTGTGATGCCGTTCTCTAACCCCAAAATGTGTACATCAGGGGAAAGTGTGCATAAGTATGCATACAACAGTGAAAACACCACACAAAGGTACATTGTATTAGGGAAAAACTGTTTGGAAAACAGTGTGTTAATATAAGGCAATTGTGTACACATATTAGAGGAAATTTATGCTAAAATGCTAAAGGAATTTTTGTGAGGACTTTTTTCAATAGAAAAAAACTATTGCACTGATACAGAATTGTGTGCTGGATTTAAGATTGGAAAAATGAGAAAC